ACTTTTCCCCCTCACTTATTCATTAATATCCGTATGCATTAGAAACAGCACACTAGCTCTTAAAAAATATACATGTATAAACAAAACATAGTCTGACATTCCGATAAACATGGTGGTTATGTAAGTAGTTGATCTTAAAATTCTAAAACAGATACTCGATGTTCAGGTTTTTTTTCTTCTAGTAATAAGCCCATGTACTGATTACGTCACACTTTGTATGGGTTTCTATATGGGGCTACGAAACCGCCATCAAACCAGGCTCCCGTAAGAAAGCACACGTGTAAACAAAGTGTGACGTCAGCACGGAGACTTATTGTGAGGATACTTCAAAAGAAAACTGGCCTTTTGTAAGAAATTTAGATAAGATAGCTTTTGATCAAGATTAGTCCCAATACTTCATTACAATACATAAAAACAAACAAACAAATACCTGTACTTATGCAGCAGCAATACATTACTACAATCTGAGGATTGATAAACTCCGTTTCAGAGCCAATCTGAGAGTGAAACTTGGTAGGGCGCACGTGGACATATTTCAAGTGGCAGCATAAAGTAATGGAGCTATTTCATGGACTTCAATAGCACCAGGATTTCAACATTTGAGGGCAGAGAAAACTAACATTTTAAGAAATTCGTACTTTAGGGCACATTTTTCAAGTAGAATCTAACATAACTATGTATTTTTGGAGAGTTTTAAGTCATTTTGCCACCATCAACTCTTTTTTTTTGTGAAACACAAATCAAGTGGAAAATTACACCACATATTGATGCACTGGGCCAAATGTCATGGCACTGCTTATCATAAGCAAATAATTGTACGGAAAAACTTTCTCACTAACGGTAAGTGCGTTTCTAGATTACAGAATGTTCGTTATTCAGGTCTGTACATTTTATAACCAAGGATTCTGTGCTTACAAAGTTATTGCAGAATTTCTGTGCCAGTGCAGTGCTATAATGCTGATCATGAAGTTCAGAAGTCTATGGCTCACATGAAATGGACAGGTCCATCAATTATGCCCCGCCTCATAGTGTTTCAACCAATCACAGCAAGTGTTAAGGTCCAACAAAAGCCTGACATGTGCATGACACATGTGTATGGAACATACAGTGTGACATTTGGAGAGGTGTTGCGATGTGGGCAGGGCCTAATATGTGCAATGGGCGGGGCCTAATATGTGCAGCGGGCGGAGCGCAATGTGTGTGCAATGGGTTGAGTCAAATGTGTGCAATGGGCGGGGCCTAAGTGTGCATAGGCGGCGTTTGTGTGTAATGGGCGGAGCCTAATGTGTGCAGTGGGCAGAGCATGTGTGTAATGGGCGAGCCTAATGTGTGCAGTTGGTGGGGCATAATGAATTGTCTATTGGGCCCTCGTCGAGCACAATCCATGCGCAGGGCAAGACGAGGAAAGAAGAGTAAGTAAATATGCAATATTGAACATCCTGTCTTAAAGTTATAGCACATTTGAAACTCTGAATAACAATACCCTGTCAACAAATACACTAAGCCAATTCGGATTTCAAACTGTGCATATTCACATCAAGGTTTGACAATTTTCAGGGCAAACGCAAGAGATAAATGCACATAGTCTATAGGGATATAGTAAATCTCAAATATGAAAATGTTAAGGCATTCAAAATGAAGAGGGAACACTTGCTGCAAACGTCGGATCATACAAAATATTGTGAGGCATAGTGAAGTCCAAAGCTTTTGAAATTTTGTACTTCCTTCAGACCGAGTTTTTCTGGCCAATTTTTCACCAAGATGGAAAATGTGTGCTGGTCCCAGAGGGCAAGTGTCCTCTTTGTACCTATCTCAATGACTCACTGTCACTTGTCGGGTAGTGCTGTTGTATAGGATTACCCTGTAGCACCAATGAATGGGCTTAAAGGGCCCCATGCAATGTAATTTTTTTATAATGCAATCCGTCAAGGGTACTTTGGTGCATTTTTGGTTTTTATGCTAATGAAAATTTCCATATTCATGAGCAAAAGTGTGATGTCATTTCAGGCAGAAACCTCAATGTTAACAGCTATTTTTCAGCACCAAAAGTTGCCAGAGTTTTGGACATTTCGCTGTCGTAAATTTTCTTTTCTGTGGTGATTTGTTGTAGGGTCAGTGCATGGCAGTAAGCCAATGAGCTTTTTCTCACAGATGTTTTCAATGAGCAAATTTTTCTTTTTGGGTTCACAATTTGAACAGAAAATCCCCTGAACTGAAAAGTGTCTTCCTGAAATGACATCACAGCAACAGCGCCCTCAGTTGTCCAGAAAAGCATGGACAAGTTTAAATGTTTAAACAAGTGCACTTTTCAAATAAAATAAACCAAAAAAGGGATGTCAAACAATTTTTATACGTTTAACAGGAGTAGAAAGTTGCACAAAATATGTTCCAAAGAACAATTAATTTCATGAACCATGGAGGAATAAGAACATTGTGTCGTTTGCCTTGTTTTTCATAAAGGAAAATAATGATAGAATTTGATGCCCACATGTGCAATTTGAAAACAGAACTGGCTTTATAGATTCTGTATGAAAATTAATATGCTCGCTGCCTTGAAAAACAACGGACTCATTTTTAATACTTTCTGGCTTATTTTGTTCTGGCCGTTCATAGACAAGTTTTGTTTACAATTCCAAAACATTAAAAATCCCACGTATGAAAGATGATGACCGGTTTGCTGTTGTTCTACGATACCTAAGTCATGTAAGTGAACAAAAAAAACAAAAAGCCAAACAGTACACTTCAAAACCTGATCCAGCCCTGGCCACTTTCAAAAAATTTCAATACTTTCCATCAACAAAAAGTTCCTTTGAATTAACATAATAGATGAAACTTAAAACTATAAATGCTGTCATCACTAACATCGATTTCTAAAATCCAAAGACAAAATAAATCACACAACGGCGATTGAAAAAAAAATCCCCTTCGTATAAAGTGCAACTCTTGAGGCCTTAAAAAAAGTGTCTGGGGCCGAGTAAATATTTTGGTGTGATTTTCAAATTAAGTTTCTCAAAAAGACTTTCAATATAGAATGTGACACACCAACCATTCTGACGATAACAAAAAGTTAGACATTTTTTTTTACATCAGACAGAAATGTGCCTGAGGCCCAGTAAATATTTGGTGTGATTTTCAAAATAAGTTTCTCAAAAAGACTTTCAATATAGAATGTGACACACCAACCATTCTGACGATAACAAAAAGTTAGACATTTTTTTTTATATCAGACAGAAACGTGCCTGAAGAAAATGTGAATCACACTATTCTGACGATAATAAACAGTTAGACATTTTTTTACAGCAGACAGAAAAGCTTCCCCAGTCATTTCATTTAAATCCCTATTTATTTAAAAGATTTGTACATTTGTTTTTCATACATGTCCATTTGTTTAAAATTTATATTTGTACATGTTTTATAGAGATAATTGTCTTTAGATGCATAGAACATTTATTAAGTCAACATTTTTCAGAGGAAAACTCAGAAAACTTCGGCCAAGTAATACTGCTGGGTGCAACCATTTTTATAGTACATGGATGTTTTACAATTTGAGGGATTATAAGGCACAGTACGCCACAAAGCCTTTGTCTCAAAGATACGCCTCCTCAAATTCATAAGTGGCAGGTTCTCTTTTCCTAATACCAGAGGGTCAAGGGTTCAAATCCAGCTGCTGGCCATATGTTGTGTCCTTGGGCAAGCCACTTTACCCCCACTTGCCTCTCTCCACCCAGGAGTATAAATGGGTACCGGCATTAGCTGGGGAGTAACCTGCGATGGACTAGCATCCCATCAAGGGGGAGTAGAAATATTCTCAGTCGTTTCATGCCAAGGAAACCGGAGATAAACGCCGGTTTTGATGGGCCACATTGTCTCGTGACAACTGCACTTTACTTTACCACACGCACAAAAAGGGAGGCTTGTTTGAAAAACAGCTTATTCTGTACTGTAAATCCCTTGAACATGTAGGGAAAGTATTTTCATAACCCCATCCGAACATTTTCTTCTTCATGGCGAACATTTTACTAAACTAATAAAAATTTAATGTATATAGCTTCATCCTACATGTAAGTATGAAACAAGGTGGGTTTAAGTCATTCAACTCATTAAGCAATTTGACGTTATTCATAATTAAAAACAACCGACACAAAAAATTCACTAAAATAAGGTTATGCTCTATTAGACATTAAAATATGATTCCATATAAAAAAAAAACAATTCCTGACACAAAAAGATGAACATCGTGAAACAATACTATCTCTATTTACAATGCTCCAAACGTTTGATACGCTGGAAAAGACGGCCCATTTCCAAAAAAAAAAAACATGATTGGAAAAAGCCTCATAATAAAATATATTATGAATTTGTGGAGTATACATGTACATGAATGTACACTTGTACAGGTTTTTTTTCCTTTCCGTATTTACAGCACAGGCCAAGTTCGGGCAAGGACCATTCGTCGACTAGTGGTTGATTTGTGACGTACCTTACCCCTGCGCACTAATAGCAACGTGCGAACGTCTCTAGTCAAACGCTGGTCAGAATGTCATCGCAAAATTTCTGGATCCTGGCTCCCTGCTGTACGTTATGAATCTGCGCGGCTATTGGTTACCAGCGATGCAACCAGCCCCAGTAGGTTGGTTCTAAATAGTTGACTAGCGTAGTCAACCACCGTCGACTAGACAGAGTTCGGGCTAACTTTAGTCCAACTATGGTTAACCAATGGTCAACAATAGTTCTTGCGCGAACTTGCCCACAGGTGAAGTCACGAAGCCAAGTCAAAGGTGGAAAACTGCCGTAAAACTGCCGACAAGTTTTTTTTCTTTAAAATACAGACCCGTTTGCCAGCAGCGTAAGTTTTCCATATTAACTTTTCAACTCAAGTGATAACGTCATCCAAGCAACCCATTTGACACTTTCACCTAATTGACCTATCATCACCCAAATGACTGGTGGACCTTCTCACCCATTTGACTTGGTGACTTATTTTCTTTTATCCAAGTGACCCACTCTTACCATAGTAACCTGGCAGTCTTTTTCATCCAAGTTAGGGTCTTTCTAAATTCATATCCCGGGCCAGTACCGGGACAAGTTGTGGTTAGAATTATTAACTTTTTTCCGGACGGAGCTCTGCATCTGTCCCGGACAGTTCCGGGGAAATTTCTTTAGCAACTGCTTGACTCACCAATACGATGATGTCATTGCGGGAAGATTGCGGGGAAGTTGTTCAGAATCCTGCAACCCGACACAATGTCCGCAACTTGCCCGGAACTCGTCCCAGATATGAATTGAGATGGCCTTTTGCAGTTATCGTTTTCACCTAAGTGATTCTGGTTGACTTTTTCACCTTCGTGACCCCGGCTGACCTCTTCGCCCACGTGACCCCGGTCGACCTTTTCACCTGGTGGCGTTGGAGGAGTGACCGCTGATAATGGCCTGAGAGCGTCGGTTGGAGGCTTGGCGCTGGCGGGCAAGGAATGACTGGCCGGTGTTGGAGTTGGCTAGCCGGTCCTCGGCTGCCTTACGATGCATGTGCATACCCTGCATGACCAAAAAATTGATTGACAGTAACGGCGCAAGTGGACCGATCCATTATTAGTCCCGCCCACTGCACACATGGGCAACAACATGTGCGCCTCTCCAATGCACACTACATGTTCCAGCTGCATGGATCATGCACACATGCAAGCATGTAGGACTTTTGTGCGTGTATGTCAGACATATATCATGGCTGTGATTGGTCAAACACACAGTGGGCGGGGTTTAATCGAGATTTAATTGGTCTATTGTGAGAAAAAGGGGCCGGGTAAGCTAAAGCCATTTTCACAGTGTTTACAATGATTACGAATTTTGCCATACTTTTTTATGTTGTTTTCAATAGAAATTCGTTTCCGTTGTGTTTTTTAATTTAAGGAAAATTCCAACTTTCGTTTCAACCATAAAACTGCAAGAAACTTTGTTTCCCCTTTCATCATGGGTGTTATGTTGTGAATTTCCGTGAAGAAGACTGAACAAAGTTTTGTGATTGACTTGTGATTGACATGTGATGCTTTGTAATTGTCTTGTGACAACTTGTGATTGACTTGTGATGATTGTGTTTGATTTGTGATGACGTGTGATTGACTTGTGATTGGCTGCGATTGACCTGCGATTGACTTGCCATGGACTTGCAATTGATTTGTGATTGAGTTGTGCTTGATTTGCGATTGACTTGTGATAGGCTTGTGATAGGCTTGTGATACGCTTGTGATAGGCTTGCGATTGGCCTGCGATTGACTAGCGATTGACTTGTGATTGACTTGTGATTGCCTTGCGATTGACTTGCGATTGATTTGTAATTGACTTGTGATGACTTGTGATGACTTGTGATGACTAGCGATTGACTTGTGATGACTTGTGACAATTTGTGACTGACTTGTGATTGACTTGTGACGATTTGTAATAGACTTGTGATTACTTGTGACAACTTGTAATGACTTGTGATTGACTTGTGATTGACGTGTGACAACTTGTGATGATTTCTGATTGACTTCTGATTGACGTGTGACAATTTGTGATTGACTTGTGATGACTTGTAATGACTTGAGATGACTTGTGATTGACTTGTGATTGACTTGTGATAGGCTTGTGAAGACCTCTCTATAGTTTTGACAGTTTATCCAGCATAGACTCACCATGTTGTACCACGCAGACACTATCAGCTTCTCCTCACTGTCACGCATCACCTTGGACTTTTCCCTTTCATGCTATTGAACAAGAGAAGAAAACAAAAAATATTAAAACTGATCTACCAGCAAGCAATGGACTGTTCCACATTTAGCTATAAGCCCTGCCCACATTTGTACATGTACATTTCTGACAGTGTCACCTGACCAAAAGCTGTGATCCGATTGACCAACAGCGTGATTGACAGGCACATACAAATAATTCATGACATTGCACTTCATGAATAATTCTACAGTAACCCAGCCTGATTGACTTGCAAAAGTCCTCATGAGTTTGTCACTAGGCCTGCACTAATGTCTCTCCTCAATTTGCCTCACCGGATGGCCACTCAGTTTCGTATTTTTAAAGGTAGAGAAGATCATTTGTCATTGTGCATTTGCTAGTTTGAAGCGACAAAAGTGCTCAAAATCTAAAGACGGCCAATTAACAACTAACCTGATGAACTTTTAGCTCAGTGAATGATGTAAATTCAGAGAAAACAATATTCTAGGATCTTAATTTCAATTCAAAAGTTCCCAAGACACGTTTTGAATTGGGCCCGAAATCAGCATCCAGGACACGTTCTCTTTCAGCCAATTGCAGCTACGCGATGTCACGCACTGAACATATAGTCAAGCCAGGCCTTCTGGACCAAGTCCCCCAAAATCCACCAAAATGGGGGATGGATTTTGATGGAGTTGGGGTGGTTAGGGTTAAGTATAAATAATTCATGGCATTGCACTTAATGAATAATTCAATAGCGACCCAGCCAATTTGAAATTCAAAATGCCTCATGACCTCATCCCTTGACCTGCATTGTGTAGTCTCCGCTCAATGCGCTTCATCATATTGCCAATCAGGTTTTAATTACAAAGTCACAATGGCCTCCTGAAAAAGGCTACCACTCACCTCCAGGTGTTCGATGATCTTCTGCTTCTCATGCAGCTGAGCCTTGAGTAGCTGGAGCTCGTTGGAGCTCGCCGGGCTCTGCTTGGGATCCAGGGTGCGGATGACGCTCTTGGCCTTCTCCAGGTACTTCTTGTAGCGGTCCTCCATGGCCCGCATGTCGTCTTCCTTCTTCATCAGCATGTCCTGAAGGTTGGACACCTTCTCCGCTGGGGTAAAAAAAAATCAGACGTGGATTGTCAGTCGTTTCTTTTAAAGGGAAAATACAACATTTGCAAACATCGAAAAATAAAACTACCAAGTTGTTACGTAATACCTCACTAGGATGTTGGTAAATGACAGTTTAAAGCATCCTGTAAAATTATGGCACCTGGTGTGAAGTCATTTTCAAGAAAACTAGGACTTTTGTATACATTTCCAACAGTGGTTGGCCGACCACCATTGAAAAAACCTAACTATTTTTTAACTACTGCTCCAAATTTATCATTTTTTTCAGTCCAAATTTTATTTGCTATTGGTTCCCTGTTCATGAACGGGTGCAGGCAATTTTCCGGCATTTTTGATCCATTTCATCTTAGTGGAGTCAGGGAACCAGACTACTTGAACAATTTTGTTTTTGTTGTTTTTTTCCACCATTTTCGAACACAGCACCTCAAACATGTCAGTGTAACAATATTTGATTTATTATACTAACCCCTCAAATAGTTTATTTCTGAAAATTACAGGAAAAGCCAATGAAACAAATTCCTTTTAATCCGTGTTTGTTGAGTTATAGTTTGGCCAACCAACCAGATATGACATCCAAATCTGTAACACTAACTTTCCGAAATCCTCCAAAATCCTCTTTGCATATAAGAGAGGATTTTGAAGGATTGCGGCTGTATCGAAAAACAGTATCGGTTGATTTTGGAGGATGCATTGTGTCAAGGTCTTAGGCTATACCCTGTGTTGTTTATGCTGAGCCATGCCTAAATTTAGGCCTAGAATTATACTTGAAATCATTCGCACTGCTTCTGGATATCAACAGTGATTGGTGGAGGATTTTCCAGGATTGAGGCACTCAGAGGCAGCGGTCACCCCTCCACGGCACAAATTCGAGATATAACGGACGATTTTGCACAACTTCAAGATACAACAAATGATTTTGCACCAATTCAAGATATAACAAATGATTTTGCCCCAATTCAAGATATAATGGATGATTTTAGAGGATTGAGGCTGAACCTAGTTTTTACATGGAGGCAGTTGGAGGATTTTGCAGGATTGAGGGTGCATCCTAGCAAAAAGGGCAAGGGGGTTAGGGTTAACTCTAACCCTGCCAGACGCAACACAGTGCATCAGGTGGAAAAGTCTGGTGCACTTTGATGCATTCAGCTACCAACACCAGTGCATAAACGGCCACTTCTGAGACAATGAGAGCTAGTCCCATGGAACAATGCCACAGTTGTATCCCGCTGCATTCGGTGACAACCGACTCTGAGGCAGTTTGGCCTTGAGACTTTTGACCTGATGGATCTAAATCTTAATAAAAATTTTAAAAAATTTAAAATTGTTGCTTGACATGGGTTCAGACAAATGACTTTGTTTCAGCAAATGTAAAAGCACTGTACTCACAGCTTGATATGTACTTGGGTTCCAGCTCGTCAATGTACGTTCGGTTGCGCTGTAGCTCGGTATCAGACTCACGAAGCTTCTCCCTGATTTCAAAACAAATTTCAAAATACATCTTAATTATGCATGATTGAAGCACATGCAAATGAATTCAAATGTTGACGCCTGAAACACACGCAACGTTAGTATTGAGACTTTGGGCTGAATGATGTTACTATATAAATGAACACAAGTAAGGGGTCCATTAAAGAGCCAATGCAATGTAATTTGGTTAATGCAATCCTTGAAAATGCACCTTCGTGTCCATTTTAACCTTATTTTCAATCTTCTTTTGCCATTTTCAAGGGTGTTTTGGTGCCTTTTTGGTTTTTATGCTAATGAAAATTTCCATATTCATGAGCAGAAGTGTGATGTCATTTTAGAAGAAACCTCAATGTTACAGCTACTTCAACACAACAAGTTGACAGAGTTTTGGATATTTTGCTTTTTTTTGGGGGGGGGGGGGTAATTCCTTGTTGTGTCAATACATTGCAGTAAGCCAATGAGCTTTCTTGACGTTTCTCACAAATGTTTTCAATGAACAAACTGAATTACTGAACACGGGATGGCCCAAAACCCCCCAAAAAACTTTTTGGGAAAAAAAACCACAGGGAAATTCCCGATCCAGCTCTAAATCCACTCCAAAATGCCGTTGCATCATTTTCAATCTTCAATCCTCTGTATGCTGAAGGTTACACTAAAAACTGAAAGGTTCGCATGGTGGAAAGTTAAAAAGATGTAAAGTTTGTGGTAACACTATGCAGTCAAATCTCTTGTACGACTTGTATGTGGTTCTGAAAAGACCCGGGTTTTTTTTAAAGGTATAGTCCATCATTTGTAATTTGTGCATTTTGTTCGTTTGAAGCAACAAAACTGCTCAAAATCTAAAGAAGGGTGCTGAACAACTAACCTGATGAAGTTTCAGCTCAGCTTCAGCTGTATATTTCGAGGAAAACAGCATTCTAGGATCTCGATTTCAAATCAAAAGTTGCTGAATCATGTTTTGAATTGGGCCTGAATTCAGTGTCCGAGACACGTTCTCACTAGCCGATTGCAGCTACGCGATGTCGCGCACTGATCCGACGAATTATAGCAACCACGCTCGCGTGCGTCGTGTCAACTCTTGCGCGTGCTTCGCCGAATAAAAAAACAAACTGCTAACAGAAATTTCCAACGGTGCTTCTTAAGACGCACCGTTGGAAAGGCCTTCTTTCGTTGATTTCTTCAAAATGACAGCCTGCCAGAAAGAATAATTTCACAGGGAGTTTAGTCCCCTTACTATCTTTCAACCAAGTATGTTTTTCATCAATAACTACGCAAGTTACTTTTTGGACAGCTGCAAATGATGGACTTTGGCTTTAAGGCCAAAAAAAAAAGTCTCCGGTTTCTGGTATGGAGCTTGCCCAAAAAGTGGTGCGGCGACGCGGCTTTTTTTTTTTTTTACCTGTTTTTTTTGCTTCAAATGTCGGCTGATGACTGCAAATGGTGCCTGACTAAACTTAGTGCAAATATTATGGGAGACCAGAGAGGCCACATAAAGCTTATACTCGATCGTAACCCCATCTAAAAACACGTTAAAATTGTGCAGCAGCAGGATTCCAGTCAAACCAGTGAGTTTGGCGGTTTTGAGACATCATCTTTCATTGAAAAAAAAAACTTTTTCATTTTGCCGACGCGCATGGCTACGGCGCCGCGCGCGCATACCAGAAACCGGAGACTTTTTGTTGTTGGCCTAACGATGTTTTGGACAGAATGCTCTGTCTGTTTTCCATTCAGTTTAATGGTATATTTTGAAATTTCAGCAAGAAGCACTACTATAAGGATATATTGCAAAACTTACTTGTGCTCATTGAGTTTCAGTCGTAGATCTTGATTCTGAAACAAAGAAAGATACAAGAACGTCTCAATTGATAGCCAACTTCCAAGCACGTTTAATCCTCATTACAAGTAAATCCCTGCAGTTTTTGTACACAACAAGATGCCATGTATATATGGGTCATTCCACCGGGTTGGGGAACAATGTGTGACATATGAACATATTAAGAAAAGCATGAATGCCTTGCTAGCAGTTGCTCTACATAATATTTGTTGTTGGGTGTTTCACTACTGCAGAAAGTTTGAAATCATTTCAATGTATTTTGCCAAAAATATGAGCAAAAAATGTCATTTTGGACGTAACATTGACACCGTGTCAGTGTTACGTCCAAATATGACATTTGTACCTTTTTTTAAAATTTCTGCGAAACATTACCCAAATTTACTTTGCGTACTTCTTACTGTAGATGCAACACAATAAGAAAAGCTTTTGTTATGGTAGTCAGACATCAAATGGAGCAGAAATGATAGCTTGGTTGTGTGGACGTAACATTTACACGGTGTAAAACCCAAATGTCACACTTCCATTGAGTGATTTTTACACCGTTACACCCACACTTGAGGTATTGTTTCTGCTATATTTGAACCCCGACTATACCAAAACAAAAGCTTTTCTTGGTGCTTAGGTGTCCAGTTGTAAATATGCAATGTCAGTTTGGGTAGTATGTTACATACGTGTAAAAAAAGGCAAAAAAACACAATTTGGATGTAACATTGACACAGTGTTAATGTTACGTCCGAATTAATACATTTTTGCTCATATTTTTGTCAAAATACTTTCAAATAATTTCAAACTTTCTCAAGTATTGAAACACCATATTAAAGACAAATATTATGTTAAGCAATTGTTTAGAATGCATTGATACCTTTAATAATATAACCAAATATATGGATGTAACATGCACTGCTTCCCAACCCGGTGGAATGACCCATATGCTACATTACTGACCAATGTAAAAAAAAACAAATAGAATGATGAAAAATTGTATTTACAGAGATTTATTGTAACCACTTGTTTGGAAATTGAAATTTTTTTGAAACACGCTGTATTTTGATCGAAAGAATAAAAATAAAAACTATGAGCAAGACTTTCAAACATGACAACATGAATTCAATTGGTTTTGCCTTACTGGCTGCGTGAGAATCTGAGTTGATAAAAATATGATTGGGATTAGTCAGGTACTCACAAACTGGTTATTTCATCCATGCAATCCAGGTGGGGTTAACATTAGATACCAGATGCGGAGAAAAGACAACGAATGGAATTAGTAAGACATGGCAATTCCAGGTCAACATGCTCGTTCAGTTACGGCACACAAACAAGCAGAAACAAACAAACAAACAAACACTAACAGCCCTACACCCCAATACCTACAAACAAACAAACACCCCAACACCCCCCAACAAACAAACAAACAAACAAACAGATTAACTGACAAATTAACAACCACATTGACAAGGAAAAAAATGAGCACACAAATGAACAAACAAATATATAACTAAACATAAACAAACAAACATCCTAGATTACTTTTGTATTCCTAGGATTAAAAAAAAAACCATGGAACCATTTCTCAGTTTACTTAGAAGTCGCGGTTATAACCGTGGCAGAAATTATCAAATAAATTTTTAAAAAAATAATCGAGATTTCATCAACAAACACAAAAAGCCAACCATCAAACAAGTAGCATATACAACAAACACAACAAAAACAAACTTCACAAACAGAGCATTCTAAAGAATAGAATAAAGAATAAAATCAAAGCTATTGAACGGTTACAAAAACAAGGCCACAATACAGAAAAAAAAAAAAAAAATTCTACAATACAGAAAGGAAAGGAAAAAAAAAATTGAGGAATGACACAAATTCGAATATTGTCATGAGTTCACTGGTTAATTTGCATAGCAAGAAAACATGCATATTTATGAGGGAAAGTTCTCTACAAAAACAAAAATGGCCTGTTGGATGATTCTGACAAAAATTATGCAGTATTTATTCTGCAATCAATAGAAACAAAATAAACAAAGACAATACTTATTTCAAATGATAAAAATAATCATCTTTTCATACAAAGCTTAGCCTTGGTCAAGGCAATCGGCAGTAGCGTCCCACGATCGATGGTCGGCCCCTAACGTACACATAAGCTACGCGCTACACTCTCACATGTACGTACTGTATTAAGCGCGAACAGCGACCTCACGCGGCTAGGCTACAATATGCAAATCTGGTGGGGAGGAACCAAAGCTTTGGAACAACCATAGCGATGATCTATCTTTTTGGGGCACTCTTCATTATTTTGTCGCTGGATTTATATCGAGTTATATTTGGTGTGCAGACTCCAAACTTTTTGGAGAATGTGCCCACAATATGTAAAATATGAGCCGTCACGACCAAGCACTGAATAAGAATCTCATCTTTATTCGTATACGGGATTGCCCCTGGAAATCCAGCAACAAAATACAGAAAAACATAAGCCAAAGTCACAGATGTTCCAAGGCGTTCATATAGCCCAATCTGAATTGCATAGTTTAGCCTACAATCCTGGCCAAATCTCGCTGGGCCCCCAACCCCCCGGCCCCCCCTCAATGTTGTCTCTCATTGCGCGGTGTGTGCTCCATCAGCTGGAGAGAACAACATTGACCAGGGCAGCGGGGGAGTGGGTGACCGTGGCAGGCTCAGGAAGTATCCCAGCCATTTTGGCCGAGATTGAAGCCACATGACGCGCATGCGATTGCTGTTCGCGCTCCGCACAGAACGCTTCACGTGAGTGCAGTGTTCGTGGCCGACCGTCCATCATCGGACTCGTCGAGTGCCTTGAGCAAGGCGATACAAAGCTTTGACTGGGAGAATGAGGATGTGATAACTGTCCAAGCAGAGAAATCACGCAAAAATAAAACTGTACGAAAAATCACGCAAAGAATTAGTACATATTTCACTGCACTTAGCAAAGCAAGCCATTCACTATGAGCAATCTGCAAGTTAATGACAGCAGACATTTGTACCTTTTGTTTATTTACCTCTTTGCTTTTTGACTGAGTGGACTGAACACCATGAATGAAAGAACAAGGGCGGCACAAAAGTATTAATGATTTGAGGATTAGAATAAAGAGCAATTCACGGTTAAAAACAATGTTGATGCTGCATGGGGAGACTACAAAGACAGACATTAGGGGATCAATTTTACCACTACATGAAGTTACGATTCCCAATTTTGTTAAGAATTGACGTAATTTCTTCAACATAAAGGCTAATGAAGTTTATTAAGTAGTCACTCCCTTATCCGACGTCAATGAGAGATATAATCGTTTTCTTTTTTCATAGTTGAATTAAAGCAATTGACTGGAGCTGGGCAGGCGCGGTTCTAGAACCAATATTGGGGGGGGGGGGGGGGCTAGCAGGGTGGATCCAGAATTTTTTTCAGGGAGGCGTGCTGAAATGTAGACCGGTTATTTTCTCCAGACACTTGGGCCTCCGAAAATCAATAGGTGGGTGGATGGGTGGTGGGGGGGGGGGGGGGGGGGGGGGCCTCATGCCATATTTTCAATGGGGAGCGCCAATAAAATCCTAAAATCATTCACACTATATTAACTACAAATGCACCCTTGTCACGACTTTTTCTTTAGGGGGAGACCGTTTAAATGTACATCACAATCCTTCTTTTTGCTAATGCAATTTCTTTTTACGGAATTTATTTTGGGGGGGCTAGACAAAAACAAAATTGGGGGGGGGCTAAAGCCCCCCCCCCCATAGAACCGCGCCTGGAGCTGGGTTTGAACTGGAGCAGGGTTTGAACCAGAGCCCTCTGGATTGCCATTCCGGTGCTCTTACCATTTGAGCTATCCAGCCCTATGTTGGCGGTTCCCCAATTTGTTAATGACTTTATTCAAGGGGTGCTAGTCAAAGCCATGAACCTGTATGCAACCACGGATCACGCCCAAAGTCATGGTTATTTTGAAGACTGTAACAAAAAGCTCTATCCTGTTTGAGTGATCCCTGTTTGCTATTTCCAAGGTTTGCAGCATTTTAACCCTAACTCCCTAGCATAATTTACTAGGAACCGTACCCATTTAGGCAAATTCCAACACCCACATGGGAAATTGTACACACACACTGTTGGACTTAGTTTCTGGAGGTATGCCAACCCCAGTGTAAAAGACCATCTGTTTAGGGGTACTGTACCTATCCCAACAGATTTCAACAAAACCTGCTGTTGGGCTTTGATGGGTTGACTTTAATAGGTTAGGGTCAATGTTGATAGTATGCTGTTCTGGTAGTCTGGTTCCCTGACCCTACCTCAGACGACACTAGCAATTTATAGACGTCGGGGAATTGTCAGGTCAGGGAACCAGACTAGCTGGCTTGCATCCGTTCACGGATGTGTAGCCGATTGCAACCAAATATGGACAAACTAAATTTGGTAAATTGGGAACAGTGTTTGAAAAAGTCAGTTTTTGTCAGTGATGGTTGGCCGACCATCGTCGGAAAATTGATACAATAATTCCACTTGTTTTGAAAATGACAGCACACCAGGTGCCACGATTTCACAGGATGCTTGAGACTTTTAACAGGTAGTGTTTTGTTGTTGTTGTTGTTGTATATTACCTTTAAAGTTCTTCTTTATTGTTTCCTTTTTCAAAACTCTTTACCAGAACAGTAAAACCGGGTATCAACTTTTCATGTTCATGTACTGCCACTACTGTGTATTGCATGAGCTCTTTGACTCATTAGTTCCGCCAAAAAACTGTCCTGCCTGTTACTCCCTACACCACCCAAAACCTCCCCAGCACTCCATTGGTTTAAGCGATTCTTCAGTGATTACATACAATACAGCGCATGTGATAATGGGTTAAAACTGACTGCCAAGCGAACAAGCCTTCCTCCAAACATTGCCAATATCAGAACACACCATACACGAGAGTACCAGCTACGGGCTAGAAACTTTAAAAAAGCACTGCAACAATTCGGGCCAAGTTCGCGCAAGGACTATAGTTGACCAATGGTTAACTAACGTTTGCCCGAACTCTGTCTAGTCGACGGTGGTTGACTACGATAGTCGACTATTTGGAACCAGCCTACTGGGGTTGGTTGCTTCGCTGGTAACCAACAGCCGCTCGCATTCACAACGCTAGCAGAGAGCCAGGATCCAGAAGTTTTGCAATGACATTTTGACCAGCGTTTGACTAAAGACGTTCGCACGTTGCTATCAGTGCGCAGACGTAAGGTACGTCACAAATCAACCACTAGTCGACTAATGGTCCTTGCCCGAACTTGGCCTCGGGCGATTCACAATGCAGTGCGCTACCAAGAGTTTGCCATGGAGAGTCAACTTTTCAAGTTTACGGTCGACAAAACATGGCCCATTTGAATGAGTGTCAGTAGACACTTGAGCTAATTTGTTATAGATTGGGGCATAGCGTTCTGCTGCCTTACCAAAAATCACCATATTGATACAAAGAAAAGCAAAGGGCAAACATATACTATACATATACGTGCGAAACCACGACCGGAAAAAACAAACAATTTCAAATGTCCCGCGCTGCGAATTTGTCGACTATCTCCCACAATGCACTGGGAAAATGAACTCTCCGTGGCAAACTATTGGTGGCGCTCTGCAATGTGAATCGCCCGAATTGTCAACCAATTCGCAGAATTATTGAAGAAGTTTATTGGCAAGCCCACGGAATGAACTCATGCAAACTTGAAAAAGCCAATTTAAAGTGCACACGGCATCAAAATTTCAACAGTCAACAAGTTTTATGATAGGCACAGAATTTCAACCACACACCAAATTTGTTTGAGACTTTAAAAAAAAAGTCCACAGTGATGGCGACAGCAATTTACAAAATGATCCCGAGAGTGGATACGGAAAGTTGTTCAACCGAGAAAAAATATTGACGTTTTGCGCTGACAAAGAAATATATATAAGGACAAACTTACCTCCCCCACAACTGATGAAGACACGCCCTCCTCCCTCTGTTGTTGCTTCAACTCTTCCATCTCTGCTTCCAGAGACAAGATCCGCTGATTGGAAATCCTGAAAGTTAAAAGAATAAGAAAAGATACAGGAGATTTAAATGTTGAGAATTGCTCATTGTCAGTTTATAAGCAACGAACACCCGGTTCTGTCCAAGTGCTTGGGACAAGTTTGCTGGGGTGGGACTCGAACCCACGACCTCCTGCTTACTGGTGCAGCAGCCGATTTCGTATGTAACAGTATGTAACGATTTCACAAAACAGCATGTAACTTATGACATGCGTAGGACTTACGCAGCAAATTTGTTGCGCAGCTGCGCAATAAACTTAAGATCGATTTCACAAAAACTTGGCGTAGCTGCGCAACATTTTAAATAATCTAAACATCTTGCACAAGGACAATGACAGCATTTTTCGACTACTGTGTGAGTATGATTTTTTACCAAAGTTCTCAAAGCACTTCACAATTATTACCCCTGTTCATCAGGCCATGAGACCAGTTGTTGCAGCAGCTCGAGATCAGCGCATCCTGGTCTCTACCCTCACAGGTACCTGTTTATACTCCTGGGTGGAGAGAGGCAATTGTAGTAAAGTGTCTTGCCCAAGAACACAAGCATCAGCGCAATCTGGTCTCTACCCTCACAGGTACCCATTTATACTCCTGGGAGGTGAGAGGCAATTGTAGTAAAGTGTCTTGCCCAAGAACACAAGCATCAGCGCAATCTGGTCTCTACCCTCACAGGTACCCATTTATACTCCTGGGAGGTGAGAGGCAATTGTAGTAAAGTGTCTTGCCCAAGAACACAAGCATCAGCGCAATCTGGTCTCTACCCTCACAGGTACCCATTTATACTCCTGGGAGGTGAGAGGCAATTGTAGTAAAGTGTCTTGCCCAAGAACACAAGCATCAGCGCAATCTGGTCTCTACCCTCACAGGTACCCATTTATACTCCTGGGAGGTGAGAGGCAATTGTAGTAAAGTGTCTTGCCCAAGAACACAAGCATCAGCGCAATCTGGTCTCTACCCTCACAGGTACCCATTTATACTCCTGGGAGGTGAGAGGCAATTGTAGTAAAGTGTCTTGCCCAAGAACACAAGCATCAGCGCAATCTGGTCTCTACCCTCACAGGTACCCATTTATACTCCTGGGAGGTGAGAGGCAATTGTAGTAAAGTGTCTTGCCCAAGAACACAAGCATCAGCGCAATCTGGTCTCTACCCTCACAGGTACCCATTTATACTCCTGGGAGGTGAGAGGCAATTGTAGTAAAGTGTCTTGCCCAAGAACACAAGCATCAGCGCAATCTGGTCTCTACCTTCACAGGTACCCATTTATACTCCTGGGTGGAAAGAGGCAATGTAGTAAAGTGTCTTGCCCAAGAACACAAGCATCAGCGCAATCTGGTCTCTACCCTCACAGGTACCCATTTATACTCCTGGGTGGAGAGAGGCAATTGTAGTCAAGTGCCTTGCCCAAGAACACAATCACCATGTTCCCCATTAGGATTCAAACCCTAAATATTGGAATAATTGAAGCCCAACCTTCATTCAATGAATGCACTCTTTGCATGTATCGTACCTGCTTTCTGATTCTAATTCACTCCTTCTTGCGTTGGAGTCGTCCAGGAGGCTCTGCAGTAGTTGCGTCTTCTCGTCTGTCGTCTCGCCCTGTTTTAGCTTCAGCATCTTGTTCTCATGCTGAAGACGGATAATCTTTTCCCTGGATTTAAAGGTAGAGTACATCATTTGTCATTTGTGCATTTGTTTCGTCTAAAGCAACAAAAGTGCTCAAAATCTAAAGACGGGTGCCTAACAACTAACTTGATGAAAGTATTGATGAGATGGAATTTGCGTCGGGGTGATGTAAATCAAATATTAGGTTTTGCCTTTCACCGACATATACACACTGTATACTCAGTGTGTTACCTCCCGGGTTAAAGTGAGAAGAAAAAATCACTCGGGTGGGACTTGACAATGTTTTAGCTCTGTGAATGCTATATTTTTCGAGAAAACAATATTTCAACACAAACGTTGCAGAGACATTTTTTGAATTGCACCTGAAATCAGCGTCTGGGACACGTTCTCATTCAGCCGATTGCAGCTATGCGATGTCATGCACGTACTGAACCGACAAATAAAAGCAACCGCGCACGCCTGTGTGTCGTGTCAACGCTTGCGCGCACCAAACTACCACCTACTAACGGAAATTTCCAAAAATGTGCCACTTGACGCATCTTTGGAAATGGTCTTCTTTAATTGTTTTCTTCAAAATGACAACATGCCAGAAAGAATAATTTCACAGGGAGTTTATCGCCATTACTATTTCTAAACCAAGTAAGATTTTCAACAATAAATTGATCAGGTACTTTTTGGATAGCTGCAAATGATCTACTCTACCTTTAATGGTTTCTTTTTACTTTTGGGCCGTGAAATCAACCTTAAATGTGGCTAATTTTGGATCATCCATGTCTAGACGAAACAAGACATGGAAGTGCATAAAATCAGCCTAGGGGTTTGACTGTACGCATCATTATGCAACCAGTGCGCAATGGTTACAAGATGCACACTGGCGGATTGGATGCGAAGAGAGCAGAGGGAAGTATATTTAAAGGGGCATTACTCCCGTTACTGAACTCAGAGCGTCTTAACCCTAACCACCCTGAATCCTTCAAAATCCCTTTTGCCAAGGTGGAGAAATTTGGAGGATTGAGGTTACATGGCAAAAGTGCGTTACTGATTTCGTAGGATGCACTTTGTCAAGGTCTTGGGCCGGACCTTGTGTTGTTATTGCTCAGCCATGCATAAATATAGGCCTGGATTATGCTTGAAATCATCCGTACTGCTCAAGGATGTCACTGGCCAAGCCTCAACATATTGACAGTCACTGCCGCAGGATTTTGCAGGATTCAGGTAGTGGTCACCCCTCCACAGACCATATTCAAGAAATAATGGAGGAATTTGCAGGTTTGAGGCTATATGCTACTTTTCCATGAGGCCAATGGGAGGATTTTGCAGGATTGAGGCTACATCCCATCAAAAAGGCCTAGGGAGTTAGGGTTAATGTTGTATACCATTGGAAAGCTCTGGCTCTGCAAAATCCAGTTTTATATAAATATCTCAATTCTTAAATGTAATGGCAGGTCACAAGTACCTGTGAGGGTTGGAGTTTACATGTGTCTCAATAGACAATAGACCCCTCTCGTAGACAGCCATCTCCGTAGGCAAATTACAACTGCGTATTACACGTCATCGTGTGTGCGCAGTGTGCAAAATAATCTGAACACGCGCGCATGTTGCTCGAAATTTCTTCGAAATACGGCACAGCCGATGCGTGCCGCGAAAATTTGACTCACAAAGTGCCGATGCACATTTAATACAATCTGTAGGCGTGACATCATTTGAGAGATATCTATACTGAACATCAATGCAAAATTTGTCGACTTTGGTGCGTCTGTCCAGACTTGTATTTGAGTCAACAAACATTGAGTCCGAGTCTGAGTCACCTCTCCCGAGTCTCAATCCCAGTCCAAGTCCTGAGTCATGCAGGTCGAGTCCAAGTCCGAGTCTCGAGTCACAAAAGTCGAGACCGAGTCACAAAAGCCGAGTCCGAGTCATGAGTCACTTTTAGTACTAAATACAGTTCAGAAATAAATTTTGAGCCGCACATATGTTAAGTATTTAGATGCATTTCTGCACCGCACAGACTGTATCCCTTGCTCAGGAAAGGATCTTCCTCAAAAATAGTTTCTGATTATATTGTTGAAAAAAATAAGTGATTTTTGGTAATTTTGGTCGAGTCCCGAGTCATGCAGGTAGAGTCTGAGTCCAAGTCGGAGTTCGCAGGCCCGAGTCCCAGTCATTCGTGATCTTGACTCGAATCTGAGTCACAGAAAATGGAACTCGAGTCCGAGTTTGAGTCACAAGTCACGCAACTCTGCTTCTTTCTGTACCCGATTGACCTGATTTCGGAGAGCATCATGTCTGCGAAGCCGGCTGATAACAGACTTCTCGAGTCCGAGTCTATCATGATCGTGACTCGAGTCTGAATCACAGACAATGGAACTCGAGTCGGACTCCAGTCCGAGTCCGAGTCACGAGTCACAAGTCACGCAACTCTGCCTCTTTCTGAACCCCACTGACCTGATTTCTGAGGGCATCATGTCTGCAAAGCCAGCTGATAGCGGACTCCCCGCTGGGGACATGCCCATGCTGATGTTGCCAGCCAGCTGGTTACACGTTAGCTCTTCGTTAGTTTCCTTGAGGGAATCACGCTCGGTCCGTAATCGCTGTAAAAGTAATGTTAACAGGGGCTTAAATCTGTGTTGGTGAGTAGGGGGATGGGGGAGGGATGATCCAAAATCCTTAGCTGCACAGCCGTGGAAATCCCAAAGGCAGGGAGGGGGGGGGGGTGGACACCACATGACACTAGAGGGTGCTGTTCATGATACAACTACAAATCTTACGCACACTAGTGCGCTTACGACCCGTAACTTTACATCACTACAGTGCAATGGTTTCTCCATTTTTCAGAACTATTTAATATACAGTGGAATCTCGATAAGTCAAACCTCAGAAGAATTGGCTCAAATTTTGGGTTCAGCAGAGTTTTGAGTTATCCCAAGGATTTTCTATTCAACAACAATTGAAGGATATATGTTTTTACTGAGTGAACAGGTTTTGAATTATCGAGATTTCACTGTCTGTGGACTGTTGGAGAAACGGAAGAAAACTCAAAATTGGTGTTTTTGGTTTTTCACAACAACAATCCGTGGGGGGGGGGGGGGGTAATGATCCAATGCCCTTGACTTCAGGTGTGCTTCTGAGATGTTATTTAAGACGTACGTCAACTTCGGTCTGGAACTGCGTCACTCTTTCAAGATGGCGTTTTCCCTCGAACTCAGCCTTGTCCGCCCGTCTCGTTTCTTCGGAGACCTTCGCGTGCAGCTCGTGGACTTGGCGCTTGTAATTCTCAAGCTGTGACTTCAGCGCGCTGGCTTTCTTTAGTTCCTAATATCAGAAGAAAATACCAGTAAAATTTATTGATTGAACAAGAAATGTGAATGACAGTAAGTTTTAGACTATGATGCATTAAAGGTAGAGTGGATCATTTGTCGTTTGTGCATTATTTTTTTCGTTTGAAGCAACAAGAGTGCTCAAAATCTAAAGAAGGGTACTGAACAACTAACCTGATGAAGTTTTAGCTCAGTGAATGCTGTATATTCTGAAAAACAATTTTCTAGGATATTGATTTCAATTGAAAAGTTGCCGAGTCATGTTTCAATTTGCACCCGAAATTAGCATCCGGGACACGTTCTCATTCAGCCGATTGCAGCTACGCGATGTCATGCACCGAACCAACGAATTATAGCAACCGCGCAGGCGTGTGCATCACGTCAAAGCCTGTGAGCGCACCCATTCACGGCTTTGCCGAATTAAAAAATGCGTCTTTATTTCACACCATTATTCATGGCGAAGTCACGGACAACAGCAATGTTTTACTTGAGTGAAATGTGCGTTAACTTGCTGCACAACTTAACCCTAACCCTTCTCAATCCTGTAATTTTCTCAGTATTTATTTTAACTTGTGGTGGGATTCGAACCTAGATTTCTAAAATAAAATTGGTTTGAATTGGACTTTTAAGTTTCAATTTCAGAAACTGGATATTAGACAACAAAGAAGTGAAGTTTTTTGTGACACCAAGCTAAAGAAAACAACTGGAACATCCCCCAATTTGCTCTGTGGTCTCTGGCTGTTGAGTACGTCATCAGATTCACTCAACAGTAGTCTTCTTGGTCCGCGAATAGCCTGCCCCTTCGAATGATCAGAGAGTTCCCATGCATTTTTTCCTTCAACATTACAGCTCTGGAGTGTTTTTTTTTGTAAAGGCCCAGTGGTCATTGAATGCTACAAACTATACCCAATGCAGCATCTCACTCATCACTTTTTGTTGGCATAACTGTGAGCTGAATGGGAGCTTCTAGAAAAATCAAATAACTGTTATTCAATTTGAAAATTTGTTTTACGATTACTTGATTTCGATTATCCTGATTTCTCCCACCACTGACCTTAACTCCACATTTGGTAAATTATTATTGGCTTTAACTCTCCTACGCAAACATACATTCTGTATCAAGTTGTCCCTTCAGGCAAAATCAATTAAGTGACTGTTTTCAACAGTTTAAGAGCTCCCAGGCTACTGACTGGCTGTGTGACTGTTTAACTTGATACAGCAATGCTTTGACTGTAGGTGACTGATAAGACAGCTGTGCCAACAGTTTCCTGCTTTTTATCTGTTGACTGAAGTGACTAGTCAGAGTGCTCGCTTGAAATATGATCCGACTGTTTGTGACTGGCCTGTGTAAACGGCATGGCAGGGAAAGTGGATTGAATTTTTGACTGTCTGTGACCGTTTAAAACACTAGGAGGGTTAATGGGCTTCTATACATGTGAAAGGCTCATGGACTCATCCATCACATCGAAAGGAAAGGTAAAAAAACAAGATGGCTCCCACTGTCACATGATCAAGGTCTGGTTCCCTACCTCCTCCAGTTCCATGGAATTCTGCATATACATTGTATTCTTGTCCTCCAGGAGCTTGACCTGTCTCTTCAGGTCACTCAGATCTTCTAGTTTCTTCTTATACGTCTCGATGGTGGATTCGTATTTGGACACTTTGTCTGACGTGTGTCGCAGGACGTCCATTTCGTCCTTGAGAGCCCTGGCCTCTTCAGCGAGACTCGTGAGTTTTTCATTCTGGAAAAAAAAAAAATTAAAAGAGAGAAACTTTTAAACCCATTCTTTCGTTTGTAAACATTGGGTGCCATTTTCTATGGGCCATTTTGTACGTGACATTTTGTATGTGACATTTTGCATCAACTGTCAGATTTTGTGGAATAGCACCAAGACTTTTATTTAAATTTCCACATGTTTTATTTACAAGGCAAAAATTGGTAACCAGCGAAAATGCCATACAAAATATATACTGCATTTGACTGGCATCCAGCTGATTTCTGCTCAGCACATGAATCTGCTAAGCATTTATCTTCTGCTTCTAAATCAGTTCAATGACAATGGGCCCATGGGCCCATGGGCCCATTTCACGAAAATGTTAAGACGTGTCTTAGGAAGGGTAACTCGTCTCATCTCGCGACTCGTCCTAGGATCGATTTCACCAAACTTAAGACATGTTCTAACTTATTTAGCAACGCCGCTGAACTCATCTTAACCTAACGGTCTGAGGGTCGTCTTATCCCATGAATAGTGTGTTAATTTGTGTATCGTCTATGGGCATCATTGCAATTTCTACTTGTTTAAGACGAGTGTCGGCCTAGAGCCATAGTTTAAGAGGAAGCAAACCACTGTAGAAACAGATTTGAAAAGATCTCTGACACATGGGAAAAATTCAATTATAAGCCGACATCTGGTCATCTTTTGAAAATGAAATAGTTTGGGTTCTCGAAGTAGAGTAATGAACTAGGGAGCAAGACGTTTAGTCATAAGGGTAGAGAAGAGAAGTTTTCATACGAAAGTTCGTGTTCTATGCACGTGCGCGGGAAGTTGGTTTTGTGTGTATTTTTTCAAAGACTGATTCGTCAAGCGGTAAACACAAACAAGGAACAGCCATCAAATTGGTAGTTTTGATGCACCTTGCTAAGATGCATTTAGTGAAATCAGTCTTAGGACGCGTCTTCTCTAGGATCGTTGTTAGAGTGGGGACTCGTCTTTAAGTCATAATATGAGTCGTAAGATAAGACAACTTTCTTGATATCGGCCCCTGGTCTATGAAATGGACAGCGAGGAAGCGGAGATGTCATACTTTTTGTGATATTTCGAGGACTTCCCTCTCCAGCATGTCGATTCTGATTTGCAAATCGTCTCGGATGTTTTCCAGACGGAAGTTCTCCTCCTGGTACTCTTCCACCGTTTGCTGCAGGTGCTGGTGCCTCCTTCCTGCTGGAGTACTGTGATTTAAAACCACGGATTAAAAAGAAGAAGAAAGGTCAGTGTGTTTCTGCAAATTCCAAGAAAAGTTCCGAGCTGAGTGTGCCTTTATTTTAAGTTTACATCTTTAGCAAAGGTAAAACTAAAAAAAACCAAAAAAACTACAAGCTAAATACAAACCATTTGTTTTTAGTTCTTTCTAGTTATAATTAAGGCCGGTTTACACTTTATGTGAATGTTAATGCGAATGCGAATTTGACGTCACAAAGCATTTGCTGCAAAATTAGCCGGTGTGGAAATGTGTTCAACTTTTGCGAATTTGCAGACTCGTCACAAATTCACTTTCACATCGAGTATGACCGGCCTTCTTTTTTTTTTTTTTCTATCAAGCATCTTTCAAACCTATTTCAGCCCATTTTATTAGTTGAATGTTCTTTCACTGTTATACAACAGCTGGAATTTAAAAATGGCGGTGTTTTTTTTTCCTACAAAAATTAGCTTTACAACTTATACAGAACTCAGTACCCCAATATGTTGAAAGCTTTTTACGCTCATTTCATGGTGACAGATGACAGAATGGCAAACAGCAGAGAAACTGTCTGCTGACTGACCGTAAATTCCCCCTCTACATTCGTCGCAGTGTTCAGGTACGCACATGTACATGTACAAATTTCCAGCTAAGCTTGTTTAAGAAGTGCAATGCAGTTATGACTTGTGCCTAGGCAAACACATTTTACAATTGTTCACTTCTGATGCCAATTTGTACAGGTAGTAGGTAGCACGTCGAAAAACACCAACAAAATTAAACATACAATAAATTACATTCCTAAATGCAGAAACTACTGAATGAAAAGAGAGGGACGAACCAAAATACTTTGAGGCAAGTGAGGGAGTTTCCACGATGCAGAAATAAGTGGAGAGGGCATTTACAGCAAAAATTTGGAAGTATACTTAACAGGTGTATCAGATACAAAATCTATTTAAACTAACTGGCAATAAATAAAAGGGCTACTGAAATAATTGGGATACTCAAGATCAAGGCAATATCAGCATCACTGACACTCACCTAGGGCTCATGTTTTTATGATTTGAAAAATAGAGTAGAGACAAACTGAAATGTCCATAAATGACACCGAGTATCAGAAAATTAAAAATTTGGATGGAATTTCAACTTTTTTGCTCTTGAAGTTAAAGGGGCACTAGGTCCTGAAATTCAATGAAAATTTCATGTTTTGGATTGTTTACTTATCCTATTTCAACCATCTGGTTAAAAGGAAACCAACCTAATGTCTTACCGTTCCCGAGAAAAGCAAAAAAAACCCGGTTGTTAACATCGGACACGACGGAGTACGAATACGTTTTTCCTGTCGTTCTCAGTGTACGATATACATGTTGTGTTTTTCGGGAACAGTGGTGACCAATCACCAATGCACAAAATAAATTTTCTTCAACGTCCGCAAACGGCAAACACTTTACGGATGAAATCACAACTAGCATCCAAACAGCTCGACTTTATGGGGTCGCAAAAGTGGACCCGGAAATTTGTTCTCGCACGCATAATACAGGAATAACACAAAAACGCCCAGTTTTTAAAGGATAGTTGTGTGGATGTTTATATCCTACTTTTAAATGTTCTTTCCGATTAACATTATTTCATTCAAGCGCGTTTTGTAGCCCATTTGGGCTGTTCCAGGACGCAGTGTCCCTATAACTGTTGAGTGCTCCCTGCCTTCATAAAGCAGGATTGACTGGCTGTGATTGTTATGAAACCTGATATGTTTTGACTGTAGGAGATTGGTAAGCCAGCTGTGCCTACCAGTCACCTGCTTTTGTCTGTTGATGGAATTTGACTGTCACAATGCCTACAAGAAATATGATCTACCTGTTGGTGACTAGCCTGTGTAAAAAGCATGGCAGGGGAACTGGATTGGTTTTTGGCTGCCTGTAACCGTTCAAATAGCAGGAGGGTTAACCAGTTGAAAATATTAAAACCTTCAGTTCTGATGTAATGTCTGTGATGCTGATATTGCCACAGTGTGTGTTCTATGGTTAATAATCACCATGCAGTTTACGTAGATTAGAATAAAAACTAAGCATTGACAAGACTGGGAAAATGCAAAAAAAAAAAAAATTGTCAACCATAGGAATAAGACAGGGCGAAGCAACATCTGCAAGAGAACATGCACCGTTCAATTTTACCTTGTGTTCTTCTCACTTTATATCAAGTTGAAAAAATGAAAAGAAAAGGCCAATATTTATTACCCTTTTTGAAATCTACCCCGAAAATGCAACAGTTTATGAATATCAGATGTAGTTTGACCAATTTAATCAGGTTACGCCGGGATTAAATTGACAAGAACGGAACGAGGCGCGGGACTACTTTTCACTCGACCTCAAGCCAGGCGGGTTGAAGCCATCACCCTCGGGCAGCACACTCATATTTCCGGCCTCGCCCGCCGCGAGCGGGTCGCTGACAGATATTTCTGGCCTTGCTCCTTGCGTGTTTAGCTGTCGTCCGTTCTGAATACCGCAAAACTTTTGCGTGTATACACGGCCTCCAGCGCGAACTGGTTAAATGTAACCCGATTTTTTTTTTTTTGCTAGTGAAGGGCAAAACTCAATATTAAATTTAACCCAATATTAGCAACCAGTATTTTTTGCTGGGACGTTTTCAAAATCTACCAAAACAAGTACCCCTCAACGGTAGCAGTACCCCCTCAACGGTAGAAAAGGGAGAGTCGGGGGAGACCACTGGGCGAGATATTAAAACGCATTGCTAATGGCGCGACGCCCGACACTCGCGCAGAGATGTTATGGCTTTGTGCACATGCCGAACAAAATGAGTCGTGCGTACTTCGCGCTACATGCGCGCAAAACCAGTACGCACACGGAGCTCTTGAAAGCGCCCTCTCTTGTTCCCGCAAGGAGCCCATAGAGACCAAGACTACACTAAAAGTCCCTGTCACCAAGATTCAAATATAAAATCTTTGTCATTGGCTAGCCAGTCAAAACGTGCACTGAGCATGCACAAGTTCCTTCATGAATAATTCATGTCATGCATAATGCATATTAAGAGAATGCCTCTGATTGGCTCATGACAGGTACCTTTTTCGTTCTGTTGGCTTGTTAACCTTTTTGCTTGAGAGATCATGGAATAAATAGCATGTTAATTTTTCTGCATTTTTTAATGAAGTTAGGTTCAAGAAAACCAGATTTGAAAGATAGAAAAACTGTTTGATAGATAATGCTTACAGTTCAAACATGTTTAAACCAGAAAGAAATGGGTAAAACAAACCAAATCTGCCTTAGGCCAAAAAAAAAAAAGTCTCCAGTTTCTGGTATGGAGCTTGCCCCAAAAGTGGTGCGGCGACGCGTTTTTTTTTTTTTTTCACCCAACTTTTTTTTCTCTTCAAATGTCAGCTGATGCTGCAGATGAGGCTTCGATCCCCTTAAAACTCTCAAAATATCCTTCAGAGTGCAGCTTAAGGTGACCTCAGCAAGGCCATAAGGCTTGAGAAGTATATTGAGCTAATTAAAAAGCGTTTACAGGTTCCAGATATACGACCATCACAGAATTACAAAATTACAACACCCTCCGCAAATGGTGCCCAACTAAATTTAGTGCAAAATATATGGGAGCCCAGAGAGGCCACATAAAGCTTATACTTGATCGTAACCCCATCTAAAAACACATTAAAATTGTGCAGCAGCAGGATTCCAATCAAACCAGTGAGTTTGTCGGTTTTGAGACATCACCTTACATTGAAAAAAAAACTTTTAAATTTTGCCGACGCGCATGGCTACGGCGACGCACGCATACCAGAAACCGGAGACTTTTTGGGGGGGTTTTAACTCTAACCACCCCAACTCCATAAAAATCCCATTTTGGTGAGTGTACATACCTTGGGTCGTCGACGCTGTCTCCTAGATCCAGTCTCTCATGTAACTGCTCATTCTCTGCGTGCAGCGTGTTTCGTTCTTCGGTTAAAGTTGCAACCTGTTAACCAATTTAACAGAGCTACATGGTTCATATATTGGTTCAAATATAAGGTGGCTTTTCTTTTTTTGGTGGGATTCAAATATTTCAGTGCTATCTAAAGCTCAGCTAACTGGTTATCAATCTCAGTAAGCCAGTTTGGTATTTCAACTGTGCGTGCTGCAGCAGAAAGCTTTTGTGGAAATGCAGGATCACTCCTGATGTTATTGCACACCTCCATCGTTTGGCGCAACACACGATCAAGGAGGTGTGCAATGACATCAGGGGTGATCCTGCATCCTTCAGAAGCTTTCGGGCACAGGACACGCCTTCCACCACCGTCTCCATCGCTGTATCGATATTCTGAAAGTGAGCATTTTTTCCTTTTTAAATGCCATTCACACTGTCTCAAACCGTAGCAGTAATTGGCAGAGGATTTTGGAGGATTGACGCAGTGGTCACCCTCCACAGACTAAATTCAAGAAAAAAACGGATGATTTTGGATGATTGAGGCTGAATCCAAATTTTTTCTTGGTGGCAACTGGAGGATTTTGCAGGATTGAGGTTGCATCCTAGCCAGAGGGCCTAGCGGGTTAGGGTTAATGGTCAGAAGAACCATGACATTGAGCCCGGACATCAGGCGAGAGAGCGAATCCCATACCTGGATGTCTAGCTCATGGCAGCGTTGCATGACTTCTTCTTTGTCCATTAGGGAGTGCTGCAGGTCCTCCATTGTCCTCTTGAGCTGTCGCTCAATCTCCGCGTACGCCTCCGGCGGTGGCTCGTTGCTAGGCATCTCCTTGGACATGAGCTCTTGGATCGCGTTCATGACCGCGTGTTGAACCGATTCTTCCATGCCCATGATGACGTTGATGTACTCTGCAAAGAGGTTGTGCAAACATTAGATCACAATACAGGGTGAGTAAAAAAAAAAGTGTTCTTGCAGTTAAACGAAAAGAATTCAAATAGGGGGTATGTGAATTGTTTTCATTTTGCTGAAAGAACGCACACCTTTTTTGAAAAGTAACTTGAAAAGTACAGGAGTGATTTGAATGATTCTTGTACTAAAAGAAAGGTTCACTGCACAATGCAACAGAGGGTTCGAGCCTGTCGGTGGACACTTGTGCCCTTGAGCAAGGCACTTGACCATTACTGCTTCGTCCTTCGGATGGGCCGTAAAGCCGTAGGTCCCGTGTGTTGTGTAATCCAATGCACGTAAAAGAACCCAGTGACACTTAGAAGGGGTTTGCCCCGGTGTTTCTGGCCTCCTATTTAAACTCCCACATGGAGTATTTAGGAGATGAACAAACCAAGAACCAAGAATCCACTGTTGCAGTTTGTTGCATTTAGCAGGGTTCTCATTTGAGTTGAGTTAGATATTGTTGCATTTAGCTGGGTAACTGCTTGGTGCCAGGTTCACTGCATAATGCAACAGAATCCACTGTTGCAGGTGGTTGCATTTAGCAGGGTTCTCATTTGAGTTGAGTTGGATATTGTTGCATTTAGCAGGGTAACTGCTTGGTGCCAGGTTCACTGCACAATGCAACAGAATCCACTGTTGCAGGTGGTTGCATTTAGCAGGCTTCTCATTTGAGTTGAGTTGGATATTGTTGCATTTAGCAGGGTAAATGCTTGGTGCCAGGTTCACTGCACAATGCAACAGAATCCACTGTTGCAGTTTGTTGCATTTAGCAGGGTTCTCATTCGAGTTGAGTTAGATATTGTTGCATTTAGCAGGGTAACTTCTTGGTGCCAGGTTCACTGCACAATGCAACAGAATCCACTGTTGCAGTTTGTTGCATTTAGCATGCTTCTCATTTGAGTTGAGTTGGATATTGTTGCATTTAGCAGGGTAACTGCTTGGTGCCAGGTTCACTGCACAATGCAACAGAATCCACTGTTGCAGGTGGTTGCATTTAGCAGGGTTCTCATTGAGTTGAGTTGGATATTGTTGCATTTAGCAGGGTAACTGCTTGGTGCCAGGTTCACTGCACAATGCAACAGAATCCACTGTTGCAGTTTGTTGCATTTAGCAGGGTTCTCATTCGGGTTGAGTTAGATATTGTTGCATTTAGCAGGGTAACTGCTTGGTGCCAGGTTCACTGCACAATGCAACAGAATCCACTGTTGCAGTTTGTTGCATTTAGCAGGGTTCTCATTCGGGTTGAGTTAGATATTGTTGCATTTAGCAGGGTAACTGCTTGGTGCCAGGTTCACTGCACAATGCAACAGAATCCACTGTTGCAGTTTGTTGCATTTAGCAGGGTTCTCATTCGGGTTGAGTTAGATATTGTTGCATTTAGCAGGGTAACTGCTTGGTGCCAGGTTCACTGCACAATGCAACAGAATCCACTGTTGCAGGTGGTTGCATTTAGCAGGGTTCTCATTCGGGTTGAGTTAGATATTGTTGCATTTAGCAGGGTAACTGCTTGGTGCCAGGTTCACTGCACAATGCAACAGAATCCACTGTTGCAGGTGGTTGCATTTAGCAGGGTTCTCATTTGAGTTGCGTTGGATATTGTTGCATTTAGCAGGGTAACTGCTTGGTGCCAGGTTCACTGCACAATGCAACAGAATCCACTGTTGCAGGTTGTTGAATTTAGCAGGGTTCTCATTTGAGTTGAGTTGGATATTGTTGCATTTAGCAGGGTAACTGCTTGGTGCCAGGTTCACTGCACAATGCAACAGAATCCACTGTTGCAGGTGGTTGCATTTAGCAGGGTTCTCATTGAGTTGAGTTGGATATTGTTGCATTTAGCAGGGTAACTGCTTGGTGCCAGGTTCACTGCACAATGCAACAGAATCCACTGTTACAGTTTGTTGCATTTAGCAGGGTTCTCATTTGAGTTGAGTTGATATTGTTGCATTTAGCAGGGTAACTGCTTGGTGCCAGGTTCACTGCACAATGCAACAGAATCCACTGTTGCAGTTTGTTGCATTTAGCATGCTTCTCATTTGAGTTGAGTTGGATATTGTTGCATTTAGCAGGGTAACTGCTTGGTGCCAGGTTCACTGCACAATGCAACAGAATCCACTGTTGCAGGTGGTTGCATTTAGCAGGGTTCTCATTGAGTTGAGTTGGATATTGTTGCATTTAGCAGGGTAACTGCTTGGTGCCAGGTTCACTGCACAATGCAACAGAATCCACTGTTACAGTTTGTTGCATTTAGCAGGGTTCTCATTTGAGTTGAGTTGGATATTGTTGAATTTAGCAGGGTAACTGCTTGGTGCCAGGTTCCCTGCCTAATGCAACAGAATCCACTGTTGCAGTTTGTTTAATTTAGCAGGGTTCTCATTTGAGTTGAGTTGGATATTGTTGAATTTAGCAGGGTAACTGCTTGGTGCCAGGTTCACTGCATAATGCAACAGAATCCACTGTTGCAGTTTTGTTGCATTTAGCAGGGTTCTCATATGAGTTGAGTTGGAAATTGTTGCATTTAGCAGGGAACCTGAAGAATACCCGATGGGAGTTAGGGTTCATAACTGTCCAAGCTCTTACCCTCTTTGTGTTCGCAATTTACAGCACAGCCTAGCACCAGTTGCAGTAAACGACCCAACTCCTCAAGGTCATGTCTCTCTGCAATCTTGGAGACATCGGGGAGCTTGAAATCCCGAATTTGTTGTCCAAGAACCTGTTTAAGGCACAAACAACAGAAAAGTATTAATAAAAAAATTCCAGACAACTTTTGTTAACTCAAATTTGGATAACTTGAAAGTCTGTTTATCTTTAAGTTATACTCCTTTCCCGTTTAGAGAATTTGATTATTAATTTTTAAAATTTTTAAAAATTTATATTTTATCAGTAAGTGTCACCATGTGATATTAAAAAACAAAAGAAATAAACTCAGAAAACGTCCACCAATTTTGTCATGCAAAACATGTTGCTGTACTGATTCCATCAAAATCCACCAGTGAGTCCATCAAAATCCACCAGTAGTACATACACCTCGTACACACCAATCATACAATGTATAGCTAAGGAGTTAAACTGATCCTGCATCCATCAAAGTCCCCCAACTGCTCAATATGGCGGTATCCTGAATCCATCAAAATCCTGCAGTACCGCTAGGCTTACTGTCCTGGTTCCATCAAAATCCCCCAACTTGTTCTATATGGAGGTATCCTGAATCCACCAAAATCCTCCAAAACAGGGGTGTGGATTTTGATGGATTCAGGTACGTAAGGGTTAATGCATGTCTTGTATGTGTTTAGTTGGGCGCTGTCCCAAATCGATCAAAACATTAATTTAACCCTAAGTTAGACCTACAACCCCCCTTGAGCGATTTACTAGGAACCTTCCTCACTCTTGCACATTCCAACACCAAACTTTACACTCAAACTGCTGGACTCTGAATATTTGTGGTATGCCTGACCCCATGTAATAATCAGTTTACTAGTGTAGTACTCACTCCAACAGATTCCAACAAACCCTAGTGTTGGAGTTTGACTGGATGGGGATTGTTATAGTTAATACGAGAACAAAACGGTACATTTGCATAGTAGAATGCGAATGCTCAGTGGTAACGGTGTTTGACTCATGTACGATGGTGCACAAGTTCAAACCCTGCCAGGAACATGGTGTTTGTGCCCTTGGGCAAGACACTTAACTACAATTGCCTCTCTCCACCCAGGAGTAAGAATGGGTACCTGTGAGGGTCGAGGACCGATTGAGCGCGGATATCGGCGCTGCGTGGTATCGTGGCCTGATGAACGGTGCAATAATTGTAAAGCGTTTGAGATTGTTGATACGATGGAAAGCACAATTATTATTACATTTGGCCAGATTTGGGGAAGTTGCGGTAAGTGCAGTTAGGGTCAAAGATCAAGCGATTCGAGGAATTACTGTCCATGAAAGACCACATAATCCTCAGACAACACAAACTGACAAAAATAAACCCTTCTGCTTGTAACTTGACGCTACGCCAAAGAAACAATTAGTGTCTAACCAATAACTGACAAGATAATCGGCCACTAATGAGCTATTTTTGGCAGCGTCAACCTCATCCCTAATCCAATATCCTGGGCCAGTAATCCTCCATAACCCGCCCGACTGTGGCAATGCTATTTTTTTTCCACGCGAACTGCACTTCACATTTAGCGACAGGAAATACACAGGAAGTGTGTGTATTTATACATGTACTTTGCTTCGAATGACATCAAAGTGCTAAGGGACAATAATATTAGTTCAACAGGAATGTCTCTGAATGTGCATGTAGTATTTGGACCAACATTAGGCACAGGAAACACTGAGATTTATAACACAGGTAAAAAACATGAGTTCTATACATACTTTTAACCCTAAAAGGGCCAGGTTATTTTGACCATCTCTCAGCCGGGTGGGGGCGGATTCCACCACCCCCCCCCCAGATCTCGGCCATCGAGTGACAAAAAAATTTGAAACTCTGTACATGCATAGAGCAACTCATCATGAACATACCCAAGAAATTTCATGACTATAGGTCGAAGGGTTTTGGAATTATGGGTAATTAATTATTCATATGTAGGAATGGTAATTGTGCTCTGTGCACATGACGTATATGGGAAAGCTAAGTTTTCACGGCGCGTAGCCCCGGAATTTTTTTCACTACGCGGCAACCCATGGTCCGATTATTATGTTTTTGGTATCAAGATGCGCAAGGCTCGACGCTAAAAAGTCATAACAGCTCGGGCCGCGCAATTTATTTTTTAAAGGCTACTGTGGAAAAAGTTGGATCCCCCCCCCCCCCGGCTCTTTTAGGGTTAACTGGGCTTATTTGGTGTTAGTCAGTGAAAATTGAATGCACAATGAGTGCTTAACACAACATTGTCGCACATTTTGGGGGTATTTTTGAAGCTTTGATTTTTCATGACAATGCCAGATACACAAGAATCTTTTTGGATAATAAAAATATTGAAGATGCATTCTTTCCTAAAAAAAAAAAAAGAAAAAGAAAAACATGGGGAATTCCCCATTTGTTTTGGGCCAATTTTAAGGCCGATTTCTGGTTGGGGCCATATTGAGGGTCACCCAAATCAGGGAAGACATATACATGTATGTTGTTCTTTGTTTCACATAAATGTCAATACTACAAGTCAGAGATTACATTAAAATTAAAATATAGAAAAGTTAATGCAAAGTTCCAAGTTTAGGGGTATAATGGATAATTTTTTAACCCCCCACCCCCTAAAATTAAGGTGTGATGCATGATGGGTATTATTTTTCTATATTCCTTCTCTTCTGTAGTTGAAACAATGTACCAAAATTAAGCTTCCAAATCACTCTCATTCTCAAGATATGGGTCCTTAAAGTCAGTGACCAAAATAACTCCTGAAATCTGGAGGAAAAATACTGACAAAAAATCCTGCAATCAGAGGGAAAAAAAACAGACCAAAAATCCTGACAAATCTCACCCCCGAATATTTTGGTCAGTTACTTTTTGGACAGCTGCAAATGATGTACATTGTACATGTACTCTACCTTAAATACCATGTGAACAATACATGTACCAGGATGTATGACAGGGTATACAGGGTGTTTAAAAAAAAAAGGACACCCAACTTCAAAGAATGAGTATGGACAGACGATATGTTTACTGGCTATAAAACTGGTATCATCTGAAAGCGTAATCTCTATGCTTTTCAATGATACTATGTTTAGGTTTTCTGAGTCATGCATCAGTGAGCATCATTGTCTTGAAAACTGGATGCAAAAATGCAGTTGGTTCACTTTAATAAAAAACAAAAAACCACTGGGCACGGTGTGCCTATTGTTAAGGAAATGTCTGTGAAATGGCTTGAATGTTAATCCTCGGGAAAATGGCACATTGTTTTGAACATGGCTTGGTCAAAACCATTTCTTTTTATGCACTTGTGTCTTCTTCTTGAGTACTTATTCTCATGCACACCATGCCTATTGTGTTTGACATGAAAGTGAACCAACTGAAATTTTGCACCAAAATCTCATGACAGTGGCGCTCAGTGATGCATGACCCTGGAAATGTAAACAAGGTATCATTGAAAAGCATAGAGTTTACGCTTTCAGATGATACCAGTTTTATAGCCATTAAACATTTAGTCTGTCCATACTGGTTCTTCAAAGTTGGGATTCCTTTTTATTGAAACACTCTGTACAAGGGACTGTGGGATATTTCTTACATCGTTGTAGAAATCCAGAATCCCTTCCAGGACCTTCTTCAAGTTGCTGACACGTATACGCCAGCTGTCACCGACTTCCCTCCTTATGCGGCTATACCAACCCGTGTTAAAAAATGTTGGTGCTCTGTAGAAGACATGAAGAAAGCAAAATTGAAAATATAGTTGGGTACTGATAGCATCTACCACAATACATGCAAGAGTTATAAAAGTTAGGTCGAATCCACGTCATCGCTGCTCATTTTCATTGACTGTTAGTTTTTTTTCTTCTCTAAATTTAATTTCAATTTAAGGGAAAAATAAGAGAATAAGAACCTAAGTGTCTTGTAATGATTCAGTGGTAAAACTGAATTAAGTCAAATAAAGAAAAAATGTTTGGCGTCCCTGCCCGCTTCCTTCTTTAATCCGAACAAAATTATAAATTTTAAACAGTGACATCATTCTGGCCTCTTTGTCTGTTGCATCTAGCCCATATAAAGCTGATATATGTCATTTCCTGAGTCCAAGTGGCATCCATTAAAAAAAAGATGGCGGCCATCTTGAAAAATAGCCCGGTCGGTCGGGCTGGTAAGGGAAAAAAGGAGGTCCTTCATTTTTGCAAAAAGGCAGGACGCTAAACATGTTTTTTTTTACTTGGTCTTATGCATGGCTTGTCACCTAAAGCTTTGGACCCAAACCCAAGGCTTCCGAGATGCAATTAAACCTACTTGAATGAACAAAGTCTTTATGATTCACTGGTTCAGCACAATGCACAAAAGGTAACAATAGCCAAGGACATTATGCTGCACAGCTTTCACTTGTTCTGCACCGCCCATTAAATTTACAGCTTGCTGCCCAAGATAGGGTATACAATGTACATGTACGCACATGCACATGTACAGCCCTTCGAAGTAGCGGCTTTCTATGAAAGTGAAAAGCATGAACAAGGAAGTGCGACAACGAAAGGGAATTTAAGATTTCAGTGACTACTGGAAATTTAAATAGTTTGCCACAATTTGATCAATGTGTACTTAGTTCCCAACTGAGGAATTTTCTAGGGACAACTTAACAATAGGCTGACATTTGTGACATTAGGAAAGTCAATTCATCACATTCACATAAAGTAATCATGAAAAGAGTTACTTCACTTGTTTACATGTTTATTACTAAATGCAGGGTCGCTATAACTTTTTTTTTTCACTAGCCAGCCGGACCAGTGAAACAGACACTTACATGTAACTAGTCCGCGGGCCTTTTCACTAGTCCGCGCATGTTTTTTTTATTCGTTGAATATAATTTTTTTCTTCTTCGAACTAGAATGTCAGCAAGAACAATGCGCATGCATAGCATAAATTGAATCATCAGGCAATCTTGCAAGTGTTTTCAACAAACAATAAAAAACAGCCAAGCGTTACCGGCGTAAGTACCAGCATTATACAAGACCTTGAAATAAATGCAGAAAGCGAAAAATATATACACACAGAAAAGGCAGATCAAGTTATGTGAATTAAGTCGCAGAAATCTTCTACCCCTCTCGATGTTTTTGGGACATTTTTATGATTTTTACGATGTCAAATTCGACCATTTAAATTACAATACATAGGCCATGATTTTCCAAGGAGGTCAGCACATGGCAATACTGTCTGTATTTGATTTTATATATTTGCAATTTCCACGCAATGATGACACAGATGAATAAATTAAAGGAAGAACATCGCATGTAACCGTCGCATTCATGCAGACCAATAGCCCAGAGTACACAGAGGGCGCTATGTCAACTTGCTCATTCATAAAAAGGCCAGACAGTATGCTGGAGAATGCGTACGGAGTCTGTGTCCTGTCATTGCCTGTAGGCCTACATTTTAAAGCTGTAGTCCATCATTTGCAGCCATCCGTAACTTGCATAATTATTGTTGAAAAACATACTTGGTTGAAAGATAGTAAGTGGACTAAACTCCTTGTGAAATTATTCTTTCTGGCAAGCTGTCATTTAGAAGTAATCAACGAAAGAAGGCCTTTCTAACGGTGCCTCTTAAGACGCACCGTTTGAAAATTTAAATTAGTAGTTCGTTTTTTTTATTTGGCGAAGCACGCACAAGCATTTGCACGACGCACACACGCGCGGTTGCTTTAATTCGTCAGCTCAGTGAGAACGCGTCTCGGACGCTGAATTCAGGCCCAATTCAAAACATGATTCAGCAACTTTTGATTTGAAATTGAGATCCCAGCGGAAGCGTAACACCCGATGACTGTTTCATGCACTATCGGTTGCGGTTCCAGTACCGCAGCTGTGATGCGAGTGGTAAACCTCATATGAGTGCATGAAACAGTCATCGGGTGTTACGCTTCCGCGCGACGTCATGCGCCAACAGCCAACAGCCAACCGGCAAAAACGACTAGTTGACAGCCTGGTAACCGACCGCCATTCATTGTACACAATTTTTTTTTGTGCACAAACCAATTGCGGTCCTGGCCATGCCTGCAAGGTTGTCAGGTTAGCGGTTATTCCTCCTTTTTTCACTGCAATTGTAGGCTGAATCTTCATCGTGGATCGTTTTTTACTTCAAGGACCTGTGTAATGGTTATTCCAGGCAAGTTTGGGGTGAGTTGCAGTTGCAATTAGTGTGTAACAGGGACAAAATTGAACATTTTCCAATAATTTTTGGGGGGACCTGCCTATACTATCGGTTACGAGAAAAACTAGCTCCAGCCCTAATAGACAACCCAATGATAAAACTCAGGGCCGGGTAGCCCCACTAGTGTGGCCGTCGGTATGCTGCGCTGAACCTTTGGCCACACACCGTGGTACCGCGCGCTACTGAGGACGAAGTTTTCATAAAAATTCAGGGCAGTTTCTTACATTCTCAGTTTCTTACTTTCTTATGGTTGTATTCTATGATGTCTCACCTGTCACTTCTGGGATGCTTAGGTCTAATGATGTTCCATTTTCCGAGATATTCTTCAATCTTTCTGGAGCCCATATGCACTCGTGAAACGTCTGGTGGTGGCAGCCATTTTGAATGTGACAAGAGATGACCTCAAGCTGTGACGTCGCGTTTATGCAAATTGCTTGTCGAGCGCGCGAGGGCGCGAGTTGCAAATGCGACGGCTGTTTCCTGTGCCGTAGATCCTGAATAGAGATCGGTGCACGTGGCCCCCTGACGATAAATGCATGGTACAGGAAACAGCCGTCGCATTTGCAACTCGCGCCCTCGCGCGCTCGACAAGCAATTTGCATAAACGCGACGTCACAGCTTGAGGTCATCTCTTGTCACATTCAAAATGGCTGCCACCACCAGACGTTTCACGAGTGCATATGGGCTCCAGAAAGATTGAAGAATATCTCGGAAAATGGAACATCATTAGACCTAAGCATCCCAGAAGTGACAGGTGAGACATCATAGAATACAACCATAAGAAAGTAAGAAACTGAGAATGTAAGAAACTGCCCTGAATTTTTATGAAAACTTCGTCCTCAGTAGCGCGCGGTACCACGGTGTGTGGCCAAAGGTTCAGCGCAGCATACCGACGGCCACACTAGTGGGGCTAAGGGCCGGGTAACTCCAGCTAGGAAAGTTGCATGCCTGATTACAATCATTTTGACTCGCCAGCCAGACTACTTAGGGAATGGATATGACGAGTCCGCCGCTTTATTTATTTACTCGCATTTGGCAGGCGGACTACCGCTAAGGTCGAACCCTGCCAAAACATCTAGTTTTCATAAAACTGGACTTGAGTTTTGAATCTAAGTAACAGACTCTAAGTGGAATGAAATTCTCATTTGGAATGGCGGCTTTTGTTACTCAACATGTACTGTGAGAGTTGTACTTACATTTGGCAGAGAATTTGACTCAGGGCAACGCCATCTGTGAGCTCGGCTACAGTTTCTGGACTGTTGTCCAAATTAAAAGTTTGTACCTGTAAAAAATGAATTAGAAATCGTAAGATAACTGTTTCCACTGTACAGTATATGACCAATAGTATACAAGAGATTGCTTACTGTGTGGTCTAGCTCACCTGCATCTAAAAGCTACGTGGTCATATTTCTACGCACTCACCTTCAATGTGTGTGTGATAACGAGCGCGCTACCTGCGCAGATTATGGAGCGTCGAGGATACACGGTTTGCGATTGTGTGAACACTGAAGAATAAAGTTTAGTTCGCCATAAGCGCCACTCGATCACTGAAAAATCAACTATGATTTTCACATGAAGCAAGACAAAAACAAGCGATCCAATACACTTACCCAGGTGAGAAGACTCTCACAAAGTTCATGATTCGTCATTTTGATGAAATCACTGCCTAGAAAGAATTAAAACCATGAGAGAAAGTCACTTCCCAATTTCAACCCGGACGGTAAACACTCAACCTGCATTTCCTTTCGATGAAATGTCTACGTACCACAGCTGCAACATCACAACCGGAGCGATGATAATTATGATAATATATGTACACGTCACTCGGTCGCGCGCGGTCGCCCTGAATGCGGCAGGCCCACCCACTAAATCGACCTCAGCGATAATTACGCGTACTTCGAAACAATTATCTAAAATGCTCACAAATCTCCAAGGTGTTTAAGACACCCATTAAATTAAAGCTTATTTCATCACATTTTATTTTCAGTTCATACTTTGATGGTAATTTGACGACTTTTGGAAGAAAATTCCATCTAAAGATGATCACCTCATCCCATCACCATTTTGAAAAATGACGCCTGTGCTCCATTGCAAATAAGTACAGCAATTTTAGGGCTCAATTTCATTCGAATTTCACAGAAAAACGAGCTCGCACTCCTGTGCACGGCTTCCACCTGTCTATATTCAAGTATATGGTCCACTAAATGCTCGAATAGCAAAGCAAGAGCATACAAATCGTGATTTGGCCCGCCGAGGCAATTTTGGGCCGATAATACAGGTCTAGCGTGCTTTTATCAACATATCATAAGTGGTTTTTTTTAACAAAAGTTTCAAGTTGTATTTTTTTAAAACAGGACAAACATTTTATTTCTCTAGTTTAGACGTTTTTAATCCTCTGAATAGGGCCTATATGCTATCATATCTGGATTGTTTTGCGCTCATAATGCTAACTTTCATTGAAAATTTGAGTATTTTGCTCTATGTCTCATTCAAAATGGAAAAAAAGCAAGTGTTTGTGCTTACTTTTCTGCTTAGTTATTGTTTTTTAATCCCCCGGCCGGTCCAATTTGGTATGTTGACATTGTCACTTGCTCTTAACTTTATTTCCACCAATGAACAATTTGAATGTTTATTTTTTAATAAAACTTTTCCCCACTAATTTTAGTTTCTGCAACCCTCTGAAAAGGCCTTTATTTTGGATTACTTTTGCACGAAAAAGTGAATTTAGTAATTATTCCATAACGAAACATTGGTATATTTTTTCATTCGATGCGTCATCCAAATATGAATAACTTTGAACACTTAAATTGTTAGGGGGAAAAAGCATAAAGCAAGTAAAAATGAATACACTTATTTCAGGGTGAAAATCGGTGAAGGCTTGAAAACTTTTACGGATCAGAAGTTCAAATTTCTAGCTGGTATTGAGCTTGAGGACTTCGCCACTTTTGATTGGGATAATCATTTGCATGCGTTATGTAACTGATAAATACTTCTTTTCCATTTTAATTGGCCGGAAAGCCTTAGAAATAGTGAAACATCCTTTGTCTAATAACACCAGTTACACCTTTGTGTTGAGATTCTTAATAAAGTGGGAAAAATCGTCTCCATCAACCAGCATTCGCTAACCGTAGATGCGTGCATACAAACATATACAAATGTACCTGCTTTATATTGGATATGCATTATTCATATCTGAACGGCCCATGACCCGCTTGCGATTCAGAAATGGTTGTGATGTAAGCTCTTAATATTCGCCGGTTATGTTTCATTGGTGAACAGTACAGATATGATTCACCGCCACGCGTCGGGGGCGTCTTCGGGAACAGAGTACCAATGAAGAGCACCGCCGAACACTCCTCGAACGCAGTAAACAGCCGTCTACAGTCTCGAACGCAGTAAACAGCCGTCTACAGTCACTGTCTCCGCGCATGCATAATGTCCGAGATCGACGTATTTATTTTGCGGAAGTGGGCACTTTTTTGTTTTACCCTTTTCCAGATTCTTGATGAAGCTTAATTTGCGCATCCTTGCTGGCGTAAAATCATGTACGGTTTTGCTGTGTTGTGTTAAGAAATCTCTTCTCCTGAGTAATAGCGGCTGGAAAAGAGGCAATCAACTACACGTCGAATTGTTGGTCTGGGTCCTGAACTTCTTTCCACGTTCACCTTCGGAATAAAACTCCGTAAAAGCATGGGCACATACTATTACTTTAGCCAGTGTTTTCACTTGCACGGAAACATGCACTTTGATTCGGTCCTACTAAAGCGCGTCAACAAGCGTCAACAAGCGTCAACAAGTTTTAGTAGTCGTTAAGTGCGCGTCAACAAATTTTGTATAGGCTTTTGAACAATAAAAACAGCTTTATATGGTAGAAACAGCAATAATGAACATCTTCTGCATATCAATTAAAGTTAAAATTATTTTAAAACTTGTTTTTTTGAACGCGAAATGTACGGCGAATTTGTCGATAAAAGTTGGCCGCCATCTTGTTTATGTGTAGCTAGCCGTACTACGCATGCGTGAAGTGTAAAGAGCCATACTACGCATGCGCGAAGTCTACAGCGCCATCCAAACAAGATGGCGGCCTACTTCTATCGACAAATTCGTCGTACATTTCGCGTTCAAAAAACCAAGTTTTAAAATAATTTTAACTTTAATTGATATGCAGAAGATGTTCATTATTGCTGTTTCTACCATATAAAGCTGTTTTTATTGTTCAAAGGCCTATACAAAATTTGTTGACGCGCACTTAACGACTACTAAAACTTGTTGACGCTTGTTGACGCTTGTTGACGCTTGTTGACGCGCTTTAGTAGGACCCCTTTGATTGTGTGAAGTAAAGTAAAATCGCTGAAAAATGGAATCCTCTGCACCTACCGATGTCATGCAGACAGGGACAATTATTGAAGGTGTTGGTGATGAGCTTGTGCACGCCTTCGGAATTGTTCTTGTCCTCGCACTTCCGTTTGTCATTGCGTATTTCAACAGGTAAACACAACACTGACTCACTGGCACAGTGACCGAGGTACACTGAGTGCTACTGCTGTCACGCCCCAACTATCGCATCAGTGCAGTCCCAACTATAGTTGGGACTGTCCCAACTATAGTGCGGCAGTTGGGTCGGCCCAACTATAGTTAGGACTGGAGTTGCGCCGGATGCTTCATGCTTGATAGATCTTGTTGGATTAAATGTTCCGCGCGCGGCGCTGGCACCGTGTATTCGTCGTGCATGCATGCCGCAAGGCTGGCCGGTCACGTGGTCCTGCCTAGTTGGATGAGTTGTCCAGCTGCTGGGTTTTATTGTCCAGCAACATTTTGCAAAATTCAAAGATTGCCATGGCCGGCCAACTCTAGATGGGCCCCACCCATAGCTAATGTCAAAGGTCCCAAGTAAAGTCGGACAGTATGTAACAGAGCTGTAGTGTAGGGAATGTTTTATAGTCGTACATCAATGTAAACTACAGTTGGGACCGCCAAATAAAAAGATTGGAGTGGCCCAAATAAAAAGATTGGAGTGGCCCAACTATAGATTCGCCCCATCAATAACTAATTTCAGTGGTCCCCAGTAAAGTCAGACGTGTATCAGAGCTGTAGGGAACGTTTTACAGTTGTACATCAATGTAAACTATAGTTGGGACACCGCAAAATAAAAAGATCGGAGTGGCCCAACTATAGATGGGCCAGCCCAACAGTGGAACTTACAGTTGGGACCGTCCCAACTATAGTTGGGACAGGCCCAACTATAGTTGGGCCAGCCCAACTGTGGAACTACAGTTGGGACAGGCCCAACTATAGTTGGGACCGATGCGATAGTTGGGGCGTGACACTGCTACTGACACTGACAGTCATCATCTGATCATACAGTCGAACTAGCGCGCGCCGCATGCACCCAACACAGAGTGGGCATCCTTCATGGGGCCCAGTGTCACTTTAGCCCAGGTTGGACTCCTCTGTTGTGTACAGTACACGCGATGGAGTCCAGGGTATGAACTTTTGCTGCCATAACAAAAAAAAATTGACAACAAATTGTTGTCATATTTTTACCTGATTACACCACTCGATCTCTACTCTTCAGCGGTTGGTACCGGTTGTGTACAAAGTCTATTGAGTGTCTAGCTCTATCTACTGAGTGGAAGGCTGGAAGTTGAACTTCGATAGTCGGTACCCTCCGTACAGAGGGTACCGAAGTTCCAGCGCTCCACCTAGTAGAGCCATGGAGCTATAACTCCATGGTAGTATTGAGAGTCAAGACAATTTTCCGTTTTCCTAGTTCCTGATTTTTCCTAGTTCCGGAACTAGTATGGGGCGCCGTTTGTCAAATAGTTATTTAGCCAATTTTAAGCATGTTTTTACCATGGTTTAGCTGGTAATCCTTACTTTACAAAATCCTTATTTTGTACGAGTTCTGTTCAAAACTGACTTTTGCAGATGACTGTCCAGTACCAAAGTGACTTTTGCAGGCTAAAGAAGTCTTTTTTCTTCAGACAAACTCATGTTAGTTATAATTTTGAAAGCACTTTCAAAGAAAATGTGACTTTCCTACCTTTTTTTGCAGTTCGCCATCTTGCTTTTTAAATTTATTTTCTGTTTGTCATCGTCGTCTTTAACCTCTCATAAATCAAAACCCCGCCCTCTTTCTACAAAATTAAACCTGCTGATATTCAAGAGGTGTCATTGCCAAATGTTCAAATGTGTCAATAAATATCAGAATGTCACTTTTGAGTGTTATAGTCAGCTGTTTGTTTTGGTGAGTCTTTTAACCTTATATAGGAAAGGGGTCCTAAAAGTAAGGATTACCCTTTGTATCAACATTATGATTCATAAACCTTGAAAAACATAAAGTCATTGTTTACAAATAATGGAAACTGGCAGGGTGTGCAAATTCATGGTTTGCAAACCATGAAAACTACACTCTTGTACACTTGTGTGGTTTATACATAATGAACAATGATCAACGATGTGCAAGTTCATGGTTTATAAACATGAAAACTACACACTTTTACACTCTATGGTTTACGAATAATGAACAACGATGTGCAAGTTCATGGTTTATAAACAGTGAAAAACACACTTGTATGCTTCTATGGTTTATAAATAATGAACAACCATCAACGAAGTGCAATCTCATGGTTTATAAACAATGATAAGGACACACTGAAAAACAATAAACGACGCGTAATTTCATGGTTTATTGACGCGTGCAACGCAGTGTTTCATAAACGTTTAGATCCAAGTTATGGTTTACCAAACCCCTATTATTATGTCAAACTCGTCAATACTGAACTACTGGTGCCTGGCCCATTGAGCGTACGTACTGAAAGCTACGCACGATCGGTCGGGATCCAGTGTAAAAAAAAAAGGAGAGATAGCGAGGGCGCTCTTTGTATCGACCGCGTATTGCCATTTTTATGGCCAGCGACACTAACTTGATCGGCTGTCAGTAATGCCTCCTTATTCACTGCAATTGTAGGCTGAATCTTCATCGTGGATCGTTTTTTTCATCCTGGAGCAGTGCGGAGGATTTCAAGTATAATCTAGGCCTAAATGTATGCACGGCTGAGCATAAACAACACAAGGTCCGGCCTAAGACCTTGACACAGTGCATCCTCAAAAATCAGCCACACATTTTTGCCATATGGCCTCCATCCTATGAAATAGGATTTTGGGGATTTTTGGGAAGTTTAGGGTTAATGTTATACAAGCCAATTATATCTGAAAATATTCATGAAAATATTCTTTCATATTTGGGACTTTTTTTTTGTTAACAGTAGAAACCAAGCCACAACTGAAGCTATCCACCCGGAAAATGAACAGCGCGTTTACGAGGCCAGACAGCGATTGGGCGTGGATACAGAGACGGCAAGTGTCAACCGTCAACAACAACAACAACAGCAACAGCAGCCACAAGATCAACAACAAAATGGCAGTACCCAGTTACCGCCGGCTAGGCACAGATACAGCACAGATCCCACCTGCCCAGTCTGCCTCAGTGATTTAGCCTACGCAACCGAGACAAACTGTGGCCATGTTTTTTGTGGTATGTGTTGATGACTTCCATACAGCTATGTAAGATTACAAAAAAGCTAACTCGCTGTACGCATTGTAGCCTGCTGGGCCTATCTACTACATGTAAAAAAAAAATGTCCTACTTTTGATCCTGAATAACTCTGTTTACAAATGGAATTAAACCAAAATTTTAGATCATGTAAACATTGCATTACACTTTTATGGAGCCAGTTTCATCAGCTTTGTGCAAGAGGGTAAGATTAAACGCCATACGAAAGAAATAGTCATTTTTAGAATCTGCCACTTTCAACTTGGTGTTCTCCAATGTCGATACAGCGCTGGATACAGTGGCGGAAGGCGCGTGCTGTGGCCGAAAGCTTCTGAAGGAATGGCACACCTTGATTGTTTTTCGCAACACAAGATCGAGGAAGTTTACAATGACATCAGGGGTGATCCTGCATTCCTTCAGAAGTTTTCGGCCGCAGCACGTGCCTTCCGCCACTGTATCCAGCGCTGTATCAACGTTCTGAAAAAATCGACAGAACAATAGAAAGGTCAAAATTGTGAAAGAAAAATCCCGATGCCAACTCTGTGGACCAAGTGTGTTTAAAAGAACTTTTATATTGCAAAAACCAGTGGGTCATAGGCGTAAAAAGACAAATTGGGCGTTTACGGTTACCCGACGTATCCCAATTATCAGGCCAAATTGCAGGCATCCATTTTTTTATTGCCATATTGGCCAAAAATTTAAAACGATTAATATTTGAAAACTAAAAAATTCTTCCCTTGTTTGGTATTGGTCAGTTAAACAGGTTAATTACATTTGCAAACAGAGTAATGTTAAAGGTACCCTAAAGCAAACAAAGTAAGTATATTAGACGGACAGACAAACGTAAAAATAAATTTTCAAAATAGAATTGTTTTTCTACCTACCTACCTGGATACTTTTTAGAACACTACCGTAATTAGTCTACGGAATATTCCCCTTGAACACCAAGCGTCAATGATATGCGAGCAGGTTCGGCAACTAGACTACATCTTGCCTTCGAGATTCTGACCATTCAGATTTTCTGACCATTCGCCTTCTATATTGGGTCTTCGCAACATACTTTTACGTAGTGAATTGTGTTAGCAAAAATAGGCTGCGTCACGCGGCCTGTAACGATATGTTACGCGATGAACAAACGTCCTGCAGCTTTGAATGATCATCACATAACATTTTGAATAACGTGCGTAATGCGAATGCCCTCTTGCGCGTTCACGTCCATCTAAGATGAGCATTAGCGTAATCTATACGCGCAGCATTTTTCTAACAGTTTGAAAGCAAATGTCGGATTTCATTAGATCTCTATGCCCGTCGTTGTATTACAAAAACATGGCATCCAAATTGACGAACAGCTTAGTCCAGATTTCGGAACGAAATGACGTCATGTCGACTCCGATTGGTTGGTGCGTGGTTCGCATAAAGTTGCATGCTTATTATATCAGACGTTGGACCAGAGACAGAGAAGGCTCTGTTGGACAATGGGTGATGCTCAGACTACATTTGAATTGGCCAGAATTTTAAACTCATGTGAAATGCTTATCACATGACTTGAAATTTGGACATGAATTCATGATTGACTTTGTGATGGGTTATGATGATTTTTGATTATTTACAAATCTACTTTTTTTTTCTCTCTTTTGTAAAGGAAACTGTTTAATTACTTACTGGAGACATGGCAACTGGCTGGGTTCCATCAGGTGTCCTGTTTGCAGACAGCAGGTATGGACAAAACTCAGAAAGTCTTAAGGCCAAAAAAAAAACCTGCTACTTCCAATTACATGGCATTCGAAAATAGGGTAAGTAGGTAGGGAATTATTTTTGGGGGCCAAATTTTTTTTGTGCATGATCATATGGAGGCGTCTGCGTGAAGTCAAGGGTAAAAGGTAAAAAGTGATGGTTTTGAGTGTTTTTCCCTCATTTTTCCAATAAAAAAAATAGGGTAGGGGCTGTCAGAATAGGGTAGGTAGGGAAACCGGAAGCAGAACTATTATTTTTTTTGGCCTAAGGTATAGTTAAACAAAATTAAACATGGTTGAGTTCGGGTGGATAGTCGATATTAGCTCCCCTTGGTATGGGAAGTTGACAGACTAGTTCTTTGCCTCTGGAACTTCCAATACCTCGGTGAGCTAATATCGATTATAACACCTCACCCACAGATTCTGTGTCTTGATTGGCCGAGAGCAAGTCACATGGTACTTTCTATTTTGCCATTTTTCAGTGCACGGCCAAAAGTACTATACCCATAGCAACCAAAGTACTATACCCATAGCAACCAAAATACTATACGCACTGTGTGCAAAATGCATAGGAGTACGTTGCGCGTATTGTTTCCAAGCGCGAGCGCTACAGAGCTGGGTTCAAACATTTCGTGAAGGGGTAGTTAGAAAAATTGCAAGTTAATTTTCCACTAATTTCGTATTCAAATAGAAGTAATTTTTTATTGTATTCAGATTAAATTAATCAGATATCGCTTAAAATCAAGCAGAATGTGTGGGAGAGATGTTATAAAACAAATATTGACTGCTTTATGTCGTGGTGAGGCTTGAGAGGCTAGTTTTACTACACCACTCGAAGCAGTCAATATTTGTATACTATCCACCCTCAAACCATGTTTTCACTGAGCCTCAACCGTCTCCACTAGCTTACCCAATTTTGTAACAATTGCAGTTATGATTCCAATACCCGAGCTTCTTGGGTGTAAATGTGTAGATAGTGTTGCAGTCACTGAGGGGCTGTGTTTGTTCACATGCACAGGTGACTCTGTTACTGCCAATTTTCCGAGAGGTGGACCACACGACAGAGGACGCCCAAGCAGTGACCACGGAGATCAACAACTACAACAGACGATTCTCTGGGGAGCCGCGACCGGTGAGTAGAATGCATGAACATTTTATCGTAAAGGAAAACGATTTAGGTTCATTCCATGCCAACTGTCCTAACTTTTTAAGAAGTTGTCTAGTACCCGTCTCAGATTTCGTTGAATTTTTAATTATTTTAAAATACCTCTGTGGTTTTTATGAACATGTGAAACTTCAGCAGGCAACTCCAAATTTTTTGGTGAATAATGAACCCCTGTAAAATATGGTGTATTCCCTAATAGGGTGATCAGTGGTGCACCCAGGATTTGGCTGGGGGGCTCACAATTGTTTTGAAATATTTTTTAGAAGTTTGAATTTTTTTCAAAAAATGTTTCCCAAAATTTGTGGCTGCAGAATTTTGACTATGGGAATGGATTTTTTTGTTGTTGGTGCCTTGGTGGCGCAATTTACACCCCTATTATACTACTCAAAAAAATGCCACATATCACTTCGGTCAAATCGTGGAACTATAAAAAAAATTGACCCAAAAAAGAAAACAAAAATTGACAACCTCTCGGGGGGGGGGGGGGGGGGGGGCTCAAGCCTCCGGAGCGCCCCCCCCCCCCTTGGGTGCGCCACACAGGGTGATATAGGCCTTCAAAAAAAGAAAAAATATAATAACCCACACAACAGCAAAAGTGAAAAATTGAGGGGGACCATATTTTTCAGGGGGTCACTATCTCGCTAATGACTTGGGCATGTTGGATTTGGTAGCCAAATTTCCTAACAAGTACAGCGGTTCTTGGGAAAATTTCATCCAAATCTGGTCACCTGATACCTAACTTTATCATTGGTTTATCATTACTTACCTATGGTTCATGCTCAAACCTTCCTCCTTACAAGAGTAATCAGAATAACCGCAATCTTTAACCTTTGAACTTTGACCTTTGTACCCCTTCTTCATCCCCCCACCCCCTTTTTTTGCAGCTGATGGATTACATCCATATTTTTAGGGGGTCGTTATCTCGCTAATGACTTGGACATGTTGGATTTGGTAGCCAAACTTCCTAACAAGTAAAGCGGTTCCTAAGAAAATTTCATCCAAATCTGGTCACCGGACAACCTAAGTTTATCATTTGTTTATCATTACTTATCTATGGTTCATACTCGAACCTTCCTCCTTACAAGAGTTATCAGAATAACCGCAACCTTTAACCTTTGAACTTTGACCTTTGTACCCCTTCTTCATCCCACCACCATCTTTATTTCACAGCTGATGGATTACATCCACGATCTGCCCACCCTCCTGCGCCACGCCATGCGGGAGTTCTTCACTCTCAGCGGCCTGGTCTGGATGTTCCGTCTCCGCATCATCGTGTGCTTCTTAGCCGCCTTGCTCTACTTTGTCTCCCCGCTGGACATCATTCCCGAGGCCGTCTTTGGCGTGCTCGGTTTCGTCGACGACCTGCTCATACTGGTTCTCTTGCTGATCTACGTCACCATCATCTACCGGAGTTTCATTGCGGCCCGGGCAGCGGCTGTCTGACAGCACCTACCCTTCCACAGAATGGATCGCTCTGGATTTGGCCATAAGCTCTGCTCGCCTTTTTGTTTGTGTACATTTCTCACACTGTCTGACAGTACCTACCCTTCCAAAAAATGGATTGTTCTGGATTTGGTCATAAGACCCACCCATTTTGGGGGGTTTGTGTACACTTCTCACATTGGCTGTCTGACAGTACCTACCCTTCAACAGAATGGACCTTTCTGGATTTAGCCATAAGCTCCGCCCACTTTTTTGGTGTGTACATTTCTCACAGTGCTTGTGACCAAGTTCCATCCAATTGGTCAATTTGTACTGATTGACAGGCAGGAAGGATCCACTCCCTTTCCCTTCTCACAAAAAAAGCTGAAAATGCAATAATTCCACGCCAGTTATAAGCTCAACAATACTTACCCCTCATAAAGATGGACTGTTTCTTATTTATCCATAAGCCCGCCCACTTTTGGTTTGTGTACATTTTTGAGTGTCACCCAACCAAAAGTCATGGTCTAATTGGTCATTTCGTACTGACTGATCGACAAGCAGGAATGGACCATTCCCTTTCCCTTCTCGCAAAAAAAGGCTGAAAATGCAGTAGTTTCACAACAATTACCAGCTCAACAATACCTACCCCTCACAAGAATGGACTGTTCCTGGTTTATCCATAAGCCCGCCCACTTTTGGTTTGTGTACATTTTTGAGTGTCACCTGACCAAAAGTCATGGTCTAATTGAACAATTCCTACTGATTGGTTGACAGGCAGGAAGGCACCATTCCTCTTTCCCTTCTCACAAAAAAAGCTGAAAGTGCAGTAGTTCGCAACAATTATTAGCTCAACAATGCCTACCCCTGATAAGAATGGACCGTTCCGGATTGATCCATAAGCCACACCCACCTTTGGTTTGTGTAAAGTTTTGAGTGTGATGGAGCTACCCTGGTCATCGGACTCGAAATCCAGATCCAAGTAGTCAATGCACTGATTGATTGGCAAGAAGGTCCATTCCCTTTCTCTTCTATCAAAAAAGCTGAACATACATTTGGGCCGCAACAATAAAGTGCCTTCCCCTCATAAGAATGGACTGTTCCTGATTCAGTCATAAGCCCGCCCACCTTTGGTTTGTGTACATTTGTGAGTGTGATGGAGCTAGTCTGGTCACCTGACCAAAAGTCATAAACTGATAGGTCAATTTGTGCTGATTGTCAAGCAGGAAGGGACCATTCTATTAAAATACATTGGGCCCCCAGCAGTTTCTTGTTGACAGTTTCCACCCCTCATAAGAATGGACCATTCGAGATTTGGCCGTAAGCCCCGCCCTCCTTTGGTTCTTGTACATTTTTTAGTGTGATGGGGCTGCTCTGGTCACCTGACTAAAAGTCCTGATCCGATTGGTCAATGAGCACTGTTTGATTCACAGGAAGAAAGGGTCGATTCCTCTTCCCCTTACTTCAAAAAATGCTGAAAGAAATAGGCCTGCAATGATGTTTCATTTGAAATGATAATCGATCAGTATGTTGGTTATTTGGTAACATTTTCTCCGGTAGAGGGTTATATTAGACACAAAAGACGCTAGTAACAATTAATTGGCACAGTTATTTTTTAACCATAACTTGCAACTGCTATAATTCCTTCACTGACATAAGCCCGGTTTATACTTCACGTGAATGCGAATGCGAAGCGAATTTGACGTCATAAAAACATTCGCTGCGAAATTCGCCCGAGTTGAAATATGTTCAGCTTTTACGAATTCGCAGCGCGAATACTTGCCATGACGTCATAAATTCGAGGCGAGTATGAACTGGGCTTTAATATCTTCACTTCTCGTACATGTATAAAATGTAACGAAAATGACATATATGGTGATTGGTTGGAAATCGTCAAATGTCACAATCTCGATTGCACCATTTGAAATGGCCTATTGGTCGAGAGCCCGTCACATGGGTGGTTTTAAACAGTTGATAAAAAAACATCAACTGGTTTTAAAGTCTAACATTTTTTTTCTCACAACTCACACTACACTGGCACCGCTGCGTTCTGCGCCACATCGCGCAGTATGCACCATACGTGCGCCAATCTCCATATAAGGAGATTTTTAGTACTACTCGCGAGAGGCACGTACCATAAACATAGCTAGAGGTGTGCTTCACAAAACATTCTGTAAAATTGTTACACAAAATCATTGAAAACTTATAATTTTTGACTTTTTGACCCAAAGGTATTTATGAATGGGAATAAATATGTGGTTTTAAACAAGTACGGGACCTGTTCACAGGTAATGTGCCTCGCCTTCTGCTCAGGCCATCATCCGCTTCCAGGCCCCTACTAGCCGGTTTTAAATGTACTTGTTTAAATAAAACCGGCCAAGCAGAAATTTATCCCTTTTATGTAAGGGGTGTACCGTTCTCACCATTTTTTGTAGTTGGCATCTGCTCGAAGCAGCAGAGAGGTTTTGAAATTATTTTGAAAAAAAAAAAAAATGTTTAAGACGTGCAGGGTCAAAGCAAAACATTGTGCCTTCAACTTTTGATTCCTTTATGTAAATTCGAAATGTATATAATGCATCTAGCATGATGGAATTTAATGACTTGTATTAAATTCATGGATTGTTCAAAAGTTGAAGGAAAGGCTTTTTGAAGGAAAACTTGTTTATTGTTTATTTTGCGATTGAAATTTAGAAAGTATATGCTCTGTGTCGCTCATAGTCTGCTCTGAAATATGTACTGATGAACTGCGAAAACAAAATTAGACTTGTGCAAGTCTTAAAGGGCCCTTCGAATGTATTTGTTATGCAATTCTTGGAAGTGCACCTTTTTTTCATTTAACCCTATTTTAAATATCGCTTTGCCATTTTCAAGGGTATTTTGGTGCCTTTGGTGTTTATGCTAATAAAAATTTCCATATTCATGAGCAAAAGTGTGATGTCATTTCGGGCAGAAACCTCAATGTTACAGCTATTTCTGCACACAAAAAATGCCAGAATTTTGGATATTTTGCTGTCGCAAATTTGTTGATTCGTTGTTGTGTCAGTACATGGCAATAAGCCAATGAGCAAACATTTCTCACAAACATTTTCAATTAGCATATTTTTGAGTTCACAATTTGAACAGAAAACCCCTAAACTGAACAGTGCCCTCCTGAAATGACATCACAGCAACAGCGCCCTCAGTTGTCTGAAAAAGCATGGGCAATTTTAAATGTTTAACCAGTTTGCGCCGGGATTATGCTGACATTGACTTGACCCAGGTGTGGGATTGTTTTTCACAAACCTCGATACCAGACGGTATCTGCGGGTAGCACACCCAAATGTTTCCGGCCTCGCTCACTGTGAGCGAGTTGCTGACAGATATTTCTGGCCTCGCACGTTGCGTGTTTATCCGTCATCCTTTTTGAATACCGCAAAACCTTTGCGTTTTTACACGTCATCCGACGTGAACTGGTGAAAGAAGTGCACTTTTCAATAAAAATTTACCAACAAGGGATGTCAAATATTTTTCATACATTTAAGAGGAGTTGAAAGTTGCACAAAATATGTTCCCAAGTAAACTTCATGTCATGGATCCTTGAGTCGCAAGTGTCAGTCAGTCTGTGAGGCACAAAGGAAAAACCATTGTGCGTGCTACTGCCCCGTGCCACATTAGGCCAAAATAACCTTAGTTCTGCTTCTGTAACATGGCATTCTAAAATAGGGTAGGTAGGTAGGGATTTTTTTTTGGGGGGGGTGGCCAATTTTGTGCGTGTACAATCATATGGAGGCATCTGCGCACATACTGAAATTTGTATCCTTGTGGAGACATTTCTTTGTTCTCGTGTACTGAAGTTTTCGAGTTTGAAAGTACAGTTTCAAAATGCTCTTATGTTAACCAGAATTAATTTCCTTGGCTGAAATTCGGACTTAATATCCCTTTTCTAAAACTCTACCATTTGCGAGCCGACGGATCAACATACCTTGAAAATTCCTAGTTTTTGAGTAAAATCCATATATTTATTTTTGTGAAAACCTTGTGGAGACGTACTCATCTATAGAATTTGCCTTGTATACGTATACAATCTTTTGTTCCCTATTGTGTGCATGTCTCCAGAGGGCACGGTGTATCAGATCATATAGACAAGGGTAAAAGGTATAAATTGACAGTTTAAGGTATATTCTCAATTTTCCCATAAACAAAATTAAGTTAGGGGCTGTCAGAATAGGGTAGGTGGGGAAATTGGAAGCAGAGCTAATTTTTTTTTTTTTTGGCCTTTTCGGCTTTCGTCTATTGACAGGGGCCTCTGTGATCCAAAATATTGTCGGCATATTTCCAAATCATCAAACATTCAAATTATATTAGTGACTAACATTATATTATATATATTTATTAATAACCGGAATGTTGTACTCATTGCCCGTGCTTGTAAATTTTTGGGTGTGGCGTGAACTACGGCGATTATAATTTTGTACATTGATTGCAATATATGCACTAATTTCTTTAGAAATGCCTAATGTCTGTATTAAAGACGAATTGTCAACTCGTTTTATTTTGTAAACATTTTTCATGAAAAGTGGTCTTTTACATTGATCAAATTATTTGGAAATATTTTTGAATTAAAAAAAATCACTCTTACGCATAATTTGTCTGACTTTCATTGAGGTTTTTATTGAATGAGTGTCAAGGGCGGATCCAGTGGGGGGCCAAAGGGGGCCATGGCCCCCCCCCCCAAAACGAAACCAATTTTTTTTTTTTTTATGTGACATCGCAATAAAGGCAGGCAATGAGTACACCACCATCTTTTCCTCAAAAAACATTGGTTAAAGTGGTCAAAAATTGCCTCAGATCGCACCACAGAGCTTCTAGAATCCAAAATTTTTTCGGGGCCCTTAAGCGGGCCCCGAACCCCACGCCGTAATTTTATGGACCAACTTTTTGGGGGGACCAAAATTTTTTTTGGCCCCCTCAAAAATTGTGTTCTGGATCCGCCCTTGATGAGTGTTGTATTTTTAACTATTTTGACACAATTTCTCATGATAAACCTAATTTTAAAAGTAATGTTGTAGCAAAATTTGAATTGTTTTGCCAACAAAAATTGCATTTAAAAACAAAAATCAACAGGGGAATGAGAATGCAGTGCTCATTTCATTACTGGCTACAAGCAGCGTTAATTAATATATTAGGGAGAAAACAATGGAAAATCAAAAATGTGGATTATTAATTAAAGTTGACATGGACTTTTTCAAGGTTTAGGCCTTTTTAGGGCCTTCCCCGACCGAAAATGTGCAATCGCACTAGCGCCCTCTTTTGTCGCGTCTGTGCCATTTCATATTGCAACATGGCGACGTACAGTGGAAACCAATTTGGGGTGTTGCCGTCGTAAAAAAAATCACTTAGTTCCATTTCCCGGACATTTATCCACCCGCGATTGCCGTATTATCCAAGCCCCTGGCGCGCACTTATCGACTCGACCATGGAGCCCAGCGAAGACAACCTCCAAATGCTCGTCAGCATGGGTTTTTCCGACCTGACAGAGATCAAACGAGCGCTAGCGCTGAGCAAGAACGACGTGAACGAAGCGGTGGCGATCCTGACCAACGAGCAGCCGGGACTTTCCTACGACACGGTGGACGAAGTTGTGGAGATGTCGGAGGATCGGGGCGGGTCTGGCTCGGGCAAGTCGAAAGGGGAGCCGCGGCCCGAACTCAAGCTTAACCCGGATACTGCACCGCCAAGCTACGATGAAGCTGTTGAACCTGAAGAGGTGAAGCCAACATTTTGTTTCTTTCTCAGATATTTTGTTGGAAAGAATGTTGCATTTGCAACCTGACGCGCGCTACGTTGTGTACAAAATATAACGTTATGGAGAGTCAAGCAAATTGCTTAAGTATTTCCTAACAAAATTGAAAAATGTTTTTCAGTCCCAGATCCATGTCTCATCGTCATTTTTGCAATGACTGACCTGGCTTCATTGAGATGATATGAAGACAAAAGCAGTGTCAGGTTGCAACATTCTTTCCCTTTTGTTTATGCCTGCCAACCTTTAACTTTAATTAATCTACACAATACATGTAATGTCTGAATGTAGCAGACCCTATCTTTTTACATAGTCTAGTTCTAGTAATATTAACACCAATAATGGTTAACACAAACATAAGTTTTCAAAATGTTCAAAAGTATTGAGACAGAAAATACAAATTTCTTGTCCTTTTTCCACTTCCAGTTGATGCCACACAAATCAGCTGCAGCGCAGTCTGATTTTTTTGCAATCACAGCGCCTCATGGCATATTACGGCAATATGATCATCTTCATATTTGCATATTCACTGGTTTCTTTAATTTATTTTTAAAATAATTGAATTTTTTTCTTATTGTTTTTTAATTTATTTAATTGGATTGTTTGTTCTCACAGGCTCGACAATGTGAAGGGGGTTCAATATTTCGCTACCATGATTACTGTATTTTATATGCACACATTTCCACACAACTATCTATGAAATGTGAATCAGGCTTTCTTATTTGTATCAAAAATCTGGTAAAAAAGAAAAGCACTATTTAACAATTTGAATGACCTCTGTCATGACATTAGGTAGAGAGACATACTGAGATACACATAAGCCAAAAAAAGATTTCCATTTATGCTTCTGAGCTGAATTGGGGTCGGTCAAAATTGCCTGCACATGCATAATGTGTGTCTAATACACATTGTCGCCCAATTTGAGGGTGTTTTTGCAGCTTTGATTCTTCATGAAAATGCCAGATGAACAAGAATTGTTTTCGATAATTAATCTTGAAGATGCACTCTTTCCTAAAAAAAACCTAGAAAATTATATCACCTGAGCCTCATGGGGATTTCCCCCCTTGTTTTGGGCCAATTTTAAGGCGGATTTCTGGCTGGGGCCATATTGGGGGTCACCCAGATCAGGGAAGACATCTACAGTTTTGCTCTTTCTTTCACAGAAATGTCAATATTTAGTCAGAGATTACATGTACATTAAAATTGAAATAAAAAAAAGTTAATGCAAAGTCCCAAGATAAGGGGCCTTCAAAATTTGAAAAAATGCATGTGACTCATCATAATGGATCATTTTTGACCTTCCCTAAAATTAAGGTGTAAGGCATGATGGGTATTATGTTCCTACATTCCTGCTCTACTACAGTACCGGTATTTGTACCCATGTATCCAAATTCAGCTTCCCAATCAATTTCAATCTCAAGATATGGGTCCTTAAAGATATAGTCCAACATTTGTAATTTGTGCATTTTGTTCGTTTGAAGCAACAAAAGTGTTCAAAATCTAATGAAGGATACTGAATAACTAACCTGATGAAGTTTCAGCTAAGCTTCAGCTGTATATTCCGAGAAAAAAAGCATTCTAGGATCTCAATTTCAAATCAAAAGTTACTGAATCATGTTTTGAATTGTTTTGAATTGCAGCTATACGCAACGTCGCGCACTGATCTGTCGAATTATAGCAACTGCGCGCGCGTGTGCGTCGTGCCAATGCTTGGGCGCGCTTCGCCGAATAACAAAACGAACTACTAATTTAAATTTTCCTAAGGTGCGTCTTAAGACGCACCGTTGGAAAGGCTTTCTTTCGTTGATTACTTCAAAATGGCAGCTTTCCAGAAAGAATAATTTCACAGGGAGTTTAGTTCCCTTACTATCTTTCAACCAAGTTGTTTTTCAACAATAATTACACCAGTTACTTTTCAGATGGCTGCAAATCATGGACTATAGCTTTAAAGTCAGCGATTTATTCTATGGGCCAGTCAGTTTCCCCTTTTTTTGGCAAAGTTAATTGAACTTTGTGCTGCCGTAACGCCTCAAAAGAAAGCAATTTGAATTTTTGCTTTTGACCTTATCTATAGAACAACTATCAAAACCTTCCCACCAAGTTTGAAAAAAATCTGTAACATATGGTGCCATGGCCCGTTGAATTGGCATGGAATGACCCATGAGTAAGGATGAAATTATTAGATTTTTTTTAAACGATTCATTCTAGGAGGCTAAGTTGTCGGCCAGGCCAGGCCTAAGCACTATGGAGGAAGAAGACCCAGAGATGTGTAAGGAGTTCCCAGCGACAAACCTGTATGAGCTGGAGGGGCGTGTCTTCACAGACCAGTGGTCCATCCCTTACAAGAAGGAGGAGTCACTGGGGAAATGTCTGATCGCTTCAACCAGGATGGCCCAGGAAAGTAAGTACTACATGCAAAATAACAGTAAGGGGCGTGTCCTCGTAGACCAGTGTTAGGAGTCCATGGGAAATGTCTGATTGGGGGAGGGGAGGACTTTGGTAAGGGGCGTGTCTTCACAGAGTCCCTTACAAGAAGGAGGAGTCACTGGGGAAATGTCTGATCGCCTCAACCAGGATGGCCCAGGAAAGTAAGTACTACATGCAAAATAACAGTAAGGGGTGTGTCCTCGTAGACCAGTGTTAGGAGTCCATGGGAAATGTCTGATTGGGGAAGGGGGAGGGGAGGACTTTGGTAAGGGGCGTGTCTTCACAGAGTCCCTTACAAGAGGGAGGAGTCTCTGGGGAAATGTCTGATCGCTTCAACCAGGATGGCCCAGGAAAGTAAGTACAACATGCAAAATAACAGTAAGGGGCGTGTCCTCACAGACCAGTGTTAGGAGTCCATGGGAAATGTCTGATTGGGGGAGGGTGAGGGGAGGACTTTGGTAAGGGGCGTGTCTTCATAGAGTCCCTTACAAGAAGGAGGAGTCACTGGAGAAATGTCTGATCGCCTCAACCAGGATGGCCCAGGAAAGTAAGTACATGCCAAATAACAGTAAGGGGAGTGTCCTCATGGTCCAGTGCTAGGAGTCAATGGGGGAAATGTCTGATTTGGGGAGGGTGAGGGGAGGACTTTGGTAAAGGGCGTGTCTTCACAGAGTCCCTTACAAGAAGGAGGAGTCACTGGGGAAATGTCTGATCGCTTCAACTAGGCTGGCCCAGGAAAGTAAGTACATGCAAAATAACAGTAAGGGGAGTGTCCTCATGGACCAGTGCTAGGAGTCAATGGGGGAAATGTCTGATTGGGGGAGGGGGAGGGGAGGACTTTGGTAAGGGGCGTGTCTTCTCAGAGTCCCTTACAAGAAGGAGGAGTCACTGGGGAAATGTCTGATCGCTTCAACCAGGCTGGCCTCAGAAAGTAAGTATAGTATGCAAAATAATAGTAAGGGGCGTGTCTTCATAGACCAGTGTTCCATCCCAATACAAGAAGGAGGAATCATTGGGAAATATCTGGGGGAGGGGAAGGGGAGGAGACAACTGTGGTAAGGGGTGTGTACTCACAGAGGGGGGTCGGTCCCTCACAAGAAGGAGGAGTCACTGGGGAAATATTAGATTCTAATTGCCTCAACTAGCATGGCCCAGGAAAGTAAGTAAATATGCATAATAACAGTAAAGGGTGTGTCCTCATAGACCAGTGTTCCATCCCAATACAAGAAGGAGGAGTCAATGGAGGAGTCTGATTGGGGGAGGGGAAGGGGAGGGGACAACTCTGGTAAGGGGCATGTATTCACATAGGGGGGTCCGTTCCTTACAAGAAGGAGGAGTTACTGGGGAAATATCTGATTTCTTCAACCAGGCCGGCCAAATCCAGTAGGCATGTGTACAGGGGGATGGTCTACCTTTTGACACATAACAATCTGAGCTTTTCTTGAATTTCACCAGCACCGGTACTCTCTATAATTTTGCATACATGTGTACAAATTATCCCAAAAGAAAAACGGTGAAATCAGCTGAAATATCGAACTGTTTTTTCCGACTTACTTTGATTGACCCCTCTTACATGTACTTCTACAAGTTAGTCAAATGTCAAATTAACCCGCCTATGTAAGCATACACTCTGTGCCAAGTAGTCCTTTCAGTCAAAATCAAACAAGTGACTGTTTTCAGGAGTTTAGAATTCCAAGCCTACATCAAGCAGGATTGACTGGCTGGGACTGTTAAAGTAACTTGATACAGCTGTGCTTTGACTCCCGGTGAGTGATAAAACAGCTGTGACCACAACTTGCCTGCTTTGTCTGTTGACCCAGTTTGACTAGTCACAGTGCTTGCTTGGCATATGATCTGACTGCTGGTGACTAGCCTTTGTTAAAAGTATAGCAGGGAAAGTGGGAGTGGATTTTGACTGTCTGTGACTGTTAAAATAGCAGGAGGTTAAAAGCTTCCCAACTTCATGAAAAGGCCAACTTCATCATGTGTATTGAAATGTCTAATGACTCAGAATAGCCGGTAAAATGAGATCACAGGTTTTTGTACCAGCAACTCCCTTCCATTATCATTGTTTGAAGTCTCTGCCAACAGTACAGAGTCCAAAAAATATAGTACTGTTGATTTTATTGACCTAGAAATCTAGATTTTTGGGGGGTTACAAAATAACTGTAGATGTTATGTCCAATGTTCAATTTTTGTGTCGCCTAAACAAAGTTTTGGGAGAAACACGAACCTGATAGTTTAATATTCTATGGTACATACATGTCTTGTTTTTGTCTTTTTACTGCCAATGTAACAACCGTGATTAACCTTGTCTCATTTTACTGTTTATTAATCTTCTTAATTATATCTTTGTAATGTTTTTATTGCTTGTTCTATTTTTATACTATTGTATGCTTGTTGTAAATGCTGGGCACCTTTGAAAAACAGTGTGCCACCGAAAGGTCTCCCCAGGACAAACAAGAAAGAAATAAATAAATAAATAAACTAACCAGTCCTAAATTCTATATGACTGTAGACCCGTAGACCCGTAGCCCGATATGTTACAGTTTGGTTCAGTTTTTGAAAAGATGCATTACTTCTACATGCTTTTCGTGGATTTTGATAAAATTTGGATGCAGTGACCCTTGGGTGGGAAGGTGAGGTCAAAGGTCATGTAGGGGTTCTTGGAGGTCATTGTTCGAATATGTTCGAGTGTTGACGCAACAGCTAAATTTGTTAAGATTTCATACCATATCACAAAATATTATTGAATGAAATTCAGCAAAACAGTGCCAAACACGTTTAAAAACCGCTCTTCACTACATCTTCATGTGCATTTACAAGTCTAACATGTAATAGTGGTTGGAGAAATCGTAGATTTCAAAATTCGGTTGTCCTAATTTTGTTTCAAACCGAATGACAGTTACATGTAAATCTGATTTCGCTGGAAGTTCCCATCCAGCTCACAGTCACGCCGACAAAAAGTGACGAGTGAAGTCACTTTTGTGATTTGCAGGATTCAATGACCACTGGGCCTTTACAAAAACACTCCAGAGCTGTAATGTTGAAGAAAAAAATGGTGGGAACTCTCTGATAAGTCAAATGGGCAGGCTAGTCATGAACCAAGAAGACCAAAAAACTAATCAGTTCAGAAATTCCTTAGCCAGCCATACTCTTTATTTGGCAAAAAAACAATGATACTGGTAATGTGTACAGAAGTATGCAATTTATGACAATTGATACCAGAAAAAGTTGCACTTTTGTACATACGTGCGAGTTGAGTGTGAACATTTCATTTCTAACGCAATCTTCCAACAAAAGTGTCTTAAAATGGATTTCTTAAAATCTTTTTGCCCTTTCATTTACTGCATACTTTCATGTTCTTCAAGGTTCAGTAAAGGAAAAGCTAAAAACATAACCAACAAAACTTGAAACTAATTTTAAGAAGTTTTTGTTGAAAGATTACGTTAGAGGGGAAATGTTCACATTCAACTTGTATACAAAAGTGCAACACATTATTGCTATTTTGTGCCAAATTAAGAGTATGGCTGGATCGCTAAGGAATATCTGTACTGATTAGTTGTTATTTGAGCGAGAGGTGCCCAGTAGTTTTTGAGCTAGACAAAAAAGTATTAGTGGGGGACTTTCTTTTTTGGTTGAGTGTAGTGCACAAATTTGGGGCAGCAGCAACGATTTTTCCTGTTGCGTTTATCACTATTCAGCTTGCTTTCCGTATAAAACTGCTGAACTATTGGCCACATCAAGAAGATAAAAATGTGTAAAATACCGATGTTATGCATGAAAGAACAAATAGCAAAGTAAGGGTTAAGGATCCCACCTTGCTATTCAAAACAAGCAAAAAGTATACAAAACTTGTACGCTTGCACATGTGGCCATTGTGTATGTTTTTCCATTTCCTGTTGTACAGGCGAGGATTATCCAATAGGCACAGTAGGCTTTTTCCTGGGTTTTTCCAGCAGCTATGAAAACAAAGCTTTAAACAGGATAGTGTAACAGTATTTGCTATAAACTACTAACCCCCAAATCCATCCCTTTCTGAAAATTACAGCGAAAACAAATTGTTGTATATTACCTTTCAGGGCTCTATCCGTGCTCTTCAACATAATCAATTTTGTTAATTTTAATAATAATAATAATAATAATAATTATTATTACCCGGGATTGGACATTTGGGAGACATCCCTATAGACTTGTGCTTCAAACTTTCAAACTTAAATGTGCCCTAACCCAATATTCCCTTGTCCTTTTTCCACGTATTTTGGTATGTTTACTAATTAGACGAGCAACAAAATTAATACAATCTAATTGCGACACTAAAATTGTGCCTCTAAAGGGGGGCTGTGACATTAGGGAGACATGAAAATGTCTCGCTAATGACCGATGTCCCCCATCGTGCGAACAAATTACGATAACGTGTCTCCTTAGTGGTACCTTTACACGTATAACATTTTCAATTTCTGTCTTTTATTCAAACGGAAAAAGTTACTTTTGTCTATTTTGGATGTTTTCAACTCTCTGATAATACAATTTTACTTTGGGTTGCTCTGCACCCCTAACGCACAAAAAAATTACCCCTGAATTATTGTCGGGCTGCAAATTATTAAAAAGTTGTTAAGTAAATATGCCACAATCAAATGTGGGCGGATTTTTTGGTTTCAATGCCTCACTCAAAAGTGAATGACTTTTGTATGGCTAGAAAAATAGCAATTAAAAACAAAGTCTAGTTTTGAGAGTTTAACACAGAAACGGCACGGGGAAACCAGCTTTAAACCTGCATCTGTACATTAGTGTATTTATGAGTAGCTTGCTGTGTTTCCCGTAAAGTTAAAAATAAGTTTACAGAATGTACTCCTGTGTATACAAAGGAATGTTGTTGTGTTTGAACGTTGATAAATATTTTGTTCGTGCAAAGAAGAGTGCAAAGTTCAGGCTGTGTTGTTGTGCACATACATGTATTGAAGCAGGCTACGTGTGTACTATACCTGCTAGGGCTGTCCTGAATATATACTGAATACTCGAATATTCGATCATTCGTTTGAATATTCAAAAAGACAAAAAAGTATGCACAGCACACACGACTGTGACGTTACTTTAACCCTAACTGCCCTGAATCCTTCAAAATCCTCTTTGCCAAAGTGGAGGAATTTGGAGGATTGAGGTTACATGGCAAAAGTGCGTTACTGATTTCGTAGGATGCACTTCGTCAAGGTCTTGGGCAGGACCTTGTGTTGTTTATGCTCGGCCATGCATAAATACAGGCCTGGATTATGCTTGAAATCCTCCGTACTGCTCCAGGATGTCACTGGCCAAGCCTCAACATATTGACAGTCGCTGCCGCAGGATTTTGAAGGATTCAGGCAGTGGTCACCCCTCCATGCATGGACCATATTCAAGAAATAATGGAGGAATTTGCAGGATTGAGGCTATGCTATTTTTCCTTGAGGCCCATTGGAGGATTTTGCAGGATTGAGGCTACATCCTAGCAAAAAGGCCTAGGGAGTTAGGGTTAATAGTACTGTTGCATTTTTTATTGTCAGATGCCATCGTTTCTGTCGATAGCAACTTTTTTGTTGACACCTATTTATTGGTCCCATTCTAGCTGGGTAAAGTCCCTTGATAGTTATACAGTACTTACTGCAAAACACTTGAGCGGCCAATAGCCATCGCCGCATTCAAATTTTAACCGGCGCGCTTTGTTCGCAATTTTGGCCAGCGAGGAAGGCAGCTGCAGCTGGCGTGTGTAGAACTGTATTCGGTCAATTGCTGTTTCGAATAAAAGAATACTAAATTGTAATCACCAGGATGGAATTTGAATTGGAAGGATGTTCAATATTGATGTTGAAAGTATTGAAGAAAAGAAAGAAGATACAGTTCGATTCGAATGGTGGTTGAGTTTCAAGACATCTGCACTAATGTTGTGCATCTAGTCAGGTTGACCAGGCCAAATCTACCCAGAACGTTAAAGATATAAACCAATCTGAACTCCATAAAACCGACCCGACCTGGCCCGACAAAAATTCAAGGAAAAAAAATGACCCTAACCGACCGAAAACCAAACCGACCCCAAAAACCCCTGAATATCTGGCTTGGGCAACTGTGTTCGCTTTTTGTGCCTGAACTTACCCGCGTCGCGTGAATATCGTCGTCTCTCAGTAATTGAATCATAGCGTATGGTACTCAAAACGTGACCTACTGTTGGGCCTACATGTTATAGACCGTGCGTGATAGACCGCAAACGGCATTTGGTCGTACCGGGCACAGTGACTCTGCAGTAGATACTGCACTGTGTGAATTTCCGAACTGTTTCGGTTTTATGGGGGTTTAGTTTGGTTTATTTCGGGTTTTTCCGGGGGTTTTCCAAGATGGCTTAACCGAACTGACCCGACCCGAAAATCACAAACGCAAAACCAAAACTGACCCGACCTGACTGAAATGATGGACAAACCAACGCGACCCGACCTGAACCGAAGTCGGTTTCGGTTTCGGGTCGGTTTCAGTTTCGGGTCAGGTTTGCAAAACATTAATCTGCACTAGTAGGCAGGAGGTCGTGGGTTCGAGTCCCACCCAAGTAAGCGTGTGAATTGTTTTCTTGCAAGCCTTTGGGCATCACTGAGTATACATACATACAGTGTTTATAAAAGTACATTGGTGAATGGGAAAACCCAACATTGCATCCCTAAATTAAACCAAAAAAAGCAAGTGTTAAAGCTCTCCGTTTTTTGTTTTTGTTTTGCTAGATCTGATCGATTCGGACGAGAACTGCAAGCGTTTTGTGAGCCGCTGCATGCCCGAGGCCATCAAGAAGCTCATGGTGTCCAATGCTGTGCACCGGTGGGGTGCAGAGATCCAGGAGGGTATCTACAACATGCTGCAGCTGACGGTGGACCTGATTGCCGCAAGACTCAAGCACAAGCCGGTGCCTGTGGATCTGCTGGGCGTACTCTCCATGGTAAGGAGTTAAAGCTGTTATTTAATGGAACGTTCTCTTTATACAGTAACTCAAAAATTTGGTCAAGGGTGTGGAGTGTCATGGCCTAGCGGTTAAGAACACCGGACTCATGCTCTGGTGTTTCAGAGGCAACAGTGGCATGGGTTCGAGCCCGGGTGGACACTTGTGCCCTTAAGCAAGGCACTTAACCAGTATTGCTTCGTCCTTCGGATGGGACGTTAAGCCATAGGTCCCGTGTGTTGTGCAATGCACGTAAAATAACCCAGTGACATTTATCACTGAGAGAAGGGGTTTGCCGCGGTGTTTCTGGCCTCCTGTTAAAACTGCCCTGCTGAGTATTTAGGAGAAGAACCAACCAAGACCCAAGAAAAGAGAAATTACTGTGTAAGGTACATGTACGCCATACTTTGTTGCGAAAGTTGCATACCTAACTGCACTGTGAAACGTTTGTGAGATGTGTCATAACTGAAATGTTGCACAGTACCGGTACATGTTAGGCGACTTACCCAATAAAAAGTGGAGTCATCAGGGTTTGACCTTATAACTTTTTTGTTCACTAGCCAGCCGGCTACTGAAACAGACTCTTAACTAGCCCGGGGGCATTTTCACTAGCCCGCATTTTGTTTTAGCTCAACTACAACATGCCGTATTTTCAGGCTCAATTCTGAGGCAATTTTGTCAGTGTTTTAAATAAACAGATCTCATTTAACCCTTTAAAACAGTTGATAAAATTAGACAGAAATTGCTGAGGTTTGCTTTCTGAATTTAATGATTTATTTCTTCCTGTCCTTTCATCTTTGCCTGTAGCCCAATAATTTTTGACTCGCCAGCCGTGCTACTTAAGGAAAAGTTTGACTAGCCCGCCGCTGTTTTGACTAGCATTTGGCTAACGGGCTACCGCTAATTTCGAACCCTAAGTCATGCCAATGCGTCATGTTTTGTGAAATTGGCTGCTATTCCACTGCAGGTGTTGAATCCAGAAACGGAGTTCCACTACAAGAATCGTTCTAAACACTGGGACAAGCTGTACTGGGAAGACAAACTTGGAATAAACGACACGTACGCCGCCAGTCCGCCGTTCAACTCATACAAGGATCCCTGCGGGTGGCTGGTCAATCTCATTAACAGGGTGAGTGTGATCTGATACACCGCGCCCTCTGGAGACATGCACACAATAGGGAACCAAAGATTGTATACATCTCCACAGGGCAATTCCTACAGATGAATACGTCTCCACAAGGTTTTCACGAAATAGATATATGGATTTTACTCAAAAACTAGGAAGTTCCAAGCTATGTTGATCCGTCGCAAATGGAAGAGTTTTAGAAAAGGGATATTAAGTCCAAATTTCAGCCAAGGAAATTAATTCTGGTTAAAATAAGAGCATTTTTAAACTACACTTTCAAGCTCGAAACATTTAGTACACGAAAACAAAGGAATGTCTCCACAAGGATACAAATTCCACTATGTGTGTATTGGTTCATGTGAGAACTGCCGGTTCAATTTGGGTGTTTTCTCTAAGAAAATGTTCTCTTAGAAGGTTTCCCAAGGACGTTATCTTTAAGGTAATATACAACATTTGCAAACATCAAAAAACAGAACTAACAAATTATTATGAAATACCTTACTGGACTGTAAGTGAATGACAGTCTACAGTGCATGAAATTACAGTCGGACATCGGACATTTTCCGACCACTTTCATGGTTTGTCCGACCAAATGCAGATGTGCTCGGACAAAATGTCCGAGCGATTTATGTATTCTTTGTGGAGTTGTCTTTTTCAGAAGTATGAAATAAACGCTTGCACTCAAAAGTATTTTGTTGTTTATTTCCGATGATCCGGTCTGTAATACTTACCGTACGCTGAGCGGCTGCTAACTACATGTACGTGTTGTCTTATATTCACGCAATAGATGCAACGCATTTACACCCCAATCATTACACAGTCTAGTACAGCGCGGCGTGCACAGCGATAGATTGGCATTCGTACGTACGTGCCGTTTGCCAAAAAATAGATGTGAAATCAAGTCGATAAATTGTGTTTCGATCAGCAGTCTTCGTGTTTCTTCTACAAATCAGTTAATACAACTTTTTGTACTTTTCAAGTCATTTTATGGAAATGAGCAGTGGCCGTTTGTGGAATTCCCAGTTAATTTCTATTGGGCAAAAGTGTTAAATTGGACCTGATTCAACCTCTATTCCTTGCTATAATGATTCGATCGAGCCTCTTTGGACATTCAGAACTGCAATTTCACCCAGTTTAAGTTATGTGTTCTGCAGACTTGAATCAAGTCTGTATAGTGACGAGTCTAAATATTATAAGGACATTGACGCGCATACATGTAATGAGAATTTAGCAAGATCAAAGTACGTTGTGTTGCGCGGTATGCTTTAAGTGCGTGATTGTTACTAAATTCTCACAACGTGGCTTACTACAGAAACGAGCGCGCGAATGCCCGGCGCTTGTCATTGCAACTACATAGTGTGTATTATGGATACGTACGTACGTAAACATACATACTGTACATGTACACACGTGTATGTACCGTCCACGTGTTTGAAGTATAGTAAACGCGGCCTTTTGAAAGTTCGTCTCAGATGGCAGATCAAAACTTGACAATGGCAGAACACTTTTGATTGTGCTCGGACATTTTGTCTGACCACTTTTTTGGTCTAATTTCACGCACTGGTCTAAAGCATCCTGTGAAGTCATGGCACCTTGTGTGCTGTCATTTACAAGAAAAGTGTTGTTTTTTTTATCAATTTCCAATGATGGTTGGCCGATGGTCGGCCGACCATCATTGGAAAAAACGTTTTTTTCAAATACTGCCCCCAATTTACCAAAATTAGTAAGTCCACATTTTGTTTGCAATCAGTTACATATCCGTGAGCGGGTGCAAGCCAACTAGTCTGGTTCCCTGACCTGATAATTCTCCAACGTCTATAAATTGCTCTATTTCGTCTGAAGTAGGGTCAGGGAACCAGACTACAAGAACAGCGTTTTTTGTGGTTTTTCCAGCATGTATGAATACAAAACTTGAAACAGGTCAGTGTAACATCAGTACTTGCTATCAAATACTACCCCCACCCCCAAATCCATCCATTTCTGAAAAATACAGCAAAAGCAAATGTCGTATGTTACCTTAAAGGTCATTCACATTAATTTGTGAAGCAGTGTATGGTGTGTCTTTCCTGAACTCACTTGTGTAGACCACACAGTGCACGCACACATTGAGATGAAATAGGCAAAACTAACAATTTTGTGATTTTTTCACATTGTTTTCACATTTGTGATGCGATCAAGCTAAATGAGTTGTTTGTCGACCCTGGTCAAAAAATGTTTTATTACAGATTTGAAAAGAGCGCAATCTCAGCATTACTGATGTGAAAACCACATGCTGATACCATCTTTAGTTCAAAAATTATGGAAGTCAGAACACCAAGAAATGTGATGAAGTGATGTGATGAAGTGGTCCTATTTTGGCCTGAATCTCCAAATGAAAATTCCCGACAAACGACTTACATGTATGTAGCTTGATTGCATCACATTTTAATATGAACCATATTTTCTTTATTGTGCTAAAAAAGTTTGGAGAGAAAGGTGGGTTGGAGGAGCTGAAGACTAGAGCCCTGGAACCGTGCGAAGAACTGGATCCAACGGTAAGTCATTCAGGTACTGGTGTAAATATATTCATATAATCTGATAGTTTTCTCAATTTATTTTTTCAAACTGTTACAGCATCCAATGGACTGATTGTAAATGAAATTTCATTTTTTTTAAATATATATTTTTATATAGTTGTTTTTCAGTATTGTAAATTTCTTGTAATTGAGCCTTTGGCTGCAATATGATTTTTAAGCAATAAACCATTCAGTACATTTTGACATGGAAAATCAGTTGCCCCATACAATCGATCTTTGTCTTTGAGAAAGAGATTCTGCAAGGATTTCACTCCGGCCATTAACGCTAACTCCCTCGCATGATTTACTAGGAACCATACCCATCCTGGCAAACTCGAACACCATATGGGAAACTGCACACACATATTTCTGACTTTGATTCTGGAGGTGTGCCAACCCAATGTAAAAGACTGTCAGTTTAGCAGTACTGTACCCATCCTGACAGATTCCAATAAGACATGCCGTTGGGGTTTGATGGGTTGAGTTCTGTTAGGGTTAAAGGGAATAAACAACATTTGCAAACATCGAAAAATAAAACTACCAAGTTTTTATGAAATACCTTAAAATGATGTTGGTAAATAACAGTCTAAAGCATCCTGTAAACTAAGGCACCTGGTGTGAAGTCATTTTCAAGAAAATGGTATTTTTGTAAAAATTTCCAGCGGTGGTCGGCCGACCACCGTTGGGAAAACCTAACTATTTTTCAACTACTGCTCCAAATTCACCATTAATTCAGTCCAAATTTTGTTCGCTATTGGTTACATGTTCATGAACGGGTGCAGGCCAGCTAGACTGGTACCCTTACCTTACAATTTTCCGGCATCTGTAAATTGATCCATTTTATATTTAGTGGAGTCAGGGAACCAGACTACTTGAACAGTTTTGTTTTTATTGGTTTTTCCAGCATTTTCGAACACAAAACTTCAAACATGTCAGTGTAACAATATTTGATCTATTATACTAACCCCTCAAATAGTTCATTTCTGAAAATTACAGCAAAAGCCAATGATGTATATTTCCTTTAAGCAGCTCTTAGCAGCTTTATATTTCTTCTACATGTACTTTGACAGATCATGGCAGCCCTCTTGCAGCCCCTTGGCGTGACCTCCGAGTACCTCAACACCTTGCGAGTTGCCTCCTTTCTGGGACCCGTCTCCAAGCGCACCTTGAAGTACGTCCGGGAGCTTGCAGACAGCGACTTGAAACAAAAGGTACTTGGCTTCATTCCTGGCACTTCTGAGCACACTTTGAACAAAGACATTGACAAAATGGGAAACCGACAACTTAGAGCTGGATAGCTCAGTTGGTAGAGCACCGGAACGACAATCCAGAGGTCGCAGGTTCTAATCTGGAGGTTGCAGGTTCGCCTCGGCAACTAGTCTGTCAACTTGCAATGGAGTACCGAAGTGAATAAGTCACGTGCACAAAATGTGTGTGAAAGACATTAGCGCTTGATTCAGCCCGTGAACCAACACGCGCCCGTACTCCATTCATTCGCGCTACCCTTTCTGGTTCTAAATGACGTCACACTTCGGTACTCCATACCTTGGGGAGCTAATATTGACTGTCAATCCTCACACCATGTTTTATTTGTAAAATATTTTCCCGTCGTTTACCAATCGTAGAGGGCCGGCAGCATCTCGGACTTGCTCTGCACAATGAAGTTGCTCTGCCAGAACTTCTGGGTGGAGGACGTCTCCGAGGTCGACGACCTGCGCCTGGAAATTGCCCTCCGGATGCTGAAATCGCCTCACTTCAACGCCAAGATGAACAGCTTGAAAGAGGTATTGTAACAATCGCAATAGCACGTCCCACAAAACCCTCAAAGCACCCTCTACATCAGAAATATTGATACATATGTAAAACAAAAGTTTGTCAGCTTTTCAGCAACAAAAAAATCTTTCCAATCGGAAACACATTTATTGACTTATAGCCAATTAAAAAAAACGACACTTCTCTCATTTTGTCCACGGTCTTAATTAGTGTGAGTATCACCCGTTGTCCACGGAGCCCATCTGCGGTAGAACGTCTGATGTATCTAAGCATGCGTGACGTCATTTCATTCCGAAATCTGGACTAAGAGTTTGATTGGTCAATTTCGATGCCACGTTTTTTTCATACAACAACCTGTACAAAAATGCCACTCATTGTGGGCCTGATGTTTACGCTCGCAAGGAGCTCGCATTACGCGTGTATAGAAGGCGCCCGCTGATTGGTCGGTTTCTCGAGGTCATACTCAGTCTATTTGCATAATTAATTGCCGAATCTGTTTACATATCATAGACCATGGACGGCTTCGCCAGGGCCAGGGTCTATTACATAGACTAGGTCTTAATTGTCATTTGTTAGGAATGTAATGGATTTGGGGTGAGGGTAGTTTTGCTTTCTTTGATTTACTTTATCTTTCTGTCTTTTGTTTGGTTCTTTTATAATTTTAAAATTTTTGTAATAATGGTCATTTCTTCTTTTTGCAAGAAATGGTAGTCCTGAAAAAGGCTGTTTTGTTTACTTTCTTACATATTTACTGTTCTGCTTTGCCCTCTACTTGCTTGTTTCAAGGATGCAAGTTTCAGACCTTGTTCTCATTGCAGCAGTCAAACATCGGACGCCGTGGACAAAAATGAAAAAGCAAAATCTTTGTTTAATTAGCCACAACTCAACAAGTCTTGAACTGATTAAAATTACATCTTCAGGGTATTAAGCTAACAATTTAAGGTTGATAGACAGATCCAAATAAGTTTGACTTATGCTTAATAAAGCTGTGAGAAAAGACACTTTGAGGATTCAGTTATTTTGGGGGACACCCTGTACAGGGTGGGTAAAAAAAAATCGAAACCCAAATGTCAGGCCCATTGTTTTAGTGAAGTTCTGCATGTAGCACTTTCAAAATCTAGGATATGAAAGCCCAATTCATAAGCTTTCTTTTAGTACAAGAATCATTCAAATCACTTATGTACTTTTCAAGTTACAGAGTTCAGTGTTCTTTCAGCAAAACGAAAACAAATCACATATAAAGGATGTGTGTGAATTGTTTTTGTTTTGCTGAAAGAACACACACCTTTTTTGTGATCCATGGACGGAACTTTAAAATGGTGGTTGTGTTTAAAACTCAGTAACTTCAAAAGTACATGAGTGATTTGAATGATTCTTGTACTAAAAGAAAGCTTTTGAGTTGGGCTTTCATATCCGAGATTTTGAAAGTGCTACATGCAGAACTTCAATAAAACAATAGTCCCGACATTTGGTTTTTATTTTTTTTTGACTCGCCCTGTATAACTTGATTTTGCATGTACACACTGTGCAAAGTCATGGTGCCGTGTGACTCATAGCCTTGTGACAAGGCTTTCGTGGTTTGGGCTTGGCATTCAACTGGTCAGTGAAGCCTTGAAGCGGATTGAGCGGAGACTTCACAGGCTGGGTGACTGAGTCATGAGGCCTTTTGCACTCGGTCAGAATCAAGCAGGTCAATCGCAGGTTGCGAATAATCTGATTGTAAAGATTACTTAAAACTATAAAAAAAAAAAAAATAAGTATGAATAAAATGAATAAAACAAAATACAGAGAGAAACGTAGGACAGTATGAAATGATATACAAATAATGAGTGTTTATGAGTGCCATGGAACAAATATTTTCATGAGGTGAAAGATTGACTGTTCCATTTCAATCTTTCACCGAATGAAAATATTCCTTCCATTGCATGAATTATAAAAATATCATTATTTGTTTTATATAACACCTAATATTTGATAAGTTATTTAAAAATAGTTAGGTTTAGCTTCAATTTTACTTCATGGCCATCTACAACATATTTTAAATCCAACAGGTAGTAAAAGTTCCAATCCAAACAGTTGTAAATACAGCAAGATCAAAGTTCAAGTCCGAAAGTGTACAAAAACAGTCAATACCTGGTCAAACAGTGACACGTGTCAGTACAGACAACGCGTAAAGCTGCAATCTCATCATGCAGTGTAGCCAAGTTCATGCTCCACGATCGATATTGAGGCATGCTTGCAGTGGAACGAAACGAATGGAACCAAAATGCAGGGTAAACAGAACCAAATTGCACGATGTATCAATGATCATGATTCAGTGTCATGTGACTGCATTCCACCAATCAAATGATCTATGCAGGTGTTATATATAAAATGTAATATGGAATTGAATTGAGAATCAGGAGTAATCTGACTTTGCATTTTCGGATTTTTGACAGATTACTAAATTGATAGAGGATTCATCAGCTAGGAACCATCGCACGGCCATCCAGGAGGAAGTGGTTCTTAATTGGTTGGTGGACAAGAAGGTCCTGTCCATAGCACTTGAAGGTAGGTTGTTGGATACTGCTCATTAACCAGTTTGCGTCGAGGCGTGATAACACGCACTGGCTGTTTTTATACACAGGCACGGCTGACGGGTTAAGACGTCAAGATTGCTTCGACTGGCCTTCGGGTGACGTCTCAACATGCTAATCCTGCATGTCTTTTGTACACACACAAAAAAGTCCGTGAAGTGTGTGGAGATGGAGCAACCTTAAATTGGCCGTTGTGCACGGCATATTGTCGTACAGTTTTTGCTCCAGTGCATACCCAGAGTATTGAAACATGTGAGGTTTTGGCAGGAAATATCGTATGTACAAACTGTGAAAATGACTCATGCGAATCAGTATGGCGTTTGGCTGTATATCAGAAGTTGGCCGGGAAATTTGCCCTTTACAGAAATTGAGGTATAGACTAGGTTGCATTGGTGATTGTATTCTTGGGCAAGAAACTTTACTACAATTGCCTTTCTCAACCCAGGAGTATGAATGGGTACCTCTGAGGGTAGAGACCAGATTGCACTGATGCTTATGTTCTTGGGCAAGACACTTTACTACAATTGCCTCTCTCCACCGAAGAGTATAAAAAAGTACCTGTGAGGGTAGAGACCAGATTGCACTGATGCATGTGTTTTTGGGCAAGACACTTTACTACAATTGCCTCTTTCCACCAAGGAGTATAAATGGGTACCTGTGAGGGTAGAGACCAGATTGCACTGATGCTTGTGTTCTTGGGCAAGACACTTTACTACAACTGTCTCTCTCCACCAAGGAGTATAAATGGGTACCTGTGAGGGTAGAGACCAGATTGCACTGATGCTTGTGTTCTTGGGCAAGACACTCTACTACAATTGCCCCTCTCCACCCAGGAGTATAAACGGGTACCTGCGATGATTGTGCTGGTCTCGAGCTGCTGCAGAAAAGGGGTCCCATGGCCTGTTGAACAGGGGTAATAATTGTGAATCGCTCTGAGGCATAACACGTTATATAAGCACCACAATATTGTTATGATCCTTGCAGGCAACATTGACCAGGCGCAATACTGTGACAGACTGAAGGGTATAGTGGTGTTCCTGGGTACCAAATTATCCCTGGAAGAGCTAACTGGGATATGGAACATGCAGGTAAGGATAAATATTTCCAAAAATCAGGACCAAAATTAGAATTAGAAAATTATAAATTTAATTAGAAATTAAAATTAGAAAAAATATATAACTTAGGAGAAAAATGAACAATTCTGTTCTATTTACTAATTTGAAATGGGGAACCAGAATTATACAGATCAGTGTTTTTCAACCTGTAAAACCCGCCAAGCTTTGTGTGTTTGTTGCAAAGCTTAAAAAAATCACTGCCCAACTTACAAACTAAGCCACCATGTATAAAGTCTTAGACTTTACAACATTAAATATCTAGGTTTTTTTATTATCTTAGAGTGTACTGGAAATATTTTTGACAAGTTAAAAGAATTCTGGCACCTTGCTTATTTGCTTTTTTCGTCTGTGTAACAGAACGACCAGCCACTGACGGTGGTAGAGAACATTCATTCCATCATGTCGGCTGTGGCTGTTAAATTCAGTACGGAACAACTGGAGCATCTGTTCTGTCTGATTCAGAAGGTATATGAACCAAGTCACTTCCGTCCTCCCATTCCCCCCCCCACCCCCTACCTCCCACCCCCACCCCCACCCCCCACCCCACCGCCACCCCACTCCCCCCACCCCACTCCTCCCACCTTCAGCCCTACCCCACCACTCCCCCCCCCCCCCCCCCCCCCCCCCCACCCCACGATTTTCTAAACAGCTTTAAAATTAGTGAAAATGGGTAGTGCAAGAGTTCATTGTGACCTTGGGTTAATATCTTCGTGCCAGTGGCAACAAGGTCATAACCAGGGTGACCGTAAGGTCATGGTAAAATCCTGCTAAATGCGCTTCAAAAATCTGTCAGATTTATCAAAAATTCTGCCAAATTCCCCAGATTTCCTCGAAATACACTAAAAACCCTTAAAATCACATGCAGATTTGTAGTACTGCCTTAATTAAGGTTCAAATCGCGTTATTAATAGTTTATAGTCACATAAATATGTTATGAAATTATTGTGGTTGCGGCGTGAAGTCCGGTTCCCAGTGAACCTCAGTGCCTAGTCCAGCCAACCTGTCCCATTATGCAAGAGTTTGTTTGAAAAGATTGAAGAGTTTTTGGACAAATGTACCATTTTTTTTTCAAATTAGCTATGGTTTTCTGTAAATAACCATTTTTGCAGAATTCTGCCAGAAATCTGCCAAAAATATCCATTCTGTCAAATTTTCTGTCAAACTCGTTTTTTTAACCAAAAATCTGTCAAAGTAAGCCGAAAATCGGCTAAAACGGTCACCCTGGTCGTAACTCCATTCTGCAGCAAAGTCGTCTCTCATGCGAATACGCTCCGTGCAACAAGGTTGCATCTCGATATCCATTGACTTTGTGTGTACATCCGGGGTATTTTATGTGAGATACGACCTTATGTCATTCTGAAACTCGCTTTTTATGTACGGCCCATTTTAGGAGATCCGACCTTGTTGCACGTCCATGACGATATGAATTATTCTTGAGAAGTTTAGCAGGAAGACCAACAGGATGAATGAAGGTCAAAATAAACAAAATCATGATTATGCAAATGAGTTCACTCATGCACAAAACTGAATGTCCCTTGGGAACATAATGTGATTCATGGATTGACTTCACACAGAATACAGCTTAGCACAGAAAAAGATGTGCACAGCAAAATCAGGTTACCAGCCAGAATCTCATGTCATGTATAATGCTGTTGACTGGTACTCTGCCAAACTTTTACTAAGCGCAAAAATTTGCCAAGCAGTCTGCTAAAAACAGCTCCGTAAAACTGGTCTCCGATCTTAATATCCCTGCATTATATTATATTTTAAAATCAAGGCTTGGACCAACGAGAACGATCGCATCCAGGAGAAACTCCTTAGCCTGATTGGCCGGATCGGCCGCGAGGCCCGCAATGCTAAGACGACCAGTAAGGTTCTGGAGCTGCTCTGGGACCTGGCCCACATGCCGGGCATCTCCGCGTCACACCTCCAGCAAGCCCTGGACGAACAGCTGGCCATACTCTGTGATTCCATCACCGTCAATATGACCGTCAAACACAAGTACATCGGCAAGTGTGTCGGGGACATCAAGAAGGTAATTTGGCCCTCAAATTTTCCAATCCCCCCCCCCCTTTGGTAGCCTATGTAATAGACCACGGTGAATGCTGTGGTCTATGATATGTGAGCAGATTCGCTGATTAATTAGGCAAGACAACCGCCTCTTGACCTCTAGATTTTGACCAATCAGCGGGCGCTTTCTATATCAGGTCTTCGATTATTCACCCATTGCGCGTCATTGGCAATAGATAAAAAAAAACCTGTGTCATGCGCTCTGTACCATGTTACGCGCATATGCGCCCAGCTGTTGTATTACAAAACACTGCATTCAAATTGACCAATCAAACCATTTAGTCCTGATTTTGGAATGAAATGAAGTCACGATTGAGTAAAGTCAACTCCGATTGGCTGGCGCTCGGCTTGCATATATCTGCATGTCTAGACATATCAAATGTTACACAGGAGATTGGCTCCTTGGATAACGGGTGATACTCGGTCTACCCCTTTGGAGTGACCAACGTAAAAAAGTAGTTTCTCTATTAAAACAAGTTGACAATTTGTCACCACTTAATGTCTATTTAAAAAAGTAGTTCTCAAAAAAAATTCTGTGTTACAAAGACCAGAAGACTTATTAACAATGAGTCACAAATCATTGCCGTGGAACTTACGAGGAATTGAACCCAATGTTAACTCTTAACTCTCTGTTTGGAAGAATCATCATAAATTAAGTTCATCCAACATAACTTAAAGATATTGTCTTGGTCACATATAGGATATAATCAATTGGATTTTTTGTGTGTGCAGGGTTTGTTGGTTGTACCAGCACTGAGGCAACTGCACTCCATCACCAGAGGAATCACAAAACAGAGCTACACCAAAGACAAGGTAAAGTGCCTAAGGATAAGGTAAAGTGCCTAAAGATAAGGTAAAGTGTCAAAAGATAAGGTAAAGTGACTAAAGATAAAGTAAAGTGCCTAAAGGTTAGGTGTAGTGCCAAAAGATAAGGAAATGTGCCAAATGATAAAGAAATGTGCCGAAAGATAAGTAAAGTGACTAAAGATAAGGTGAGGGTGCCTAGAAATGAGGTAAAAGTGCCAAATGATAAGGTCAAGTGCCTATTGTAAAGAGCCTAAAGATAAGGTAAAGTGCCTAAAGATACGGTAAAGTGCCTAAAGACAAAGAAATGTGCCAATAAGTAAGTAAAGTGACTAAAGTCAAGATAAGGTAAAGTGCCTAAAAATAAGGCCAAAGTGCCAAATGATAAGGTCAAGCACCTTAAGATAAGGTAAAATGCCTAAAGATTTGGTAAAGTACCTAAAGATAAAGAAATGTGCCCAAAAAATAAGATAAAGAGCCTAAAGATAAGGCAAAGAGCCTTAACGTAAGGTAAAGTGCCTAAAGATCAGGTAACACGCCTAAAGATGAGGTAAAGTGTCTAAAGATAAGGTAATGCACCTAAAGATACCGTAAAGTGCCTAAAGATAAGGTAAAGGGCCTGAGGAAAATGTGAAGTGCCAAAAGATGAGGTAAAGTGCCAAAACTTAAGGGAAAGTGCCTTTCAGCGAAAAAATACCATGGAATAAGTTCCTCCCAATGATTTTACTCCATAGTCTTTATAAAGGTCTGATGTGTGCTCTATACATTTTGGAAGAAGCTGCAAGTGTGGTACTTTCTCATTTATTGTTGATGGTGTAATTTTGTTTGTAGGGTTTGCCACAAGAGCTGAACAAGAGCTATGACATCATCAAACTGACGACACAAAGTCTGCTTAAATATCACAAGATGGCCATCGCAGAAGGACAACCCCTGGGACCCAAAGTATCAATAGATGGCCGCTACACACACGAAGAGGTAAAATATGTATATATATTATCTGATACACCGTGCCCTCTGGAGACATGCACACAATAGGGACAAAAGATTGTACATGTCTCCACAGGGCAATTTTGTTTTCGCGAAATAGATATATGGATTTCACTAAAAAACTAGGAATTTCCAAGGTATGTTGAACTGTCGCAAATGGTAGAGTTTTAGAAAAGGGATATTAAGTCCAAATTTCAGCCAAGGAAATTAATTCTGGTTAAAATAAGAGCATTTTGAAACTGTACTTTCAAACTCGAAAACTTAAGTAGACAATAACAAAGAAATGTCTCCACAAGGATGCAAATTTCAGTATAAACGTATTTTAATGCCCCGTGTTCTTTCAGCAAAACGAAAACAATTTACACACATCCCTACGTGATTTGTTTTCATTGTGCTGCAAGAACACTTAAGTTTTTGTGAGCCGTGAACTGAAGTTTAAAACGGTGGTTGTGTTTAAAATTTTGTAACTTGAAAATTACATGAGTGCTTTGAATGATTTTTGTACTAAAAGAAAGCTTAATGACTGGGCTTTCAAATCCTAGATTTTGGAAGTGCTACATGCAGAACTTCACTAAAACAATGGTCCCGACATTTGGGTTTCGTTTTATTTTTACCCCCCCCCCCCCCCTGTATGCGTTGGCTTTATTGATGTGCGTTCCTCATTTTGTATAAATATTTATTCTGGCAGTACCTGGATGTCCACTTGCGATTCCTGGCCTTCATTCTCCAAGAGGGGGCGCTGTATTTGCACTGGCACCGAGCGCGGGAGATATGGGATTGCCTGGTGGCCAATCCTGACGCCTGTGAATTTGACGTTGAGGTCAGTTTCATGAAATGGGTTGATACGGTCCGATTCTGCAATTGTGGGCCAAACGTAAAGATGACCTGAATTTGGACCCTAAGGCCAAGCACAGTCCAAATAGTCAATTCATATATTTCAGTTTATGATTTTGCTGCTTAGTCCGTTATTCATAAACACCTGAGACAGATAACGTATATCTATTGGTCGAGAGCTTGTCATGTGGGTGGTTTTAAAAGGCTGTTTAAACACCGCTGCAAAGATTTTATAAACGGCAGGGTCACATATAAGCTAACAACAATGAGTTCATGAATTCAGCGAAATCATGAGTTTACAGGTTCCAAATCATTGAATAGACGTCCAAATTAGATATTTTCAGGAAAACAATTACACATTTATCTTCAATGCCAAAGTCAGTAACACAACAGGGTGAGTCAAACAAAGCGGAACCCAAACCTCAAAAATATATTTTACATTTTTTTATGAGTACAAAATATAAAAACAACTGAAAAGCCAATTTCATAAACTTCTTTTAGATAAAAAAAGTACTTAAATTGCTCAATCTGTTCAGAGAATATCACCATTTAAACACAATCACCACAAAAACCTCTTTTGTCCAAAAATGCGATTTCAAGAATCGTCATCACAATTGTCTTCAAACATCACCAGCGATAAAACTTCAGTTTTAAAGTTAAAAATATTCAACAAAGTCCTTTTGAAGGCCCATCTTTTAAAAAAAAAGTGGATTTTTCGTATTGTTTGCCGAAGCCGGGTTTTTTATAGAGATATTGTGTATTTGTTGAAACAAGTATTCTGTGTCATTTTCTTTGTTGTTCCAAACAGTCAAAACACCCAATAAATGGGGTTTTTTTTATGAAAGAGGTTTTAGGGTCATGGCGTTTAAATGGTGATATTCTCTGAACGGATCGAGCTATTTCAGTATTTTTTTCATCGAAAACTAGTGTCTGAAATTGGCTTTCCAGTCATTATTATTTTTGGTGCTAAATTTTTTTTTTTAATATGAAATATATTTTTGGGGTTTGGGTTCCGCTTTTTTACTCACCCTGTTGACTGATTAAAGTTTCAGTATTCAAAAGCGTTGCTAAGTAATTTCTTCTCTGAGAATTTGGGAATCATGTGGAGCTATTTTTGAGCTAAGCATCTATCCTCCCTCCCTATGTCAGACATGCTTTGAGTGGTTCCGTGTCGGCCTGACTGACCTGGAGCAAGACACCCAGATGCAACTCTTCAAGGAGAAACTGCTCAAGCTAGACCCCACCACTCTCTCCCCGACGGGCTTTGAATGCATCAAACCCTTCTTTGAAACTGTCAACATCAACAGCGACGCTTTGAAAAAGACAGCCACTGGTCTGGTGAGTTCTTAATAATAATTCATAAATACCTAAGATAGTTTACCCATTCTCATTGGTCGAGAGCCCATCACGTGGCCTGTCTTAAACGGGTGATAAAGACATGGCTGGTTGGTCCTAAACACTTTTCCAGTGTCACATGAAATTTGAACTCTATGAAATCCAGTGCTTTTTACTGTTTTATTAGTTGAATGTTCACTATCCTCACGTAGGCATTCGCAATACTACTAGTGAGTCAGAATTTCCTAATCCTAAATTCTCAACGCACTCGCCACAGCTGCGTGTCATTGTGCAGTACGCGCGAAGCGTGCACCAAAATCCACAAAAGGAGTTGTTAACATCATACTCACGAGCTGGACATTCCATTATATAGCTAGTAAAATTCTTGAACAAAATTGTTGGAAAAGTTTAATCATTGACTTGTTTTGACTTTTGGACCGAAAAATTTGGGTGTTTTGACGGAAAAGGTAATTATGAATAGGTTTGGCTCAGGTAAATATCAGCAACCAGACTCCAACCAGTCTTAAACATAGCGTCTAACACCTCCCAAGCACACATTTATTCCCTTATTATAATATGTACTTATGTGGCACAGATATGAACCAAACAGATTCTCATGTCACAGTGCAATATTATTACCCCTGCACATCGGGCCAAATAAAAACATTCCACAGACCATCTCAACTCCCCGGAGAGTATACAGCTTGATGCTGCCATTCAGGGTGAGTAAAAAAAAAACGAAACCCAAATGTCGGAACTATTGTTTTATTGAAGTTCTGCATGTAGCACTTTCAATTCTAGGATGTGAAAGCCCAATTCATAAGCTTTCTTTAAGTACAAGAATCATTCAAATCACTCATGTAGTTTTACGGAATTAAAGGTCTGTCCACAGATCACACAAAAAGGTGTGCATTCTTTCAGCAAAACCAAAACAATTCACACACATCCCTGTATGATTTGTTTTCGTTTTGCTGAAAGAATACTGAACTTTTTTGTGATCCTTGGACAGAGCTTTAAAACGGTGGTTGTGTTTAAAATTCTGTAACTTGAAAAGTACATGAGTGATTACAATGATTTTTGTACTAAAAGAAAGCTTATGAATTGGCCTTTCATATCCTAGATTTTGAAAGTGCTACATGCAGAACTTCACTAAAACAATGGTCCCAACATTTGGGTTTCATTTTTTTTTTTACTCACCCTGTATACATATCCATTTCTACCTTTGGTGAAAGTGGATGTTTATTTGCCATCACGTTACCACTACAGCTAATCCTACAAACTTTTTGGCCACTCTGAATCAATAGAATTAAATTCTGTGTGCTCTGGGACCAGCTCGACTAGGCTTCACATGTCATGTTTTATATTTTTTTATCCATAGGTGGTGGAGAAGCTGGATTTGTACGGTCTGGACTTTATGTGGCAGGTAGCTCTTGAGACTCCTGTGGAGGAGATTGCCGATCAGGCCATCAGGCATCTGATGAAGATGTGCTATTCCAACCTGTCACGCAAGCTCAAGAAGGTAGGTTTCCGTGGTTCAGTTCAGACTAGAAAGTCCAGAGTCAAGACTGAAATCTGAAGGAACCTTGAAAGAGACCTGAAGGCTCAAGACCAAGACTGGTAGCTGAGGGTCTGAGACCGACACCTAAAGGTCCCAGACCAAGACTAACGCCTGAAACCCAAACTGAAGGTCCAAACCCAAGACCTGAAGGTCGGAAACCAGGACCTGAAGGTCCTAGTCTGAGAAAGAAACAGAGACCTAATGTTCCTGACCAAGACCTAGAGCTCCAAGTTCAAGGCTTTAAGGTCCAAAGCCGAGACCAAGACCTGAAGGTCCAAGTTCAATGGTGAGACCCTGAAGTCTGAGACTGACACTGAAACTGGAGGGTCTAAGACCAAGACTTGAAGGTCTGATGATGAGACAGAGACATTAAGAGTAAAAGCAGGGACCAAGACCTGAAGGTCCAAGTTCAATGGTGAGACCTGGAAGTCTGAGACTGACACTGAAACTTGAGGGTTGAAGACCAAAACTTGAAGGTCTGATGATGAGACAGAGACATGGAGCTTAAAAAATGCATCTTTGGAAATTGCCTTCTTTTATTGTTCTCTTCAAACTTTTTGGACAGCTGCAAATGATCTGCTCTTCCATTAAACATTGTGTGGGTTTGTCATTGAAACGGCAGACAAATCTTGGAACAAAGATATAAAGTGCTTGTTTTGTTTTTTCTTCTAATACAAGGATCCTGTTGCCTTGCATAATGGCTTCATCGCAGAGTGCTACCACAGGCTGGAGCTAGCCACCATCGCGCTGGGAGGCACAGCCGTAGCCCGTGCTATCTCCCAAGCCACCAAGACGCTGACTGCGGCTACTGTGCCTGGCGTAGCCACGATCCCAAGCCCCTTGAGGTGAGATGCGACAAGCCGTAGCTGATTTGTGAGAAAGGTGCTGTACGATGCCATTTTTGGGTACAAAACAGATTCCATTCTCAATTCATTGACTTAAAGGTGTCATGCGATGAATTTTTCTTTGGAACACATTTTGTGCAACTTTTCAGGAAGACACTGTTTCGATTTTTTTGTGTGTGTTCATATTGTGAACCGAAAAATGTGCTCATTGAAAACATTTGTGAGAAAAGATCGCTGATTGGCTTACTGCCATGTACTGACACAATAATTCACCAAAGAAAAAAAAATTCACGACAGCAAATTATTCAAAATTCTGCCAACTTGTGGTGCTGAAATAGCTGTTAACATTGAGGTTTCTGCCTGGAATGACATCTCAATTTTGCTCATGAATATGGAAATTGGCATTAGCATAAAAACCAAAAAGGCACCAATATACCCTTGAAAATGGCAAAACGAAAATTGAAAATAAGGTTGAATGTGACACAAAGGTGCATTTTAAAGGATTGTATTAAAAAAAAGGCACATTGCATGGGCCCTTTAAGGTTATATGTTGTATTAAAAAAGACTACATCTTTAAAATCTTTAATCTGCAGATTGAAGTTACGTTGCAAAATTATTTCATTCAAGGTGAAATTTCTAGTCTTGATACCCGAAAAATGGCATCTTTACAGCACGTCTTCATTCACTCAACGTCTTCATTCACAGCACGTCTTCATTCACTAGTGGTTTGGGTTCGTGACTCATGATCAGAGGGTCAGGGATTCAAATCCAGCTGCCGGTCAAATGTGTCCTTGGGCAAGCCACTTCACCCCCCACTTGCCTCTCTCCACACAGGAGTATAAATGGGTACCGGCATTAGCTGGGGAGTAACCTGCGATGGACTGGCATCCCATCCAGGGGGAATAGAAATATTCTCAGTCGTTTCATGCCACTGAAACCGGAGATAAACGCCGGCCTGATGGGCCACATTGGCTTGTGACAGATTTCATTACTTACTTGTTCACTCAAAAATATGATCTATTGGTTTTGTGTCACTGGAACCATTGATGTGGTGCTACCCTGGGGTCCAGTCACTGATTTCTGATAACTGATCAAATCACTGTTCACTGATGAAATCAATGATTTCTGTTCACTGATCAAATCACTGTTCACTGATCAAATCACTGACTTCTGATTACTGATCAAATCACTGATCTCTGATCAAATAACTGTTCACTGATCAAATCACTGATTTCTGATCACTGATCAAATCACTGATCTCTGATCAAATAACTGTTCACTGATCAAATCACTGATTTCTGATTACTGATCAAATCACTGATCTCTGATCAAATAACTGTTCACTGATCAAATCACTGATTTCAGATCACTGATTAAATCACTGTTCACTGATCAAATCACTGATTTCTGATCTCTGATCAAATCAGTGTTCACTGATCAAATCACTGATTTCTGAGCACTGATCAAATCAATGATCTTTGATCAAATCTCCGATCACTGATCAAATCTCTGATCACTGATCCTTGTATACTGACTGGATAGCTAACGCTAAAAGAAACTTTAAAAATTTGTGGGCCAGCTAGTGGTGGGAGGAATCAGAGATGCCAAAATCTGGTTATCCTAATTTTTTTCAAACCCAATAAAAGTTATCCAATTTCACTGGAAGTTCCCATTCAGCTCACAGTCATGCCAACAAAAAGTTACGAGTTGACGTGCCACACAGAATGCCATACAGGATGGTATACTTGTAGTTTGCGGGATTGAATGACCATTGGGCCTTGAGAGCTGTAATGTTGAAAAAATGGATGGGAACTCTCTGAACAGACGAATGGGCAGGCTATTCACTAACCAAGAAGACCACTAGCGAGTGAATGCAGTTACAATCAGGAAACACGGAGCCAATTGGGGGATGTTCCAGTTGTTTTCTTTAGCTTGTGTCCCAAAAAATGGAAGGTCTAATTTTTTAAAGTTTGGATTTGAATATCTAGTATCCAAAATCCAAACCAAATAGCGGAATAAGCTATTTGCGAGTTAAATTTGAATAAAATCTGGAACGCTGACTTAATACAATGCTTTGTGCGTTTTAATCTAGCATTCTCCCGACCAAAGAGACTGTTACTGTATCACGTGATTCGGGGCAAGCCTTATGCTAGCAACCCCCAGCTCCGGCATGGTCTGGTGTCTTTGTGCCATTCTCACCCATTGTGAACAATGTATTGGTGCTGAGCGTCCCTTACGTAACTATGCAAGAGCTTGCCCCGAATCATGTGATATAGCAACAGTGTCTTTGGTCTGGAGAATTCAAAGTTAAAATGTGCCCAGCATTCTGAGCAAGTCAGTGTACCAGATGTTTTTCAAATGTAAATCCCAAAGGGTATAGGTTACTCGCAAATTGCTTATTCAAACCAAATTAAAACAAAATCAAAATTAGCCACAAACATTCACATGACATGCTACTCATATTTCACTCCATAATCTTTAAAAAAAAAATGGCTTCCTTTCATAATGTTCCCATTCATTCTTGTCAACTTGATTCCTTTTTTTCGGGTCTGTCCTCTTTTCTTAACTGTACCTCCATCCGTTTCCTCTGTCGTATGTCAAAGAGAGCAACCATCTTGTGGTCTAATGACGAGTTGTCGAAGGTAAGACCAAATATAAGAAGAAAAAAATTTAGGGGGGGCAAAAGTGATTTTATAACATGGCACTGAGTGTTTGGTAGTATACCTGGTGATAATAACTCCCTTTTTTTCACCTTCACTTTTCCCGCGTGAGTGGTTGACTAATGAGTATAACATTGCAGCTGTATTTCTGTGAGGTATTTGTATTGTACACACTTTTGCATTGCTACGGGCTACGTGCATAGTGTTGATGTACCCTAATGTGGCGCGGCCCCTAATGTGGCACACTTTGATTTTTCTCCTGTAGCGCTTAGCTAGAGCAAAAGTTTGGCCTGAAATTTTGCAGAAAGTGAAATTTCATCAAGTTCTAACACTCCCGTTCATACATCGCGAGTTTATCTACCCGTTACAAAGAAATTTATTTCGGCGTGATTTTCCGATTTACATTCGAAGTGCAAAGTGAACCCTTTGAAAATGTCCCCCAAAAATAAGAAAATAATTTTCTGACAAACTTTTAGTTGGGTATGTAAGTAGAGATAATAATGGCATATCAGAATTTATCAACTTTTAATACAGAAATTCTTTCATGTAAATTTGGAATTTTCTGAGATTTGTTCAAGTGTGTCACGTTAGGGAACACTCAGCCGATTTTGTGCCCAATTTCCGGACGCACCGTTTGCGAATTTCGGATTAAATTTCATGACACTGAAATTGTTCACAGCCCATAGCAAGCATTAATAACGTAAAAGTACCAGTATTTCACTGAATGAATTTGAAGTTTGTCAACTAAGAAGTTTGGCAACACCACATGAGGAAAGTCGGATTAAAAGTCAAAGTGCGTCACGTAAGGGAACACCAATTATAAGCACCCTTTCAGTTGTTCAGGAGAAATGTTGAACACTTTAGTGCCATTGCTGCCAGTACTGTTATGTGTGCAAAAGCCCAAAAGAAATCGCTGCATGTTTGTGCACTTTCAGATGAAAATGATAAGATAGTGAGATTGACGTAGCACCATGTGACAAATCTCTTTTTTGAGTTTGTGAGGGGGGGGGGAGGGGACTCAACGTGTCGGATGGTATGCTCTGTCCTCAAAGCAGATTACAATTGGGTATATTCAAATGCGGGAGTCTTTGGCTAGACTAGTCAGTGTTTGGTTCCAAGTCGTTCGCATAAAAAGTGAACCGTGAACTGGGGTAGACTAACATGCTCTATTTCTCCTGTCCGTCATATTTGAGGTGATTAAATGAATTCCATTTTATTTGTGAATTATCCTCTCCCTTGCTCTCCATTGTTGTTAGTTAGGCCCAACCTCGTTTCCATGGGTACGATCTTGCTGCGCCATGTTCTTTCCCATCATGCCCTGCATGGTCTTAACCCCTGGAATTGTCTAATTAAATGTGCCAAATAGTGGCACATTTAATTGTACTGCAGTCGATGTATCTAATGCGCGACGCCATGTTTAAAATGTTGAAAGTTGTTTTTTTGACGAATCAATCCTTTCAAACATAAGGTTTCGACGTCGCGTTATTTAGCAAGGATTTGTATTAAATGTACGTACCTCTTCCGTCCCTTTACAACCGAAGGTACAGTTTTTTGGGGGCGAAAAACAAGGCTACTATAATCCATATCGTACAGGCATCGCGCAGTTTGGAAAACAACGCGAGCGCATTGAAGGGCTTGCAGTCTTCGAAGTGCGCGCGCCGTACGCTCTTAATAGCCAGTCAGCATCGTTTATGTGTTCATCACGGCCAGGGGTTAGTGAAGGAACATGCTCGCGCCCATGGATTCGAGGCTGAGTTAGGCCAGCATTTTTTTATTTGTTGGATTACGAACCTGCCGACTCCGAATTTGACAATTTAAAAAAAAAAAAAATTAAGAAATTACGGTTACGTTTTCCCGACGCGGGATTTTTAATATTTAAAAAAAAAAAAAATGATTCCATTGTATAAATTTTTTCCCCTGACACAGTATTTTGAGTAAATTAAAAAAAACAACAATGCAGCATAGCCCATATCGTGGACGTCCCTGGTATCCGGCCCATTGATGGAGCCAGCGTGCAGTGGCAATTTTCGTCGGACACACGTTCTTGTTCCACATGGATCATGCTACATGGCGTCCCCTAACGTGGCGCACTTTGACGTTTCCCCCGACTTTCCTCATGCAGTGTTGCCAAACTTCTTTGTTGACAAGCTTCCAATTCATTCAGTTAAATACTGGTACTAATTACCCTAATAATAATTGCTGTTGGACCCTTGTGAACAATTTGAATGTCGTGAAATTTAGTCCGAAATTCAAAAACAGTTGCGTCCGGAAATTAGGCACAAGATAGGCAGAAGGGCGCACTTAAACAAATCTAAGAAATTCCCAAATGAGAATTAAAACAATTCTTTAAGTTTGGCAAATTCTGATAAATCATAAATATCTCCACGCACCTATCCAACTGCTTGTTTGTCTGAACATTAGTTTCTTGTTTTAGGCACATTTAAAATGATTCACTTCACACTACAAAATAAAATTGGAATATCGAGCCAGAGTAAAATTTCTCTTTTGGAACGGAAATGTTTAGAGCTTGATGAAACTTCACTTACTGTGACATTTTAGGTAAACCTTTTGCTCTAGCAAGACATTAGAGGCAAAAAAAGTGTGTCATGTTAGGGGCAGTGTCAGATTAGGGGACGTCATGTTTGATTTCTCTGTTTCTTCTTTCTGATCTGCCTGTGTTCTAAGTCCCATAACTTCTGAATGGAAGGTCGTATTCACTTGGGATTCTACCAAATATAAACTGAAAGATAGCTCCTTTCAAAATTGTAAAAAAAAAAAAAAATTGATAAGGGCCGACATACGACTCATTTAGCTTGATCGCATTACATATAATAATAATAATAATAATACCGAAGTCTTATATAGCACATGTATCTACCAACAAATAGGTACTCAAGGCGCTGGAAATTATGTCTATTATTAGAGACAGGTAGATAAAGTACATGAGAAATATGAGAACCATTATGTAGCACCTTTATAAGGGTTTACAAGGTGCTGCGGGGCATTAAGCAGCCACTGCCAGAAACACCGGGGCAAACCCCTTCTCTTAGCAATAAGTGTTACTGGGTTCTTTTAACGTGCATTACACAACCTACGGGACCTACGGCTTTACGTCCCATCCGAAGGAAGAAATGAAAAAGTACCTTTAAAATTGAATGGTTATTTTTATTCCGTCCTCCGACCCTGCCAAATTTTGTGTTATGTTCCAAATCCAATAAATAAACAAAAATACTGGCCTTATCTCAGGATTAATATTTTTTCCCAGTCTCAAGCAGTCACTGTGCCTTTGACCTTCCCTCTGCCTTTATATACCAAATTCGTGACCCCCTCCCCCTCCCCCACCCCAACCCCCATCCCCACCCACATCAAAGTTGATTAGGATCCAGAAAATGCAAGTTAAAGGGGTGAACAATGCCAAGTACATTGATTGTGATGCTCTGTGTAGATTTCTTGGCAGGAGTGGGCCACAAGATGTTGCTTTCTTTGGTTTTCTTCTTGGTTCGTGGCTCTCCGTTTTTGTTATGATTTCACCTTGTGTCAATTATTTTCTTTCTTGCTTTTTTTTCTCTTTTCTTTTTATTTCTTTCTGAATGCCTCAAAGGCTGTAGTGGAGAAAAATGCAAAAAAAAAAAAAAACAGGTTATTTATTTTTATTTTTTTATTTTCTGATTTATTGATATTGTTATCTTTGATATGTCTTCTTCACATACTTAAGAGAAAAAAAATCATGGAATAAAAGTGTTTGAATGAAAAAAACAATTACGTCTTTAATTTTCACGACTACAAAACAGTCAAAACTTTCAAGGCCTTTTTTTACTCACACAATTACAAGTTGTCAGCAAATTATTTTCTTATTTTTGAGTGCATTTTAAAAGGGTTCATTGTGCACTTCAAAAAAATATATTGGAAAATCACGCCAAAATAAAATTTCTTTGCTAACCTTGTAATGGGGAGAAAAACTCAAGATTTATGAATGGGAATGATTAGAGCTTGATGAAATTTTACTTACTGTAAAATTTGAGATAAAACTTTTGCTCTAGGAAGGCGCTAGAGGCGAAAAATCAAAGTGCACCATGTTAGGGACATCAACAATTTTTATGAATGGTGTGTTTTTTGGGTTGATTTTTTTTTAACAGAGCGGCAAAGTTACTAGTGATCGAGCGACTCCTCAAGCTAGCCGAGACGTACATCACCACGGTTGAGGACCAGCATCTCACGCCTCGTACCATCCTGCCACACGGCGCGTCGTACCAGGGACAGCCCATCACCATGCAGGTCATCTGCGACTCACCCAAGTACGACTTCATCCTTGTGGTGAGTTTCTGATCTCTCCTAAATTTCAACAAGCAGTTTTAATAAGATTGAACAAAGAAATTGACTGGAGCGGGGTTTGAACCTGCGACCTCCGGATTGCCGTTCCGGCGCTCTACCAACTGAGCTATCCAGCCCTATGTTGGTGGGTCCCGATTTTGTTTATGTCTTTGTAATGTGTCTGAAATCAACTTCCAACGCGTGATAAATAAATTACTGAATCATGGTATTCTAAGTTCTGTGTGATATATTTATGAAATATTAACCTTTCTCTCTGCCTTGAAGGGAATGTACAACATTTGCTTTTGCTGCAATTTTCAGAAATAAATGGATTTGGGTGGTTAGTATGTTATAGCAAGCAAAAGTTTGGTTGTAGAATGGAAACTTGAGGGGAGCTAATATTTGAAATTCTGAATTTTTGTGTGTTTTGCTTTGTTTTTTGTTTGTTGCGTATTTTTTTGGCTGAAAATAGAGGCCAAGTGTTTGAATTTTGGAGAAAATATGTGCACATTTAAAAAATTTAATTTCTTGAATTGTTATATACGCAAGAAATTTTTTTTTTCTGAGACGGATATTGAGCACGTCTGCAAGATCCTAAAAATCTTTAATCTTTGGAAATTTTAGTAATCACTCAACCAGAGCATTTTCCTTTTTTTTATCAGGGTCACGGGAACGAGACATTGCAAAGCGTCCGTCAGCGAATTGCCCAGCGGATGAGAACAACGGTGGACAACATTCAAATAGCTGCAAATGATAGAATGGTAAATAGAGAGAGCCCACAAAATCTTTACAGTAGTGACATGCGAACAATTTCATGGAGATATTAACAGAAAATAGTAACTGAGTAATTGGCTTGTACAAATCTTTAAAAAAAAAATTTTACTCACTTAATACCTGCATGTATTAAAGGCATATAGAATCATTTGCATTCTGTGCATTTTGTTAGTTTGCAATGATAACGTGTGGAAGTTTCAACTCAGTTGAAATTAAATTTTTTGAGAAAACGGGGGAAAAAGCATGCACATCATTTTCATTACGTAACACAATGTTTGCAAATCTCAGTCGTTTGACTGATCATTGGGAATCACCTACATTTCTTGATTCCTTCTAAATGACAGCAAACCAGATGGATCTATGTCACAGGGTGCATAGTACCATTCCAATCCTTAATCCAAATAAGCCTTTTGATAAGGCCAAAAAAAAAAGTCTCCGGTTTCTGGTATGCGCGCGCGTCGCTGTAGCCATGCGCGTCGGCAAAATGAAAAAGTTTTTTTTTTCAATGAAAGATTATGTCTCAAAACCGCCAAACTCACTGGTTTGACTGGAATCCTGCTGCTGCACAATTTTAACGTGTTTTTAGATGGAGTTATGGTCGAGAATAAGCTTTATGTGGCCTCTCTGGACTCCCAATCCCATATAGGCCTATTTGTACTAAGTTTAGTCGGGCACCATTTGCAGTCATCAGCCGACATTTGAAGCAAGCTCCATACCAGAAACCGGAGACCCTCTTTTTTTTGGCCTAACAATTTGACAGGCTATTTTTGGGATAAATGCAAATGATTCTGTATGCCTTTAAAGGGAATGTACAACATTTGCTTTTGCTGCAATTTTTAGAAATAAATGGATTTGGAGGATTAGAATGTTATAGTATACAAATATTGAGTGGCTCAGTGTGGAATGGGAGGAATATTATCGCGAGGTAAAATCTGGACTTTTCCATTTCACGAGGCGAAGCAGAGTGAACTGGAAAAGTCCAGATTTTACCGAGCGATAATATTCCTCCCATTTCACAATTTAAAGCCACTCAATATTTGTTGTGTATAACTGACATATAGATCCTTGTCATTTGATATATTTGAACTTTTTTTCAATACAAAACTAAAGGAAAATCTATTTCTCTCTTCCAAACCACCCCATCACGAAAATGTTTGAACCTAACGCTGTAGCGCTGGCTCTTTGGAACAATACATGCAACGCTGAACGCGCACACCAGCATGCATTTGCACACCAATACCGCGCCATGATCCTAACTGTTGAATAGTATTTCCCATTCCCCATGGGCGGATAGTACTTTTTGAGCCGCGGCGTGAATGGGAGCAATAACGAATGCCATGTGATGTGAGTTCCTCCAATCAAATGACTAGGATCTGTATGTCAGTTATATAACAAATATTGTTAAACTGACTTGGTTCACGTTTTGGGCTTGAAGATGCTGGAAAAACCAAGAAAACCAATCATGTTCTTGTAATCTGATTCCCTGACCCCGCTTAAGATGAAATGGAAGAATTTGTAGACTTTGGGGAATTGTAAGGTCAGAAAATCAGTCTGGCAGGTTTGTACCCTTCACATTCGTGTTATCAATTGCAAAGAAAACATGGAATACGTAAATATGAAAAATTAGAAGTAGTTTTTGAAAATAAGCCAGTTTTTTGCAACGCTGGTCGGCCGACCAGCATTGGAAATATACAAATTTTCTTGAAAATGTCAGCACACCAGTAGCCATGAGTTTACAGGATGCCTTGTTTAGACTGTCATTCCCTTAAAATCCAGTAAGGTATTTCATGATAATTTGGTCATTTTGTTTTTTGATGTTTGCAAATGTTGTATCTTCCCTTTAACGTATAAGAACCAGTATTTCATTGTATTAGATTGCGTTTGTGCACTGAAGGATAAAAAAAATCATTGTTAGATTTCTAGTTTGTAAGAAGAAAATCTGTTATCTTGGTTTTTTTTTGTAGCTGATGTCCAACAAGTACCCCAAGCTGCTGCGGCAGTTGGAGTTTGAGGAGCAGCAGGTGTTGACGGTCAAACAGTTGGGAACAGCGGTGTCCAGAATTGACGAGGTAGGACCCAAATGGCATTATTGGATTTCACTATCTAAAAGCAACACTGAGATATCCCAGTAATTTTTACAAATTCACTGCTAATAAAACTGCAAGGAAAAGTCACATCGTGAAATAATCAATTTTGTGCAGCCGGAGTGTCACCAATATACAGCAATTATCGAGTAGCCGGACCAGGTGATACAAAACACGTGATTCAAAATGAAATATATAGCTAATGTCACTACTTATGAATATTTATAGAATTTTGCTCAAAACTTAGTGAACTGAAGTGCACTATTAAAAACCATATTTTGAAACCGTAAAAGGCCTGCAATACAAACAAGCATTTTTATTTGTTCACAGAGCATTATATTCCTTGAAAATCTTTTTGAAAAGAAAAGTGAAATTTTGAAAAACCAGGTATATACCAACTTTAACCTTTGAAAAAATTTATTTTAAAGAAAAACTTTTGTTTTCTATTTTGGACATCTTCAATCCCCGAAAAAAGTCTTTTATGAGGGAGGTGCTTTTGAACAAAAACAGATCCGTTCTGTTGTAGACTGGTTCCTGGTCCCACATTATCAATTCTAAATGGAGGGTGGGAACCAGTCTCTCCTTTATTATAATAATAATAATAATAATACAAAGTATTTATCAAACGTTTTACAAAGAACAAAGTGCTTAACACACATCCACAACCAAAAATAACAGGAAAGAAAAACAGACACAATACGATTACGAATGGACTAGGAACAAGTATGTCTTAAGGAGACGCTTGAATACAGGCAGCGAGACCGCCTCTCTCAGACAAGAAGGAAGCTCATTCCACATGCGAGGGGCAGCCACAAGGAATGAGCTATCTCCGGCCTTCTTCCTACTTCTAGGGACAGAAAGCCGGGTCTGATCGGATGATGAATGGAGTCGGTGTCTGTAAGCATCAGGAACATTTGAGTGATGTGAATGTAATAGGTCAAGCAGATATGATGGAGCTTGAGTGTTGAGAATTTTGTACACAAGGGTGAAGATTGTGAAGGCTATCCTCTGTTAAACAGGGAGCCAATGTAGCTCTGCCAGCAGGCCCTCCAGAAACAAAGTCAGGAACACGTGTGTGCAGTTTCCCATATGGTGTTGGAATTTGCTAGGATGGGTATGGTTCCTAGTAAATCATGCTAGGGAGTTAAGGTTACAGATGAACCAAAATCCATGTAAAGTACTAGAAGCGTGGCCCTACCCTCTTAAAGGTAGAGTAGATCATTTGCAGCTATCCAAAAAGTAACTGACCAAATTATTGTTGAAAATCTTACTTGGTTTAAAGATGGAGATGGCAATAAACTCCCTGTGAAATTATTCTTTCTGGCATGCTGTCATTTTGAAGAAAACAATAAAAGAGGGCCATATCCAAAGATGCGTCAAGTGACGCTTTTTAAGAAATTTCCGTTCTTGGTTGGTTTGTAATTGGCCGAATCCATGCGCAGGTGCGCGCAAGTGTTGACACAACGCACACGTGCATGCGGTTGCTATTATTCGTTGGTTCAGTGGATTACATCCCGTAGCTGCAATTGGCTGAATGAGAATGTGTCCCGGATGCTGAATTTAGGCGCAATTCAAAACATGACTCTGCAAACTATGAGATAAAATCGAGATCAAAGAATATTGTTTTCTCGGAATATACAGCATTCACAGAACTAAAATTTTGTCAGGTTAGGTGTTAAGCACCATTCTTTAGACTTGAGCACTTTTGTTGCTTCGAATGAAAAAAATGCACAAATGACAAATGATCTACTCCACCTTTAAATCCTTCAAATTCTTTTAAAAACTTTACGTGGCATTTGAAAGAACAGGTTTATAGTTCATGGTATAAACTTTCAAAATTCTCTCTGCTCATTGAAACTTTTGACCCATCTATTTATAAACATTTTTGCATGTCATATTTCTGCAGAGCGTTCCGTTCACTGGCAGACAGAGCTACTTGACCGATATGGAGAGGTCGTTGCCAGGTGTCGTCATGGCAACAGGAGGTCAAGTCTTTGAGATGCTGTATCAGCTGGCTGAGCTGGAAGGATCGAGGTTAGTTGGATTTTGACGAGAATATTACAAGAGTTTTGTTTTATTTATTTTATTTGGGGGGGGGGGGTTGGCTTGGCATAACAAGGGTAGCAATTTGATGAATCAACATGTGGAGTATGGAGTCTACTTTCCTTCGATCTAAGTCATTCTATAAATTTGGGGTCCACGATTTTCTTCAAATTTGTTCTTCAATGTTGTTCTTCCAGGTTAACAGAAAGGGTACGAAATCTGTTGATGTTAATCCCGACAGATCCCACTGTACAAGAAGCACTGGACTCCATCTGTAGACAGGTAAGAAGGGGAGCTTTTCAGGACCTGTTCTTGTAGCTTTTTGAGGATAATGCTTATCTGGAACAAAAATCCATCAGCTTAAATTGATACTTAATGCATTCCTATTTCTATATGTGAAAGCTTTATATATGCCGAATGGACAAATGCGCTTTTATAGACTGTTGCAAATGGATGGTAACATTTAACTTTGTTGTTTTGCAGACGGAAGGTTCGTCAGTGGACTGGGGTGATGGTTTCAACTCTCCTAAGGAAACCACAAAAGCCACGCTAGAATCCCTCTTCAAGACCAACTCACAGAGCATGTCGGCGTTCAGGCTCCTGTACAACCTAGAGGTAGCTTTCTCTAAACTTACCTAACTTTAATTCCAGGAATCTCTGTTTGTCAGTGAGTCTGTTGTGTGTCTGTCTGTATTTCGATTATCTCCAGAATCGGTCACTGCATGAAGTTGACAATCGGCAGTGTATTGCTCAGCACCCAAAAATGATGATAATGGGTACTTATCAAGCACCCACATCCACCTAGCAAAAGGCGCTCATGGCGCTACATTAGTAAAGAAAATACATGATAAAACAAACAAGAACAAAAACAATGTATTACTATGTAGTCTGACAAGCAGAAGAGCTTATTATGTGATGTTGTAGGCTAGATTATAGAAGTGTGTTTTCAGAGCCGTTTTGAATGAGTTGAGAGATGTGCTAGATCGGATGCTAATGGGTAGACTATTCCAAAGAAGTGGTGCAGCTTTGCGAAAAGATCTGTCCCCCCAGGATCGGTACGATCTCAATACAGCCAAAGTTGTTGGTTAGCAGACCGGAGACCAGAACGACCAGATTGGTGGGGAGCTAGTAGCGTAGTTAAATACGGAGGGGAGATGTTGTGTAGTGAGCAATAAGTGAGAAGCATAAGTTTGTACATGATTCTAAATTTAATCGGAAGCCAGTGGAGATGTTGCATAATAGGTGTTATGTGTGAAAAAAAAAACACCTGGTGCGTGTAATAAGGCGTGCTGCGGTATTTTGTCTGCATTGTGGTTGGTTCAGTTGGAGTTGGTTCGAGTGTAGAATGATTGTGCAGTGTCAGAGCCACCAAGTTTGAAGTTGTTTGGACGAGCGGTTCTCGAAAAAGCTGCAAAAAAGCAGCAATACCAGAGGCCTGTGAGTGACCAGCACCCCATTTCATCAAACTCTTCGTAACTTACGATGCATCGCAGCAATGCGACGCATCGTATCTCTACGATGTGTCGCAGCTGCGGCGCGTCCTGCGATCCATTTCATTCACTTATGACATGAAACACGTCATAAGTGTGACGCGTCGTAGGTGTATTTATAGCACAACTCGATGACTGTTTTATGTATTTAGTCAGCGTACAGTAAATAGTCGTCTGATATTCAACAAACAGTCGTCGGATCTCAGCTCGAAATTTGTTAAAACGTAAAACAAAATGGCGGCCGTGCAATGCAATTTTGAAGGAAAACAAGCTCTCATTGGACTGTATAGCTACTTTGAAATTCTAATATTCCGGTCTAATTCATAATTATTAAATGAATTTCCTATTTACAACTTTACACACATTGCTTCGGTATTATAATCTCGTTAATGTAATGTTCATGGCATAAAACTGGCTTAGAAATTACTCTTCTTATTTTGCGATGACCACTAGACACGTCGTAACTTGCGATGTGTTTTAAGCCGTTGTCAAGGAACTTACGACGCATTCAACACATCGCAACTTTCGTGAAATGGAAGATACGACGCGTCGCGAGTTGCGACGTGTTACACGTTGTAACTCGAGTTGCGACGCGTCGCAGCGCTTCGTTAAATTGGGTGCAGGAGAGGGTCCTAGGCCTCAGGAAATAGGACCTTCTTCTGGTCACTTACAGTCCCTCGGGGCTCATAGACGTGCACTAGTGACCTCCTTGCCAGTCCATATGTGTATAATACTATTTCATTGGTTCTCCCCCTCTCTCCCCCACCCCAGGTCCTAAGTAGTCGCCTAGTACCCTCCCTCCAGGAGGACAGAGCCACCCAGACCAGCGCCCAGACCTTCCGGGAGAACTTCCTGAATGCCGGCGGGCTGAGCCTAGTCATCAGTGTGCTGCAGAGGGAGTCCATCCCACAGGACTTGGATGAAGAGACGCGGAGGGGATGCTACATGATCTGCCTGCACCTGGCCAGGTGAGAATGTCTAGAACACATCCTGTAAAATGATTGACCTGTAGGGAGAGTAATGAAATACTTGCTATACTGATGTGGGCAAACTCATTTTGCAGAATGTATTCTGAGAGAACAATCACATTGGATTGATTTTTTTGTGTAATAAAGGACACCTGAGTGCTTTTCCAGTGTGCTAGAATACATCCTGTAGAATGTCTCACAAAGAGATACTGCAATTTTTGACATGGGGAAACCCATTTTGCAGAAATTTCGAGAAAAATCAAATCCAATTGATTTTTTCTGTGCAAAATACAAAAGACCACTGCCAAACTACAAGTATTGAATAATAAATTTCTCCAATTTGCAAGATTCAGACCAGTAACTGATGTATATGGTGCACTTATTAAACGTAGAATTTATCTAGAGAAGCGAACAAAATATTCTATATTATGTATTATTATTTGCATCAGGCTTCTAATGGTAGAATAAATCGGTGCATTGTATGCTTTCGTAAAACATACCCGAATGCAATATTTTATTCAGAGTACCTGGATGAGGGCAATATTATTTTTGATATTCTTACCAGTGTGGAAAGGTTTCTCAAAATCTTGGGGTTCAACCCAGGTCCAACACAGAGATTTTTGATAGTATACAAATATTGTATGCTTCGAGTGGTGATCCATGGACATTCTATTTTCCCGAGGTGAAGCCTCGGGAAAATAGAATGCTCCATGGATCACCTCGGGAGGCTAGTTTACTTCACCGCGAGATAAAGCATTCAATATTTGTTTTATAACACTTCACCCACAGATTATGCTTGGTTATGATATTTTTAATTATTTAAATCTGAACACTGTTGAAATAAACTTCAATTTCAATACAAAATTGGTGGAAAATGTATTTCTCTCTTTCAAACTACCCCTTCGCGAAATGTTTGAACCCAACTCTGTGACACGCTCTCTTTGGAACAAAATGCGCAACGCGCACACCAGCATGCATTTGCACACAAATATCGCGCCGTGGAAATAGTACTTTGGTTGCTTATGGTATAGTGCTCTTTTTGCTACGGTTATAGCACTTTTGGCCATGCACTGAAAGATAGCAAAAATAGAAAGTATCATGTGACTCGCTCTCGGCCAATCAAGACACAGAATCTGTGGGTGAGGGGTTATAATGTGAAAGGAATAGGAATATAGAATTTTTGAGCAATGTGAATTTAGAAGCTGAATTTTGCGCCCTCCTTTTGACCGACAGGTTTCTACTGTGCGGGGAGACCACCACTGCGGTCATGGAAAGTGACCTGTCGCTGACCGAGGGCCAGGCGGACCTGTCAGCAGACAGCAACTCGGGGATCCTGTCGTCCAGCTACGGGACCTCGCCACGCAAGATGAGCTTGGTGGAGAGAATGTCCAGCGTGGAAGCCAGTGGAGACGTGGCTTACAGGGAGGGCACGTCCACAGCTATTGCAGTCATACAGGTATGGTATCTTAGGCCATGTCTGAGTACTAAGGCCATGTCTGAATCTGTAAACAGTTCAGCAACAGATTTCATGAACTCATCGCAACTTACAATGCATCGCTGCGCTGCGACACATCGTATCCTAAGATGCTTCGCTGCTGCGATGCGTTCTGCAATTACACGTGGTAAGTGCGACTTGTGGTAGGTTTAATTATATTACAACGAATGTTTCAACGTACAATAAAAAGTCATGTGATATTCAGCAAAGAGTCATCGGATCTGCTTGAGAAAATTTTTTAAAACGTAAAACAAAGTGGCGGACGTATGATGCAGTTTTGAAGGAACACAAACTCCTGGTAGACTGTATAGCTACTTTGAAATTTCAACTGCAATATTCTAGGCTAATTCATATTAACTTTGATGCATTTTCTATTTGCAACTTCAAACACATCGTCCAAACACATTGTCCAGCACACGCTTTGAAATTGAAAAACACTGTATAAAGTCTTGTAAAGTTTGGAATTTCCTCTTTTTGAGCAAAGCACGTACCCCATACTGTACATGAACAACTCCTTAATGAAGACTGGTCCCTAAAGCCTCATTTTGCAGGATCTTGTCGCAGAACAAATGAAACAAATGGAAATCAAGTAGGTTGATTAATTAAATGTATTTTTATCCAGACGATGAGCACGTCGGATTTCTCGTCCATGATCGGCTGCCTGATGCGCGTGTGCTGGGCAGCGGCTGCAGGCCAGCTGCGTCTGGCCAGCTCGGCCAATCAGATCAAAGAGAATCCCGGCGGGGGATTCGCCATGGGAATCCACAGGCGTAGCAGACACAGTAGCGGAGGTAGGAAATATGAACTCATTTTTCCTATTTATGTCAAGGCCCTTGGCCCTATATAGCCCCATTTCCAGCATTCTCCAAAATATACCCTGGGCTCTTTAAATCTTGGTGTTTCTTGTCCCCCTTTACCAACAAACTTGACTGAGATTTCAGATAGACAACATGAGTTCCTGAACAGGGGTTACCCTAAAAAAGAAACAGAATGCTACACTTTATTTTGGTCATTTGTTAGAATTGAGTGGCTTGCGGGTTGTTTAAAATTGTGATACATAAAAACTATCACATTCATGCATTGTTGAGTAATTTACATCTGCGGGTATCGTACAACCTTGTGTTGACAAGTGAAAGACTTAATTTGCCAAGCCAAGACTTAATGTCTGAATTGCGTTTTTTTTTAAATTATTTTTATTTATTACTGGTAATGAAACCAAGGTTGCCTCAAAAGTTTTATAGGTGGAAGGAAACCCCAGAAGAATATTGTGGGGAAACCCACGGAATCAGGTAGGGACTGAAAACCCAATCCAGCGGTGGAAGGCGAGGAAAGTACCACTGCGCCAGCCTGACTCCCCAATCAGGCATGCAACTTTTCCTCGGATCAGCTGATTTCCTCGTTTTTCACTTCACATTTATGCCTTTCAAAATCGAAAAACTGTACAAAGTCTTGTAAAGATTGGAGTTTCCTTGTTTTTTGTTTCTTCCAAGTTGCATGCCTGCCCAATCTATCAATCTAGCCAACGGAAAGACACTACTGCATATACATTCATAGCCAACAGCCACAGCGGAAATACTTCGGGCACGGCTTAATCCTGCTTCTGTTTGTTTGTCCTGTTGTTATTTCCACCAGCGAGTTCCTCCAGCGACGCTGACGTCCAGAGTCTCCACGCGGGAGTCTGTCTCCTAGCTACCCACGTCTCCACAAAGGATGCCATGATAGCACGGGAGGCCCTGGAGCTACTGGTGGCCTGCCTGCAACTCCGGAGCCACAACCTCTGTGAGTTATCGGGGAAATGATGGACTCTCCGTGCACAAGAACCCCCTCTCACAGTTATAAAGAAAAAGTTATGACAGACTCCGATACATTCCCACCTCAAATGCATTCCCTTCCTGCGCAAACAAGGGAGGGCGATTTTTGACCGTTTTTGAGAGCCCTGTGTGCAAGGGTGTGAGTGACCACTGATAAAAATAGCTGAAAACATCTGAAAAAGGTGTAAAAAAGCTGAACTTTGGAAATCTCCTATACTTTTGTACACAGCAAGCGAGGGAAAAAGCTGAAAAAAAGCTGAAACCAAAACTAAAAAAAGCTGAAATCAGCTTTAAAGCTGAGATTTCACACCCCTGTGTGTGTCTTGACATACTCAAGATGTCTTGGGCTCCTGTCCCACCTGACTAAAGGCCGGTTACTACTTCAAATTTGACATCACGAAGCATTCGCTGCGAAATTCGCTGGAGTTGAAATTTGTTCAACTTTTGCGAATTTGCCGTACGAAAACTTGCCGTGATGTCACAAGTATGCGTTCACTTTCGCGCTGAGTATGAACCGGCCTTGAGCTTTCTCACACGCCCCTGGACAACATTGGGTATACGCTGTTTGTAAAAAAACAGGTGACAGGGGCAAAACCAAATATTGAGCTTAAAGATACTAACAACATATGCAAACATCCAAAAAAAAACCAAATTATTATGAAATACCTTACTTGACTGTTAGTGAATAATATTCTCAAGCATCCTGTGAAATCTTGGCACCTGGTGTGCTGTCATTTTCAAGAAAAGTGGAAGTTTATATCAATTTCTAACAGTGGTCTGCCAACCATCGTTGGATAAAAAAACTGACTTTTTTCAAATACTGCCCCAACTTTCCAAATTACGTAAGCTAGTCCACAATTGGTTTGCAGTCGGTTACACATTCGTGAACGGGTACAGGCCAGCTAGTCTGGTTCCCTGACCTGACAATTCCCCGACGTCTATATATTGCTCCGTTTCATCTGAAGCAGGGTCAGGGGACCAGGCTACAAGAACAGCATTTTTTTCGTGGTTTTTCCAGCATCTATGGACAAAAAACTTTAAATAGGTCAGGCTAACAATATTTGCTATAAAATACTTCCAAATTCATCCATTTCTGAAAATTACAGCAAAAGCAAATGCTGAATGTTACCTTTAATGATTGTCTTCTCTGTCTCCCATGCAGCATCTTTCTACAACATGCCTGCGATGAGCGACTTTGTCATCGACATCCTCCTAGCCTGCCCACACAACGAGGTCCGCACAGCAGCCATGGAGCAGTTCCACACCCTAAGCATCACCAATGTCAACCCCGCGAGTATACGCACGCTCCATCCTAGGCACTTCCTACTTCAGGTGAGTCTCTAAGTAGATAAGAACTTTTTCCCATGTACGTTAGTGGAGTTGTTTGGTTAAACGGTGTCTTGGACTTCTTCCAAGTAATAAGTGAACTTCTTTGTTATCGAGTCTGTTAAGCCCCAGTCACACGTTCACGGTTTGGAGCTACGAATATCCACGGTTTAAAATTTGTGATAAACAGTGGGAGTACCGTATTCAACCTGGATACATCCGTGGTTATCCGTCATCTTCCTTGGGTATTCGTGGAGGGGCTACGGAAGTTTGAACTGTTCAAAACTTCCGTGGTAAAACGTCATGAAAATCAATCCGTAGTGCAACCATGGGACATCCGTAGGACAACCGTATTTATTCATAGTGTTACTCGTGGCTATTTGTACTTGGAGATTTGTAGCTCATTCATGGTAGAAAGCTGTTCGAATTGTTACGCATGTCCTACGGATATGCCCGGATATGCTAGAATTCTGCTGAGGCTGTATTATACGAATATCCACACTTTATTCGTAAGAGAACCTTGGTCATCCGTGGCCCAATTGCAGGCAATCGTGGCGTTATTAAAAGTCATTATTCTTAGTAAAACCGTGGATATTCTTCACCAATCTGTCCATATTCTTGACAAACCGCGTTGTATTCGTTGAAAAACTGTAGGACAGTTGTGGCTACCCGTCCTGAAACTGTTGTGCATTCTTAGAAAGTAGATTTCTCCACGAATCTCAACGGGTTCATCATGATCGATTGATTCTTGATAAACCGTGGATATTTGTAGCTCCAAAACCGTGAATGTGTGACCGGGGCTTAAGAAGTGAATTACTTTGTTGACAAGTCTGTTACTGTCACCTAAATTCAGACTTTGTAATTTTATGGAAAAGTTTTATGGAAACACTGATTATTTTTCACATAACAGAATAACAGGAGGGGTGTCCGCAAATTGGGCATGAAGTTTATTGTACATTCGATGTGTAGCAGCAGTGTGGTCCAGAATTCAGATACAGATTTTAGTTCGGCCCAATTTTCAAAATGTTTTTTTCCTCATAGGCCAGTTTCACGTCTGTAGTATATTTGCTTTATTTTCTTTGCATCTTGTATTTCAGGTGTTACTCAGTGTACCGGTTCCACTATGGACGTCCAGCTGTCTAGTCAGAGGGACAAACCAAAGGTATGTGCGACTTGCTGGTTACAAATTACAAGAGCATGTGCCTTGATATTTTTGTTGGTAACTTGTGTATCCGCTCTGTTCACAAGTTCCCCCTCACCGGCAAAGGAAGTACAGTTGGGGGTGCGCGGCCACTGCGTGTACATAGAACAAATCCCCTGGTGTACGTGCGTCACACACAAGGAACGGTGCGCGTCAACCAGCGAAATGTACCGCCCATGGGACGTCGTTGCTAGGTAAAAGGGCACCCTCTTTTGGTAGCGCACGGAGCTCATAGAGCTATGGAATCAACACACAAGTACGAGTACACTATCTGGACAGTGAAAAAAAGCGAGTTTACAGAACTTTTATGAGGCATTGCCATGGGATATCAATTGTTTTTCCTTAAAAACTACTTTCATTCACCATTTTTATACTATTTAAAATATGTGTGGTAGAGACATATCAAAGATCACAAATATCAATAAATCTACAAATCTAAAAAAAAAATCATCCCCATTAATTTTTTTATTTTCCTCCACTAAGGCCTGTGCCCAGTTCTGTCTCCTTTTTTCCAGAATGCCTCACATATTTGTATTGATCTCAAGATGTATATTACAGTGATATTTTTCTGTAGCATATTTCACTTTGATGTCTTTGTCATCTGTCAGGATAATTACTCAGTGTTCACAGTACTTTGAGCTGAGGTGTCGACTTCTAGAGCAACTCACAGGTAGGACAACACCTGAAATTGATTAAACGGATCTGGAATTCGGGCGTATCACAATGCAGTGCGCCACCAAGAGTTTGCCATGGAGAGTCCATTTTTCAAGTTTACGGTCGACAAAGCATGACCCATTTCAATGAGTGTCAGTAGACAACTTGAGCTAATTTGTTATAGATTGGGGCTTAGGGAACTGCCGCCTTACAAAAAAAAAACATATTGATAAAAAAAAAGCAAACAAAAGGGCAAATAGATACTCGAATCATACGCTTACGAAGCTACTGACTTGAAAAACCAACAATTACAAATGTCCTGCACTGCGAATTTGTCGACCATCTCCCACTGGGAAAAATTAACTCTCCGTGGCAAACTCTTGGTGGCGCACTGCATTGTGAATCGCCCGAATTGTTTCAAGGTTGGGGTTTGCACTTCCCTGCAAAAAGTAATCTTCATTTATACTAAAAAGTGGAAACTCAATGTACGCTCAAACCTGCATTCATTGTTACTGTATTAAACTTAAAACAAACCCTCAAATATGGCTGCGTAGTGCAAAGTGTCAATACCAAAATATGCTGGTGTAAATTTTGTCCGAATGTTTTTTCTGATTTCAGTATTTTCAAAAAGTCCATTTTAAAATCTGGTATCCCTGATTTTTTTTTCCTATGAAAGTTTATATAGAACAAAAGAAGTAATCGTTTTTAGGGCTACCTTTAGGCAAATACAAACATATACCTTAGAACTTACGTTGCTCTGTGGCCCTCGACGAGTAGCTCTTAGAAACCCTCTGCTCTGCCAATTAGGTCGTGGATTTTTCATTCCCCCCCCCCCCCATATCACTCCTGACAATGTGTCAAGTCCGATTTTGTTTCATTGTTAATTAAAATGTGGAACAAAAGAATCATTTTTCCTTATCTTCTCCTTGCAGTTGATGACCAGCAGTTTCTAAACATTAACCCCACGTCGATGATCACGGACGAGATCGACTGGCTCAATAACTTTGAGCCGTGCGACTCGGACGAGGCCAGTTTCCAGCAGACGGATAACATCATCATCGCTGGTCATCTGCAGCTGGCCAAGACGCTGCTAACGTGTGAAGGCATGGACAAGAAGAAAATCGGTAACACCCCCCCCCTTCTCCCCTTCCCTTTGAAAATAATAACCATACAAAGCAAGCCTTGAAAAGCTGCGCATGCTTTCACGAAGTGCACTGACGTATTGCAACTCGGGTTGCGACGCGCAACACGTCGCAACTTACAATGCGTTGAACGACCCATTTCACAAAATTTACAATGTGTTGAATGCGTCATAAGTTCCTTCACAACGGCTGAAAACACGTCGCAAGTTACAACGTGTCTAATGCTCTTCGCAGAATAAGAAGCGTCCTTTTCTTGGCCAGCTTTGTGCCATAAAAATACATATATGTGACTGTGATGATACCGAGACAATGTGTATGAACTTGTAAATGGAAAATGCATCCATGTAAATATTAATGAGCCTGAAGTATTAGTGGTTGGTTTGTAATTGGGCGAATCCGTGAATGGGTGCGCGCAAGCATTGACACGACACACGCGCGCGCAGTTACTTTTGTTCGTCAGTTCAGTGTGTGGCCATCACGCAGCTGCAATCGGCTGAATGAGAACATGTCCCAGATGCTGATTTTGGGCGCAATTCAAATCGTGATCTTAGAATATTGTTTTCTCGGAATATACAGCATTCACTGAGCTAAAACTTCATCAGGTTAGTTGTTCAGCACCCTTCTTTAGATTTTGAGCACTTTTGTTGCTTCAAACGAAAAAAATGCACAAATGACAAATGATGGACTCTACCTTTAAATACTTATTGCAATATATGCCCTTGTCGTCACAATTCATCAATTACTGAATTTGTTGTGCTCATAGTTTCAGGAGAACCCTTGATGCTATCAGATGAATTGATCTTGATGATTTAACCACTTAGTCCATGTACCGCCCTAAATCGCCCTGCCTGTTACAGCCTGTTCTGCCCGAAACCACCTGAGCACTCTAAGTTTTAGGGATTCATAAGTGAAAAAAATACAATGTGATACAATGTAGTACAGATGCTTTAAGTGTATTGTATTTAATACGGTGTCATCTAATTGAGTTTCTTTTTGAATTCTGGTTACCAGGGAAGCAGCTACTGGACAAGTTGTTGAATGAGTTCCTCTTTCCAGCATCCAGACTGATACTGGATAGTTCCAGCAACACGGACAAGCTGAACCCACAAGCAGAGCACAGTCCAAAGTAAGATACCATTCAGTATGGACTCCAAGCACAATTTACCCCCTCAATGGTACCAAAGGCAAAGATGGGAAGGACCTCTGGGAAGGACTCTGAGGCCGAGTTGGGCGGTCTGTTCTCGACACGGTTATATCTCGCGCTCGAACGAAGGGAATACGACCCACGAACACTGCACTCGGAAGAGGATCACACACCATCTCGAGGTTTTTCAAGAACAATATACCCGCGTCCAGAACAGACCGCCCGTACTCAGCATGGAACACATTGCCGACAACGCCTCATGTTCACGCCGAACACCCCGAGCATTTTGGCCAGAAAATCTTTCTGGACCTCCAATATCCACCACTGCCGACCTATGAAACACTGCCTTTAATTTTTGTCATTGTTCATACTTGCTAACTTTAAAGAAACTTATATCATTCAGATTTCAAAATAAAAAATTTGGTGGTTTGCTCAGATTTTCATGAATTTTTTCTCACTAATAAATGTATCGACAGAACTATGTCGGGGGCATAAAAATTTACCCATGTGCTTTAAAAAAAAAAAAAAGTAACTGCATTATTCTCTGTAAATCCACAAGTTGCTCTGGCATTGGAAAAAAGGTATTAATTGTAAGACTGAACAGAAATTAAGTGGCGTGGGACTTTACTCTGTGGCCTTCAGAATACCGTTCCGGTGCTCTTACCAACTGAGCTTTCCAGCCCTATGTAGGTAGTTCCCCATTTTGTCAATGTCTTTGTTCAAGGGGCACTAGTCGGAAGCAACAAACCCGTATAATGCCATGTAGCTAGGGATCATGCCCAAAGCCACGATGTGGTTTATTTCAGGGGAAAAGTATCTTCGATGTACTAAGAATTCCTTCATTTTGCCCCTTTCTAGGATCTCAGGTAGAGAGAGTCGCATGGCAGCGTTTGACCTCTTGATCATACTGTGTGAGGATTGTCCAGAGAACCTACAGCTGGTCAGCAGCCAGCTCATCGATATGCACCACAAGCAGGATCCGGCCAACGCCAAAGAGTGGGATGTGAGTTGAACCCATAGAGCTATATTAAATTACTAGAGCGCTAACTCCTCATTCTTGCGCGCGGAGACGCTTTGAAACCGTTCTGGGCCCAGACATTTTGAATTCATGTGCGTTTTTGTGGAACATTGTGAAATTAGATGGAGTAAATTTTGAAAGTGTACTCTAAATGCAACGCGCAAGTAGAACGTTCGCAAACAACTTAAGTGCTTCATGACGGTTCAAAAATGTCACAGCAAAAAATCATCTGCAGCGAATATGCGCACGCGTTGCGCTGTTTGAGCAGAGTAAAATGAAACGCTCATTTGCTGATCGAGTGTTTCGGTTTTGGGCGTATCGGTTTTGGTGACACATCTGTATAGAATAAAAAAATGCAAATATGCAAATAGCTGTACAAAAGCCGTACAAAATTGGGGTTTTCCATAGGCTTGTGCACAAACATGGATGCGCCCAGCAGGCATCACTTTGTACATGAGTCAGCTCTCTATTAATTCAATATAGCTCTATGGTTTAACCGTAATTTTTCTTAGGCCCTTTTTGGCTATGATGCATCCTCAATCCTGTCAAATCTTTAGTTATCTTCTTGAATTTGTCCAGTGGAGGGATGACCTCTGCCTCCTTCCTTCAAAGTGCTCCAACAAACACTGTAAATGGGTTGAGGCAGTGCCGATGACATTCAGTAAGCAGTGCGGAAGATATCCAGTATAAAATACATGCCTCAATTATGCTTGTTATACCGTGGTATTAGACTCTGAAATTTCATTGGTTGAGAACTGTTTGCATGACTTAATGCAAAAGTTCATGCATGATGATATGATGGACTTGGAGGAGAAACATTACCTCTTATCTTCAAGCAAACTTGTATCTTCGATCCTGATTGGTTGATCCATGGCAACAACAGTGTGATATGAGGCTGTATTGCCCGGTCCATATCGCACCCTGCGTATTGCGCTATTCCAAGATGCGAGCGACATTCCAGCTGCATGCCCTAAACCGCTGAAAGGTTCGTGTAAAGCGATGGTTCAACTTTACTGTGCGTCAAATTTGCTTGAAGATAAATTCGTTATCACGCTCGCGTTCATGGACCACAGAAAATGTAGTGCGTCTGTGTCCCACAAACCACTCGGCCTTATGTGGGACACAGACGCACCACATTATTCCGTGTTCCACTCGCACTCGCAGGATAACTTATAATGTTGTTTGGGCACATCACCTTGATTGTTCTCACTGACTTTTAAATGTTTTCATCCCTACTGCTTTGTACAACATAGCTAGAATAGACCATGCATGCGCATAAGGTAGGCGATGTTACACAGGAAGTGAGCATGTCAATACATATCCACGCTCGTGTCAACGCGGACGGGTGATGCGATCAAGCTAAATGAGTCGTTTATCAGGAACTTTCATATGGAGATACAGGCCAAAATAGGGCCACTTCATCACATCACTTCATCACATCTCTTTGTGTTCCGACTTCCATAATTTTTGAACTAAAGATGGTACCAGCATGCGGTTTTCACAGCAGTAATGCTGAGATTGTGCTCTTTTCAAATCTGTAAAAACAAATTGACCAATGTCGACGAACGACTCATTTAGCTTGATCGCATCACATATTATCAACGATCAAAGCATTGATTGAGGGAATAAATGTGTGTTTGACCAGTTTTAAACACTCTTTTTAAGACCTGTCTGGATGCTGATTATTACCTGAGCCGAAATACCATCTCGGTCAAATAATCACAACTTTTCAAATCTAAAAGTCAAAACAAGTCAAAAATATTAAATTGCCAACAATTTTGTTCAACAATTTACCTTGTGTTGTTCGGGCCACCCCTCGAGCTATGTTATGGCATGTCCAGTCTCGTGTGTGTCTAAACGACTCCTTATATGCAGTTTGTGTCTTTATTTTTTGGTGACAGTACCTACCTCCAGTTGACGGCCGGTCACCCAGCAAATATGTGGGTCTGAGGAACGGTGGGGCCACATGCTACATGAACTCAGTCATCCAACAGCTGTATATGACGCCAGGCATCAGAGAGGTAGAAACGCCAATCAAATGCATTCATAGACTTTCTAGTCCAACTTCCCCTAGCTTCACAGGCTAAATTTGTATCCATTTGTCTGCACCTAATGTAATTCAACTCATGGGCCTTACGAATACACTGCCACACCCCCACTCAAGACTCTCATTATTCATGTTTATGGGCCAAAAAAGCTTGTCAAACTTATTACAAATTATTTATCAATAGTACAGGGCATAAAGATTAATACGTTTCCCAACTGTATCTCAACGTTATATTTTATCCATATTACAGGGCCAAGTGACTTCTATACTCTGTTTCTAACCGTGTATAGTCCCAACATGGCATTTATCCGTGTCACAGAACCTAATGGGAATACTCCATAGACTCCATAGATGTGGAATAAATAGACTAGATCGGCAGCGTGTGCGTACACACCATTCACTGTGCACCATTGTTTGGTCAATCGTGGACATGCAAAAAGGTCACATGCTAGAGGCAAATTATTTAATGCGAGGTTAAAGTGTATAATGAACACAGTGTTCATGCACAATACGCACAGCGCATAGCCTACACGTAGGTGCGCAACTTTACCAATTTGGTTTGTTATTCAGTATAAGATTTGGAGTGCTGTGGCCTCGTGGTTAACGGAATAATGGCACTGGATTCCGTGGCCTGTGGGTAAAGCTGCGAGTTGTGGGTTCAAGCCCAACCTGGGGTCATGGTGCGTGTGCCCTTGGGCAGGGCACTTTGTCACTCGTTGCTTCTCTCCACCCAGGAGTACATGTAAATGGGTACCTGTGAGGGCAGAGATGGTTATTGTGATTGAATTAGCTTCCTTGCGCCTAACAGGCAGCATTGAGCTGTATACTCCCCAGGGAGCTGAAATGGTACTTGGAATGTTTAGTTGGCCCAATGATCAGGGGTAATAATAATACTGTAAGCGCTGTGATTTACTTTACTAATAAGAACGTTCTTAAAAGCCGATTAATATTATTATTATATACACGTGCTGCCAATCTAGACTTTTTATTCCATATCTATGGGAACACTATACTGAATCTCAACCGCCCATTTATCCATGTCACAGGGCCTGCTGAAGGACAGCAACCTAGACCTAGACGAGGACAGCGTATTCTACCAGATGCAGACAGTCTTCGGCCACCTGATGGAGAGCCGTCTACAGTACTATGAGCCGGAGCGGTTCTGGCGGGTCTTCAAACTCTGGGGCCAACCGGTCAACATCCGAGAGCAGCAAGACGCCTTTGAGTTCTTCACCAACCTGACAGACCAGCTGGACGAATTCCTTAAGGTCATTTTTCCCCCTCAAAGTTGCTGTCCCTGTACCACTTTCCAGAGTCACCCCCAAAAAATATATTTGATTTTTAAATCTTCACAGTGGCTATTGTTACAGAAGTCGACTGTCTGGTTCCCTGACCTAATAGTATTCAACGTCAAGATCTGTGGCTCATGGAACCAGACTATCGATGGAATGGTTCTCAGACTGTATTTCCCTTTTTTTTAAATCCTCCAAAGCAACAGATTACGAAGAAGGAAATGAAATGTACTTCAATAAAAAGAAGGATTTATGAAAAAAAATTAAATTAAATGAAACTATTAAAAGAAAAAAAGGGAAAAAAAAGTTTGGCGCAGCATGGATTTGATACAGTGACCTTTGGCATGGTAGTCGAGCATTTAACCAATCAAACTACCAAATCACTCTGGGCCCAATTTCACGGCGCTGCTTAACAGTTAGCAGAAAAGGTGTGCTAAGCATAGCAGAAAAACGTGCTAACCCTTAACACTATTTCACGGCGTGTGTATGCTAACGGTCGCACGTGCATGGAGATTTCTATTGTCACGTCACCAAGTTAAGCAAATTTTTTCCTCTGAAGTAAGCGTGCCTTATGCTGTGCTTATGCTTACTGTCTCCATGAAACAGACGGAGGCTCTGTTAGCAGCAAATCGTGTGTTTAGCAGCGCTGTGAAATTGGGCCCAGGTTGGTAGGGCAGTTATAAATAACAGATTTGTGATGTTGTCTTTGCAGTGCTGTAATGATAGCAGATGAAAATCGCATTATGGCTGCCGTAACGATAACCACTACGTTTTTTCTTAGCATTGCAAAACTTTTGTATGAGACATTGAACGAAAAAACACGCCCACATTGAGTGATGTGACAATTCCTTTAGTTTTATTTGAAGCCCGACATAGCTTCACTTCTCGCAGGGTAGACTGGTTCCTTCCACCATATCAGGGACTGGGACCCATCTACTTGCAAGGCCAAAATTGCCTGGTAGACACCAAGAAAAGAAAACAAAATACTTTTTATTTGTTAAAACCAAGTATTTAACTAGAAATTTGTCTGCTGATTAAAAAAATGGAGGGAAATCCAGAAATTTGAAGTCTAACAAATCATCGTGACTTTTTTTCGATATGCAGAAGAACAAACAGAAGGAAGTCTTCAAGCCCAAATTCCAAGGAATTTTCTCTGATCAGAAGATCTGTGAGGACTGCCCGCACAGGTAAAACTCTTTGCCAAATATACTACAAATACATACTTTTTTTCTTGTTTTGACACAGGTTTTATAAAAATACTCCTTGCCTAATAAATTTTTAGAGCTCCTAATCTTGAAGTCAAGAGTATTTTTGCCTAAAATTCAAGTTCTGGTTAATTAGTGTCTTTATCCCCATTATACAGGGTGGATAAAAAAAAACGAAACCAAGATATTATTGCTAATTGGAACAGAAGTAGGACACATGTGAATCAAAGGGAGATATCCTCTGTGAGGGTTGAATCTCCTCTTTAAAATGACACCCTGATCATGTCATTACATTCACGGTTGACTGAGCAGTGACCAATTTTATGAAAGGGTCTATTTAGAGAATTGCGCCTCTTTTCATGGTGAAATCTCTTTTTTTCCCCCACCTGCCTTGATTGGCAACCATAGCCTTTCACTCTGTGACAAATGACACCACAAAAAACACAACTGAAAAGTAGTGCAAGTCTCTAAATAGACCCTTTCATAAAATTGGTCACTACTCAGTCAACCGTGAATGTAAGGACATGATCAGGGTGTCATTTTAAAGAGGAGATTCAACCCTAACAGAGGATATCTCCCTTTGTTTCACATGTGCCCTACTTCTGTTACAATAAGCAATAATATCTCGGTTTCTTTTTTTTATCCACCTTGTATTTTGGTACAGATGACAACATTACATGTCAAAATGAAATTGAAGTTTCCATCCAAAAAATTTGATGCCACATGATTTATTTACTACAGGGCACTGCCTTGGTAAACATGTCTTGTATAGCCTTATTGTGAGCTTTATAAATTCTTTTTTGATTTTTTTTTTTGCAGATACGAAAGAGAGGAAGAGTTTTTTGCTCTCAATTTAACAGTCAAGAGTCACAATCTGGAGTCGTCGCTGGACCAGTTTGTCCGTGGGGAACTGCTGGATGGGGACAACGCTTACTTCTGTGAAAAGTGCAATGAAAAGGTACTTGGTTTGGTTGTAATAAGAAATAAATAGTGGGTATTTATAAAGCGCACGTATCCACCAGGACTGGTGCTCAAGGCGCTACATCATTATTACCCCTGCTCATTTGGCCCATGAAACATTCTTAACACCATCTCGGCTCCGGGGAGTATGTATGCAGCTCGATGCTGCCTGTTAGGCGCAAGGAAGCTAATTCAATCACAATAACCATCTCTGCCCTCACAGGTACCCATTTACTCCTGGGTGGAGAGAAGCAATGAGTGACAAAGTGCCTTGCCCAAGGGCACACGCACCATGACCCCAGGCTGGACTCGAACCCACAACCTGCAGCTTTACCCGCAGACCACGAATCCAATGCCCTTAACCATGAGGCCACAGCACTTTAGGCTTAATAATAATAATAATAATAATAATAATAATAATAATAATAATAATAATAATAATAACTCTTTTGGCTGCAATAGGGTGACTTTCCCATAGACTTGTGCACAAACCTAAACTGTCACCTAACCCAAGTTTACCTTATGTTTTTTCCACGAAATTTAGTATTTATACTAATTGGACCATGAGGAATCGATCTAGATGGTTTTCGACAGCCAAATTCCTTGTCCTAAGGGTCGTTTTCATAAAAGGGCGACAGTTATTTTGTCGCCTCAATAAGGTGTATCGCCCTATTGTGGACGGAGTTCGCAAAACCTGTCGCCCTATTACAGTAATAGTAGTAATAATAGTAATAATAATGATGTGATGCTGATGTTGCACTTCATCCCACAGTCTGAAAGCAGTTTTATCCCAAACAATTACTACCCCTGTTTATCAGGCCATGAGACCTCTTTCTTGCAGTAACTTCAGATCAGCGCAATGTGGTCTGTGTGGTTTATACTCCTGGGTGGAGACAGGCAATTGTAGTAAAATGCCTTGCCCAAGAACACAAGCGCCATGTTGCCCAGTCAAGGTTTGAACCCATGTATCATTGCAAATGAGTTGTAAACTTTAAACCATTGGACTATATATATGAGGACTTGCTTCAGTCTGAACCCTAGATACCACGTACACCAACAAACCTTGATTGGCAGTTATGTGAAGGCAGCTGACTATATCCTGCACTCAAATATAGATTTATGCACATGTCCCCATTAGCATCCAAAATGATTCGGCTGCGACTTGTCATAACACATACCCCTATGGAAGCAGTTGTAGCCACGTCCCTAAGACATGTCGTCACCGTTTTCACGAAGGGGCGAATTTCATGAAAACCGTCTGTTTTTCAAAATTTGGGTTTTTTGGTGAAAATGAATAAATATATCAATATCTACAACCTAGTGAGGCTATACTTTCAAAAAAATTAATTAAAATCTTAATTAACCTAATTAACGAAGGGGCGAATTTGGCGAAAGTGCCGTTTTGTGTTTTCATGATGGGGCGAATTTCCGCACTCTATGGTATTAATAAATTTTCAGTAATAAATACATTGTAATACATTGTAATACAATGGCGCGTATGATCACGAAAGGGCGAATTCCATGCGCGTGCAATAAAACGTTTTCACGAAGGGGCGAATTTCAAGGCGCATGCGCAGTGGGGCAGAATCTGCGCGTACTGTACAAAAAATGCATTGACTCTTACCGCAGAAGGGCGAAATCTGCGCGAAGTCACTTTAGCGTTTTCACGAAGGGGCAAATTTGCTAATTGGTCTTTTTTGCGTTTTCACGAACAGCCACTTCTCTTAATTGATTAATTCTGCAAAACTAAACACCTATTTTTCTTAAAGTTTGCTACATTTAGGAGGATTAGAAGCTCTTCTTTCCTCTGATACCTAAATCTTGCATATTTTATGCAACTTTAAGTTTCAAATTGCCAAATGAAAAAAAGGACCAACTTGAATGTTTGTTCAGACGGTGAAATACTAAATTCGCCTCTTCGTGAAAACGGTGACGATGTGTTTTCCTGCAGCCATAGCCAATTTATATTCGTACAGGGCTTACATGTCTGGTTCCTTGTCTTCTCACACCATAGAGGAACACTATCAAGAGAATGTGCATTAAGACCCTGCCGCCGGTGCTGGTCATCCAACTCAAGAGGTTTGACTACGACTGGGAGGCAGGGAGGGCCTTGAAATTTGACGACTACTTCAAGGTAAGAAGGTTACAAACCCCTGAAAATCTTGTTGAAAAAAAAATCAGAAAATTCCATTTCTTTAAAGGTAGGGTATATCATTTGTCATATGTGATTTGTTTTTGCTTGGAGCAACAAAAGTGCTCAAAATCAAAAGACGGATGATTAACAACTAACCTGATGAAGCTTTAGCTCTGTGAATGTTGTGTATTCTGAGAAAACATATTCTAGGATCTCAATTTCAATTCAAAAGTTGCCGGGTCATGTTTTAAATTGCGCCCCAAATCAGCATCTGGGACATGTTCTCATTCAGCCAATTGCAGTTATGCGATATCACGCACTGAACTGACGAATAATAGCAACCGTGCGCGCGCGTGCTTCGTGTCAACACTTGCATGCACCCATTCATAGATTTGCCAAATTACAAACCACAAACGGAAATTTCCAAGAATGCGTCACTTGATGCATCTTTGGAAATGGCCTTCTTGTATTGTTTTTCTTCAAAATGACAGCATGCCAGAAGGAATAATTTCACAGGGAGTTTATTGCCATTACTATCTTTAAACCAAGCAAGTTCTTCAACAATAATTCCGTCAGTTACCTTTGTTGCTTCAAACAAAAGAATGCACCAATGACAAATGGTCTGCTCTACCTTTAAAGCTACAGTCCATCAATTGCAGCTATCCAAAAAGTACCTGACGTAATTATTGTTGAAAAACATACTTAGTTGTAAGAAAGTAGGGGAACCAAAAGTCCCTGTGAAATTATCTTTCTGGCACCCTGTCATTTTGAAGTAATCAACAAAAGAAGGCCTTTCCAACGATGCGTCTAAAGACGCATTATTGGAAATTTCCGATAGTAGATCTTTTTTTTATTTGCAAAGCGCGCAAGCGTTGACACGACATACATGCGCGCGCGGCTGCTATAATTCATCGGCCCAGTGTGCGACATCACGTAGCTGCAATCGGCTCAGTGAGAACGTGTCTCGGACACTGAATTCAGGCCCAATTCAAAACATGATTCAGCAACTTTTGATTTGAAATGGAGATCATAGAATGCTGTTTATCTCAAAATATACAGCAGAAGCTGAGCTGAAACTTCATCAGGTTAGTTGTTCAGCACCCTTCTTTAGATTTTGAGCACTTTTGTTGCTTTAAACGAACAAAATGCACAAATTACTAATGATGGACTGTATGTACCTTTAACACTAGGTAATTACAAAACCTTTTACAATGATGTTAATCTTTTTGCACAGTTCCCCTGGGTCCTGGACATGGAGCCATACACAGTCAAAGGCATAGCAAGGCAGGAGGGTCAGCAACCAGACGAGGCGTCGTCGGCTGGGACACCAGACAATAGCAAGCCGCACACGTCGGAGGACTTGTACCACCTCGTGGGCATCATTGTCCACAGCGGCCAGGCTAACGCTGGACATTACTACTCCTTCATCAAGGATCGATGGTAGGTTGAAGTTAGGAGTAACGTTTGACTATGGACTCCGTGTACAAACTGTAGATGGCATTTTGTGGTCAATTTCAAGAGCACCAGTGGGATGGACACACCTCAGAGAGACATCGTTGACAAAATTAATGCTGTGTTTACTATTGTTTGCTGTTGGGTTATTCCACGGTACGATAGCATACATGTGCATTTTGGACAATCAACAGTGTTCATAAGAAAAGCTGTAATCACAAAATGAATTTTAGTGCTGATAAATAATAGTTACTGTAATCAAGTTAAAGCTATTTTCATTGTCTTTCATTTTATGTTAATTTTTTTTTGGGGGGGGGTAACTGATGGGAGACTTTTTAACTAACTTTTTGGGAGAACATTCCATCTAAGATGATCACCCCTAAAAGCAGTCCTGAAGCCCATCGCCATTTTGAAAAAGGACGCCTACGCTCCATTGCAAAATAACGCAATTTTAGGGCTTAATTCCCTCAGAATTTCACAGAAATACGAACTTGCAGTCCTCTACATGGCTTCCACCCTTCTTTTTTACGAACCCTTGAGTTCATGGCCCTCAAAATGATCTAATACTGCAGAATTTGAGGGCATGCAAATCATGATTTGGCCAGCGTAGGCAGTTTTGGGCTTACTTACTGGTCTTTACCCATAAAGGGTTTGTACCAGTGTTGTAGGACTCGAGTCTAGGACTTGGAGGTGAGTCCATCTCGAGTCACAATTCTGGTGACTCGGACTCAACTCAAGTCACACCGTCAGAAGACTCAGACTCAGACTAAGACCTCGACAATCGTGATTCAGAGTTAACACAAATGGCCTGTGACTCACGAGCAACTTGAGACTCCGGCTCAGACTCGACCAAGGTGAATCAAGACTCGGACTCAACTCGAGTGACACGGCTACAAGACTACAACATTGCACTGAATATTTTTTTTCCCAGTAGAAGGGTCAAGCTAAGCACCATCCATGATAAAGTTTTTCATGGCTTGTTTTTTGCCGCTCTCTGTTCAGGGGCACGACCATGACCAATAACTCCAAGGGCAAATGGTTCAAGTTCAACGACACCGTTGTGGACGAGTTTGACATGTCTGAGGCTGCGCTGGAGGCAGAGTGCTTCGGAGGCAACTACAAACCAAAGATCTATGAACCCAGCGGAAGTGAGTATTTTTATTTTTTTTTACCGAAAAGGTATTTATGAATGGGTATCCATAAATGCCTAAGACAGTTTACCCATTCCCATTGGTTGAGAGCCTGTCACATGGGCGGTTTTAATCGGTTGCTAAAACACCGGCTGGCTAGTTTTAAACACTTTCCCGGTGTCACATGAAATATGGACTCCTATGAAATATGGTCACAATCTTCACTTAGGCATGCATGCACAATACCAATGCGTCCTTATTTCATAGTCCTAAATTCACTCTATACCGATGTGACAAACTCTAAACCAATAGGAATAGAAAAACTACCCCAGGTTTAGATAAACTTTAGTTTAAAGTGAAAATACAACATTTGCAAACATCAAAAAATAAAATTACCAAATCATATTGAAATACCTTGCTGGACTCTTAGTGAATGACAGTGTAAAGCATCCTGTAAAATCATGGCACCTGGTATACAGTCATTTTCAAGAAAAGTGGTATTTTTGTATCAATGAAAAAAACTGGCTTTTTTTCAAATACTGGCCCCAGTTGACCATCGCACATGTTTGCAATCGATTACACACCTATGAACGGGTACAAGCCAGCTAGACTGGTTCCCTGACTTTACAATAATTCCCCAATATATGTAAACTGCTCTGTTTCTTCTTAAATGGAGTCAGGGAATCAGACTACAGGAAAATGATTGTTTTTCATGGTTTTTATAGCATTTTCGAACCCAAAACCTCAAAAAAGTCAGTGTAACTATATTTGCTATATATTTCCAACCCCCCAATTCCATCCATTTCTGAAAATTACAGCAAAAGCAAATGATGTATATTCCCTTTAAGGTTTAAATATTGGTGATTAATTGTACTGTTAAATTTATTCCAATTATGATAGGAAAAAAAGGAATCAAAATCTCATTAATATATTTGGAAATATTTCGAGCAAAATATGTCTTGAGTCGACAGATTGATGTATAACACGAGTGTTCTTGTCTATTAGGTTCCTACTCCTCTGAAATGAGGCTGCGATACTGGAACGGCTACATGCTGTTCTACGAGAGACTAGAAGGTGCCATCACGCCTGTGGGACCAGCCGGCAAAGTACCAGCCGGCAACAACAGAGTGACGCTACTCAAGCAAGACAGCGAGGGCGAGATTCACGTGTAAGTTGTCAAAAAAAAAAATGCAAATCTTTTCCGCAACTTAACACAAATTTTCTCCAAAATGTTGGTTTGAGAAATCTATGAGACCATCTTAAATTCGGACTCTATTTTCCATACTTTATATCACACAGCTCCATACTGCTCGGTTAAACATGTGAAAGATCGTTAAAAACAGCTACATGATGTCATGCACTGAACCACGCAATCTGTGTACGTGAAGTTTTGTTTGTCTTAGATGTTGCACGTTCCGCGTCCATTTGTATATCATATAATTGGACAATTGTTGCACAAGCTGCGTCAACGGGCTAACGCAATAGGTTAATTACAAACCAAATACTAATGGAAATTTCCAAAAATGCGTCACAGGACACATCATTGGAATGACCTTCTTTTAATATTTTTTTTTTTAAATGACAGCATGTCAGAAAGAATAATTTCACAAGGAGTTTAGTGCCATAACTATCTTGAAACCAAGTTAGCTTTTCAACAATAATTTGCTCAGTTACTTTTTGGATGGCTGCAAATGATCTACTCTACCTTTATATCGGTATGTGCTTTTCTGGGTATCCTTCGCGGCTGTATTAAATGGAACTTGCTCCATTTTGTTTAGGTTTAATATGCAGGTCCTGTTTTGTTCTCTCCTGGAGTTTTTCAACCCTTGGTGTTAACGTTGTTCATATATTGTCAGGTAAAGCTCTTTTCTTTGTATTTTCCTTTCAGTTTGGAACCAGTCAGTTCCCCCGAGCTGTCCCCACACCACGACGGCGATCGTCTCAGCGAACTGACTGCGCTGGTGCGCAAGGGGGAGCACCGGGGGATGTTCATGGATCGCATGCCGCCAGGGATCCAGCGTGTCATACGCGACAACAACCTCCAGTTCCTGAGGAACCGCGCCATCTATGACACCGATTACTTCACCTTTGTCCGGAGCCTTGCGTCCTGCAACATGGTAAATCAAACATTTCATCTTTCTTTTGTGGACTGCAATCTTTAGAAAGACAAATTAATGGTCATCATTCTCAGATGACCAGGGCTCAATATCCTGGCTCTGCTAACCACAGAATTCCGTGCTAACAATCGCCATTTTGTGCTAACCGCGCGAGCAGAAAAATTCTGCTAACCACAGAATTCCGCGCTCACGATCGCCATTTTGTGCTAACCGCGCTATCAGAAAAATTCTGTTAACGACAGAATGCTGCGCTCACGATCGCCATTTTGTGCTAACTGCACGAGCAGAAAAATTCTGTTAACGACAGAATTCCGCGCTCACGATCGCCATTTTGTGCTAACCGCGCGATCAGAAAAATTCTGCTTACTGAAGAATTCCGCGCTCACGATCGCCATTTTGTGCTTACTGCGCGATCAGAAAAATTCTGCTAACCACAGAATTCCGCGCTCACAATCGCCATTTTGTGCTAACCGCGTGAGCAGAAAAATTCTGCTAACCACAGAATTCCGCACTCACGATCACCGTTTTGTGCTAACCGCGCGAGCAGAAAAATTCTGCTAACCACAGAATTCCGCAATCCCGATCGCCATTTTGTGCTAACCGCGCAAGCAGAAAAATTCTGCTAACCACAGAAGTCCGTGCTGACGATCGCCACTCTCTGCTAACCACGCGAGCAGGAAAATTCTGCTAACCACATAATTCCGCACTCACGTTCGCCATTTTGTGCTAACCGCGCGAGCAGAAAAATTCTGCGCTAATCCTGTTGGCACAGAATCCTAAGTTACGGGGTGTACGCATGCGCAGAAGCCCAAATTCCTTGTTAACCCGTGAAAGACGCTTAGGCGAGACACCAAAAATGCATTGACCGTTCGCACGCGTGCGCACGCCAAGAACGCATCCCTTTGTTCCAGCTACGTCCCGTTCGCACGCGTGCGAACGCGTGCGAACGGCATTCCCGTTGTGCACGCATTCCTTTACAACAAAAGGCCAGTTACAGTCTGTGCACACAGGAAGAACTCAGCAACACTAAAAGTATGCGAAGAAAAATGTGTTTAGTCCTCGCCAGAGGAATGTTACATGTACTATAAACTGGCACCATCATGGGCAAGCAGCATCATCGGGAAAAAAAATTGTTGTCTAAAAAAACCTTGGAGATTTAATCCAGGCACAATCTATCACGGAACAATCCCAAGAAACCTAACTCCGTTTTTATTATGCTGAACAGTTAAACGATGTACCCTAATACTGAGCCTGACCTAATTTCGATTTAACGCATTTCTTTTGTTAATTTAGTAGAACGCTGATTGTTATACTGGCCGGCAGCTACATTCCAGAAGTGACTCCATGCACCTGCCTTGTATCAACAAAGATATACACATTGTATAATTTTTTAAGGTCCGCTGTCTATCATTGTGTAGAAATATATTTTGGGATTCGACTTCAACTCAGGGTGTTTTTTTTTCTGTTCGTCCAGTCCAACAGCATTATTTTATTTTGAGTACCCAGCCTAGCGATTAACCTAGATATATGTTGAACCTAGACGGGATTTTTTAAAGCCCCGTCCGTCCGACCGCGTTATTATTGTTAAATGTATTCCGATTATCCAGCACATAAACCCTTCCCATCTGAGCATTATTTTTTATTGCAACCTGCACCGCAAAGTGTTTTTCCGCCCCGTCCGACCGCGTTGTTATTATATTTATTCCAAGTATCCAGCCTACAAAAAGTATTAACTCTTTCCATTTCGGCGTTCTTTTTATTGGAACCTGGACCAGAAAGGGTTTCTTTTTTCGCCCCACCCCAGCGACCGCGTTATTATTTTCATTCCGAGTATCTCAGCATTATTTTTTATTGGAACCTAAATGAGAATTTTGTTAAGCCCCTCCCAACCGCGTTATTATTTTTATTCCGAGTATCAGCATCATTTTTATTGGAACCTGGAAGAGATTTGTAATTCTTCAATTATTTAGGGTTTATATTATGTTATTATTATTTATATTTATTTCAATGCAGGACCCTAGGCCTAATGAAAAGCACCTTTTTACTGTTCTGGTTAATCCTGGATAAATAAACGTTCGAATCTATAAATAAATAAATGGGTTTCTTTTTCGCCCCGCCCGACCGCGTTATTATTTTTTCCCGAGTATCCAGCCTATCCACAAATATTACAACCCTTCCCATCTCGGCGTTCTTTTTATTACAACCTGAACCAGAAAGGTTTTTTTCCTGCCCCGCCCAACCGCGTTATATTATTTTCATTCTGCGTTTATATTTATTTTATTCGAGTCTGCAAAAAATATAAACCCTGCCCAGCTCAGTATTATTTTATCGAACCTGGATCAGAAAGGCCTTTTCCCCCCGCCCCACCCAACCGCGTTTTTCCCGAGTGCCCAGCTTGCATATAGGCCCATCATCGTAGATCTCTACGATGATGGGCCTATGCAGGCTGGGCACTCGGGGAAAAACGTGGTTGGGTGGGGCGGGGGGAAAAGGCCTTTCTGATCCAGGTTCGTCTTTCTATGCACGCACGATAGCGTGAAAGTCCGACATCAGCCGATTATGTATGACGTTCACAGGGATACCAGCGCAGCGTATTATGATGTACACGCTGGTACCCTGCTATCTTTTGTATGCACATGTAGTTTCTCATCAAGGGGAAATCCCTTTTCGCACGCGTGCGCAGCTCACCGGCAGTTGCTGGAAATTGCCTCCGACTTGTTTGTTTGTTTTTAATTCTGGTGCATATTTTTGGAAACAGATGAGTAAAACAAATTCCTGAAACCATGAGATATAAATTCAGCCCGCATCTGGGTGACTTTGATCCTGCTGCATTTAATTCACAATTATTTGTGCACGTTGGTGTAGTAATCGAAACTATACAACGCAATACAACTCGAGTCTCAAGGCAGCTTGAACTAGGTAAGTTTCACATATTGATACACATCCACGTACGATTATTTGTTCTGATTTAAAATCTTCATCCTTTCTTTTTTTAGGCACAACAAAATGTTATAACTTGACTGTTATTTATACCATCACTATAAAATCTCCAACATGAAGGCCCTATAACTCAAATTTTGGTGCGATTTTGTCTTTTGCTTTTATATCTTGCGTCAAAATAAAGTTTCGTTTATTAGTCTCGTTTAATAATACAAAATAATATCTTACTTGTTACTGCTTTTCCTTGAATACAACAAAAACAAGCAAAATATAAAATAAATGTACATGTATACGTTTCTTCTTTGAAAAAAATCCTTTTTCTTTTTATTTAAGTGAAGGCTCTGGTGACAAGTCGGCACTGGATGGACAGCATGAACTGGCTGATTTTAGGGTACATTAGCTGTTGCTCATGATCATCATCATATACATGTATATTTGAAAAATACAACAATATTCCTCGAATTAATTTGTCAACTACTATACTTTAATAATACAGAATATAGTATTAATAACACAGAGCGGTACTTACTTTTTTGACATTTGTTGGATAATTTGAAAAATCCTTGTCTGCATAAAGTACGGACCATGATATGATTGATGGCAAGTAAAATTGACGTCGGAGCTGACTCATTTCCCGAGCCCCAACCCACCAAGGATTCCATGGGCCCCGCCAGCGTTCCCGAGCCCCAGCCCACCAAGGATTCCACGGGCCCCGCCAGCGTTCCCGAGCCCCAACCCACCAAGGATCCCACGGGCCCCGCCAGCGTTCCCGAGCCCCACAGGCCCTGCGTGCATTCCCGAGCCCCAACCCACCAAGGATCCCACAGGCCCCGCCAGCGTTCCCGAGCCCCAGCCCACCAAGGATTCCATGGGCCCCACCAGCGTTCCCGAGCCCCAGCCCACCAAGGATTCCATGGGCCCCGCCAGCGTTCCCGAGCCCCAGCCCACCAAGGATTCCACGGGCCCCACCAGCGTTCCCAAGCCCCAGCCCACCAAGGATTCAACGGGCCCCGCCAGCGTTCCCAAGCCCCAGCCCACCAAGGATTCCACGGGCCCCGCCAGCGTTCCCTAGCCCCAGCCCACCAAGGATTCCACGGGCCCCGCCAGCATTCCCGAGCCCCAGCCGATCAAGGATTCCACGGGCCCCGCCAGCTTTCCCGAGCCCCAGCCCACCAAGGATTCCACGGGCCCCATCAGCGTTCCCGAGCCCAAGCCCACCAAGGATTCCACGGGCCCCGCCAGCATTCCCGAGCCCCAGCCGATTAAGGATCCCAAGGGCCCCGCCAGCGTTCCCGAGCCCCAGCCGATCAAGGATCCCACGGGCCGCGCCAGCGTTCCCGAGCCCCAGCCCACCAAGGATTCCACGGGCCCCGCCAGCGTTCCCGAGCCCCAGCCCACCAAGGATTCCACGGGCCCCACCAGCGTTCCCGAGCCCCAGCCCACCAAGGATCCCACGGGCCCCGCCAGCGTTCCCGAGCCCCAGCCGATCAAGGATCCCAAGGGCCCCGCCAGCGTTCCCGAGCCCCAGCCCACCAAGGATTCCACGGGCCCAGCCAGCGTTCCCGAGCCCCAGCCCACCAAGGATTCCATGGGCCCCGCCAGCGTTCCCGAGCCCCAACCCACCAAGGATCCCACGGGCCCCGCCAGCGTTCCCGAGCCCCAGCCGATCAAGGATCCCAAGGGCCCCGCCAGCGTTCCCGAGCCCCAGCCCACCAAGGATTCCACGGGCCCCGCCAGCATTCCCGAGCCCCAGCCAATCAAGGATCCCACGGGCCCCGCCAGCGTTCCCGAGCCCCAGCCCACCAAGGATTCCACGGGCCCCGCCAGCTTTCCCGAGCCCCAGCCGATAAAGGATCCCACTGGCCCCGCCAGCGTTCCCGAGCCCCAGCCCACCAAGGATTCCACGGGCCCAGCCAGCGTTCCCGAGCCCCAGCCCACCAAGGATTCAACGGGCCCCACCAGCGTTCCCAAGCCCCAGCCCACCAAGGATTCCACGGGCCCCGCCAGCGTTCCCGAGCCCCAGCCCACCAAGGATTCCACGGGCCCCGCCAGCATTCCTGAGCCCCAGCCGATCAAGGATCCCACGGGCCCCGCCAGCGTTCCCGAGCCCCAGCCCACCAAGGATCCCATGGGCCCCACCAGCGTTCCCGAGCCCCAGCCCACCAAGAATCCCACGGGCCCCGCATTCCCAAGCCCCAGCCGGCCAAGGATTCCACAGGCCCCGCCAGCGTTCCCGAGCCCCAGCCCACTCAGGATTCCACGGGCCCTGCCAGCGTTCCTGAGCCCCAACCCACCCAGGATTCCACGGGCCCCGCCAGCGTTCCCGAGCCCCAGCCCACCAAGGATTCAACGGGCCCCGCCAGCGTTCCCGAGCCCCAGCCCCAGCTCACCCTTCCCCAGTTTCAGAAAGTCCCCTCATCCAACTTGTGATGTCACAACTTGCAATGGTGATTGCCAAGCTGGATGAGCAGTCAAGAGCTGCGTGGAGAGATACGAGGGCTTCAGGCAGAGGTAAACGAGCTGCGGGCAGAGGTACGAGAGCTTCGGTCCGAGGAGAAGAACGCCTCAAGTATCACCAGTGAACATCGGGAGCCACAGTACGTCATTGCCGACAAGCATCTCAACACAGTGCTAATAGGCACACCGAACAATGCCACCCATACAATGGACAAGGACACTTACGACAAAATCTTCGACAAGGTGGACAACCCCAAGGACTTGATCGTCAAATTAATGGCAGAAGTCTTCACCCCAGAGGAACTCGCCAGATCAAATTACCATGGCGGTGTTATCTTCAATGGCAAAGAAAAGGTCACAAAAGAATGTTTGAGGAAGTAGCCCAAGTTCATTGCAAGAATGTCGCAAGCGGCCATTGAATTCCCAAGACACAAAATTGACGAGAAACTGCAAAAAGCACTGAAGGATGCAGTCAATGCAAAATGTAGAAAAAAGTCTTCCATGTTAAGTTCGTAGGCTGTAGTCTAGTAGGCAAGATCAGGGCGTATTTGCAGATTTTGTTTATAGTTGATTGACAACGATTTATATCTTTTAGCGTTTTGTAAAATCGTAAAAACCACCACCTGATTATGCATAAGTTACTCTCTTACAACTGTAATGGATGGATGTTTATTTCGAGCACCTGAAACATTAATGTCCAATCGACCATGCATATTTAAATTAAATTCTGACTTTATACAATAATTATCTTTAATTATTGAGATTATTTGAGAGCTGTGACAAATAAATAAAACAAAACGCTTGAACAGGATTTCAATCGTGTATTATGACCTTTATTAAATGATTGATTTTAATTTATAAAACCAAATAGTAATTTACACCAAATTGTAATGCTTGTTCCTCTTATTTTTTGAGAATCAAAGAAAGTCACATTTGCAATAACCATTGAAATTTCATTTATAAAAAATATATACATGTAATAATAAGAGATTGCCAAATCCCTATTTTATTTCGCCAACCAAAACCGCGGAATTTTTAGTATCCGAGTATCCAGCCTAGCCCACCAAAAAATATTAACCAATGGCTTCCCATCTCAGTTTCTTTGTTGAAATCTTGACTACGTGGGTTTTTTCCTGCCCGGCCCGACCTCGTAATTATTACTTTTTATTCCGAGTAGGCAGACCACAATCATATAAACCCTTGCGTCTGGTTTTATTTTTCACCCCGCCCAACCGCGTAATTTATTTTTTTATTCCAAGTATCCAGCCCACCAAAAAATATTAACCCTTCCGTCGGGGTTTTATTTTTTATTTTTCACCCCGCCCGACAGCGTAGTTATTAATTTTTATTCAGAGTATCCAGCCCACCCAAAAAATATTAACCTCTCCGTCGGGGTTTTATTTTTCACCCTGCCCAACCGCGTAATTATTATTTTTATTCCGAGTATCCAGCCCACCAAAAATATTAACCCTCCCGTCGAGGTTTTATTTTTCACCCCGCCCGACCGCGTAATTATTATTTTTATTCCGAGTATCCAGCCCACCAATTTGTTTTTAACCCCTTCCGTCGGTTTTTATTTTTCACCCCGCCCATAACCGCGTAATTTATTTTTGTATTCCGAGTATCCAGCCCACCAAAAATATTAACCCTTCCGTCGGGGTTTTATTTTTCACCCCGTCAGACAGCATAATTATTATTTTTAGTCCGAGCATCCAGCCGACCCCAAAAAATATTAACTCTTTCCGTCGGGGTTGTATTTTCACCCCGCCCGACCGTGTAATTATTATATGTTTTATTCCGTATCACGCCTGCCGAAATATGGAGCTTGGGCGAGGCATACTTTTTTTTTCATTCGTTTATTTATCACAAGACAAGAATATATATACGGAAATGCTCGGTTGGAAAGGTCGGCAAATCAAATGGTTACGAGTTAATCGTGTTGCAAAAGAAGAATAAATCTGATCAAACTCCACATGAATCCTAAAACCCTGGAATGTCTATGATTTATTTATCGCTGGCACCGAAGTTTTTTGCCCCCAAGAAAATGTACTTCACATCTTTCTTGTGATGTTCCCGTTCTCGCACGCAAAGGAACGGTGCATAATACCCTCTCAGTGAAGCCAGTGAGAGAACGGGATGAGGAACGCGTGCGGAACGCAGTTTGGCACGCAAAGGAACGGGAAGGCGTGCAGAACGGGAAGGAATCCGTGCGCACGCGTGCGAACGGTCAATGTATTTTTGGTGTCTCGCCTTACCGTAAGCACAGTATTTTCTGCTACAGTAAGCAGGGATTTTTCGCTAACTGTCCACAGAATTCCGTGTATACCATCATCATTCTGTGCTAATAGGCCTAGCAAGCAAACCCTGTAAGCACAGAAATCTTAGTTATTTGCTTTTATGGGATGTACTGATGTGCATTAGCCAAATCTCTTGATAACCACTGAAATATGCTTACCATCTTTTGGCCCAGAATTTGCTTCTACAGTTGCCAACGATTTTTCACTTACAAAATTACCAGAGTTTTATATAGCGCACATATGTACTCAAGACGCTGTTAATTATGTCTATTTTTAAAGACAGGTAAATGAAATTGATGAGAAATATGAGACCCATTATGTAGCACCTTTATAAAGGGTTTACTAGGTGCTGCGGCGCATACTGCAGCCACTGCCAGAAACACCGGGGCAAACCTCTTCTCTTGGCCATAAGTGTTACAGGGTTCTTTAACAATACACGGGACCTACGGCTTTACTTTCCATCCGAAGGACGAAGCAATAGTGGTAAAGTGCCTTGCTCAAAAGAGCACAAGCACCGTGTTCCCACGGTCAGGATTCGAACCCATGTACCACGGCACATGAGTCGAACACTGTAACCAGTGGACCACAGCACCCCACTATAAGCAGAACAAGAAATTAGGCCCATTCTGGGGAGAATATAATTTCCGAAAATTCTAAATTGTGCAAACTAGGCCTTTGGTTTTCACAGGTCTTCAAATTGTGGGGTGCTGTGGTCCAATGGTTACGGTGTTCGACTCGTGTGCCGTGGTACATGGGTTCGAATCCTGACCGTGGGAACATGGTGCTTGTGCTCTTGAGCAAGGCACTTTACCATTATTGCTTTGTCCTTCGGAGGGGACGTAAAGCCGTAGGTCCCGTGTGTTGTGTAATGCACGTTTAAGAACCCAGTAACACTTATCGCTAAGAGAAGGGGTTTGCCCCGGTGTTTCTGGCAGTGGCTGCAATATGCGCCGCAGCACCTTGTAAACCCTTATAAGGTGCTACATAATGGGTCTCATACTTCTCATAAACTTTATTTACCTTTCTTTAATAATAGACATATCTCCAGCGCCTTGAGTACCTAATAGTAGTAAATACTATACCTAATGGTAGATACGTGCGCTATATAAGACTCCGATATTATATTATTATTAGTGTACAGATTAAGGTCACCAATGAAAAGGAAGGTCGCGGTGACACCATTTTGCTGAAAATCCTGTCATGGGCTCTGAGGGTTTCTGCTGCATTTTACTCACAAAAGAGATTTATTGTTACACGGTGTCAGACTTCCTTTTATTTGTCAACTCATTCTGAAATTGAGAAATTGGGCAACCTGTCTCGAACTAATTAAAAGTCTTCTAATTTTGATGTGTTTGCTTGTAATTGGCCCAAGGTTGGAAGCGGACTTATGCCACAAATTTATTTCGAGCCAAATCATTAGTCAAATCACTAGTCTACAGTCAACCAGAATCACAAATCATATCTTTTGTAACAGTTACTTTCAATTGACTCTGTCACGGAGTGCATAAAGAAAGGAGAGCTAAGGATAGCTCGGGTGTGCGTACTGGTTCGCTTAATTCTTTTCTAAATCTGTACAAACCCATAGCGTCTTTGCGCCAGCGACAATGCGTTCAAATGTCCCTCCCAGTGGGCTCCCCTGACTCTCCCTTTGTAACCGTTGAGGGGGTACTTGTGCACAAAGCCCATAGCATGTGACTTATTAAAATCGTTACCCTGATCAAGAAAACTTCTAGCACCTAAAACTTTATGAATCCCTAAAATATTGCTCTTCTTGTCAATCTGCAGTCTTTCACACTGAGCAGTTACTACGACTCCTGTGCCGTCACCAGCCTGCAACTAGCCTTCCAGTTTCTATTCAACAATTACTTCCGAACCAAAAAGAAACTCAGGTGAGTTTTCATGGGGCAACATTCCATTTGACTCGTAACTCCCTCATGGCTCTAATATTGTCCTGTAATTTGTTGTTTTGTAAACACCGCAAAAAAAAAAGAGAGTCCACACTCATTGGAGGGGTCGTAATTTTGAATCTGATCATCTTATGATGACATCATTTATATTGACCTTTGGGGAATGTTGCGAGCTACATTTTGATACCCCGTTTGCTACCAAAGACTGTAAATCTTCCAACATTGACAACGGTATATGAAAATTGATGCAGATTGAAAAGTTGCAAATTTAATGAGTACCTAAGTGGAAACTGCTGCGAGACAATGTAACTCTACTGGAAACGAACGGCAGGGAATATCGATCGCTCATTGCCTCTCTCCACCCAGGAGTGTAAATGGGTACCTGTGAGGGTAGAGACCAGGATGCGCTGATCTCGAGCTGCTGCAATAACTGGTCTCATGGCCTGATGAACAGGGGTAATAATTGTGAAGCGCTTTGAGACCTTGGTATAAAGCGCTATATTATTATTATTGAGAAGCACTTTGAGACCTTTGGTATAAAGCGCTTTATTATTATTGTGAAGCACTTTGAGACCTTTGGTATAAAGCGCTATATTATTATTGTGAAGCACTTGGAGACCTTTGGTATAAAGCGCTATATTATTATTGTGAAGCACTTTGAGACCTTTTGTATAAAGAGCTATATTAATATTGTGAAGCACTTTGAGACCTTTGGTATAAAGCGCTATATTATTATTGTGAAGCACTTTGAGACCTTTGGTATAAAGCGCTATATTATTATTGTGAAGCACTTTGAGACCTTTGGTGTAAAGCGCTATATTATTATTGTGAAGCACTTTGAGACCTTTGGTATAAAGCGCTATATTATTATTGTGAAGCACTTTGAGACCTTTGGTATAAAGCGCTATATTATTATTGTGAAGCGCTTTGAGACCTTTGGTAAAAAGCGTTATATTATTATTGTGAAGCACTTTGAGACCTTTGGTATAAAGCGCTAATATTGAATTTGCATCTTGCCGACACAAAAATTTCATCATAATAGTAGTAGCTACTAAGTTCTAATTTTCCAACGCAGGTCCGATATAGGCGAGTGGTGGGGCTGCATTGAGCAACTGGTCATCCAGAGCAAGGAAGGATCGACATGGGCGCTGACTTTCATGGCCAGTCCGCAAGGCCAGACGTACATCAAGTGAGTAACACTTCATGATTGAACGAGTTGTGTGTGTGTCGGCACATACATGTAACAAACACCCTCTCTTGTTTTACTATATTCCCGTGGACAATGCTTTGTGTTTTCCTTTGTCCCTGTAATATAACACACTCCCATAGACTAAGCACACAAACCTACCACAGAGGACCGTTTTGAACAAAAGACCCAACTCCCGAGGACTGAAAGGATCTGTTGTTCTCCCTTTGTGTGTCGGTCCTCGGGGGTTATGTAGAACACGTACGCAAATGTTGTTTCTTGCACATCCACTGAATCCAATGCAATAATAATATGTACGGCAGGAATTACGACTAGCACCCAACAGTGAAATTTTTGAGGCCCCTGAAATTTTTCTTGCAAGAATAACGCAAAAACTTCCAGATTTTAAATGGTGAGTTTGTTTATGGTGTAAATCGAGGACAACACACGTGCAGCATCATCGATGAATCGAGGATAGGAACCAAATCGAGGACGACCTCGATTAGAAAACTTGTACAAAATCAATGAGAGCTGTTGCAAAAATGTTGCGAGCTGTTGCGAAAAGTACAAACAAAGGAAAAGGGAAGAAGAACAAAAGAAAATCGTTGATTTACACCATCAACAAACATGTGTGGTTGTGTGGATGTTTATGCTATAAATGCTCTTTCCATGTGGTAAAAAACCCAATTGGGCGCATTCTAGCCCCATAAATGTGGCCAATTTACTGGACTACCTCCGTAAATAAAGGCCACACTTCCACCATGTACAAAAACATGTCGAACTTTGTCAAATTTTGATTTTCACATTTAGGCTTAGTTTGTAGTTTAATTTTGCTTTAGAAGCATACTCACCCTCTTTATAGGCTAATCAGAAAGTGCTGCCTTTTTCAGATGTCTATTTTTTGTGAAATATCCAGATTCGTTTGCACACGTTTGCGTATCAAAATTTCAACATGAAATTTCACGAAAATTAGACATCTGAAAAAGGCAGCACTTTCTGATTAGCCTATTATTATTATTATTATTAATGGTTTATTATTCTACTCTATCACCGCCAGCAGCGGAATTGCAGAATAGTTGCATAAAAAATACAATTACACAGAGATTTAAAGAATAACCATCATGAAAGGGCATAGGAAGAGAGGGAGGGAGTGATAGGGACGGGTTGAGGGGAATGGAGCTGGGAAAACATGTATGGTATTGAAGTACACAGATACAAATTAAACAGCTATGATGAGTATAAAGAGGGTGAGTATGCTTCTAAAGCAAAAACCCTACAAACTAAGCCTAAATGTGAAAATCTAAATTTGACAAAGTTCAACATGTTTTTGTACATGGTGGAAGTGTGGCCTTATTTACCGAGGTAGTCCAGTAAATTGGCCACATTTATGGAGCTAGGCGCATTCTAGGACGTAATGTTCCTTTACGATTGCCTTATTTTATTTCTTTCAGGCAATTTTTACTCGAGTGTCCCACGCGCGAGGTCCGCATCGCCTTTGGCCGCATCATGCAGTACATCCTGCAAAGTTTCGTCCACTTCAGTCCGGCCTTGGTGTCTAGTTCCCAACCTCTCAATAGCCTGATTGAGTACCTGCTCTCGCTGCTGGACAAGGAGGTGCCAGACCATTGCAAGACGTGCCAGCAGTACTTCTGGCTTCTCAGCTCCTACCTTGATGCGGTAAGTTCCAGTGTTGTAGTTGCGTATCTTTTTCGAGTACCGAGTACTGCCGATCACTTAGGTTATCGAGTACAAGTACGAGTACCACCGTACTTCCGAGTACAAGTACAGGTCTCCGAGTACAAGTACTTGTACTTCCGAGTACGAGTATGAGTATGAGTACTCCTATTTCTGAATGCGGCCATACGGCAAATGGTTCATTGTGCGTAATGGGCCCAGGCCCAGTCAGACTGATACACATACCCACTCACAGCTAGCTATTAAATGTGTTTGTCCAGACGTGTACAGAGGAAAATCAGGAAACTTTGATTTCTCCGCAAGCCAATTGACCATTTCAAACTGAAACTATCTATAAAATAAGGCTGTGGTAAGTCAAGCTATACCATATTTTTTTCTCGATGTACTGCTATTCGAGTACGAGTACTTTGATGTTGAGTACAATTTCGACATGTCGAGTTCAATTTCGACATGTCGAGTACGAGTACTTTGCTACTCAAGTACTAGTACCATCATTTCGAATAATCGTACTTGAATTTTCCATTCAAGTACGATTACGATTATGAGTACTCTAAAAATAGTACTCGAGTAGTACTCAAGTACGAGTACGAGTACTACAACACTGGTAACAGTGGCATAGCCAGGAATTGTTCAGTGGGGGGGCGCTGGGGGGGCTGGAACATTTCATGGGGGGTGTCAAGTAGAGGCGTCAATCGCTTCTCAAAAGTTATGATATACCTTGATCATAACTAATGCAAGCTCGAAGCCCTTACGGCGTGGGGTTCGGGGCCCACTTAAGGGCCCAGAAAAAAATTGGATTGTAGATGTTCTGTGGTGTGATTTGAAGCAATTTCTTACGACTTTCCTCCATGCTTTTACTAATATTTTCTTGGCAAAAGATAATTATTTGAACATCGTTTTCGAGGTTGGAGACATAGAATCAGCTATTGGTATTCTGAGCTATTGGCGTGGGGTTCGGGGCCCGCTTAAGGGCCCCGAAAAAAAATTGGATTTTCGGTGCTCTGTGGTGTGATCTGAGGCAATTTCTTACCACTTTAACCAATAATTATCTTAGCACAAAAGATAATAATTTGAACATGATTTTCGAGGTTTTCTCAGCTAAAGTCATAAGAAAATTTTGTGAACATTTTTTTCGAGGTTGGAGTCATTGAATCAGCTACCAGAATTCTGAGCTATAGGCGTGGGGTTCAGGGCCCGCTTGAGGGCCCCGAAAATTTTTGGATTCTAAATGCTCTGTGGTGCTATCTGAGGCAATTTCTGACCACTTTAACCAATATTTTCTAAGCAAAAGATACATTGTAGTACATAATAGGGCCCACTGCGTCATGTAGATCAATGATAATTTTTTTAGAAACTCAAAATCTCAGTGGGGGGGGGGGGGGGGGGGGGGCGACTGGGGGGGCGACAAGGTTTCATGGGGGGGCGGTCGCCCCCCCACGCCCCCCCCCCCTGACTGGTAAGATCAATAAATGAAGAGTTTGCTTCCGAAAATCAGCAAGCACCACTTTCTTACCTTCTAGAATCCTGCCCTCTGCCCAAAGTTTAGTTTCGACGGCCGTTATATATGTAACCCTCCTGCTGTCTGAACAGACACAGACTGTCAAACAATTCAATCCTCTTCCCTGCCGTGCCTTGTACACAGGCCGGTCACCAACAGTCAGATCATGTAATGGCTCTCAATGACGGCCATCTTTGTAAGAGAACTGCAACTGTGTATTTTATGCAATCAAGCAAGCATTACGCAGTGTTAAAAATGTTCCAAGTCACAGCCAGTCAATCCTGCTTTATAAAGGCTAGCAATTCTTGGCTAGGAATGAAAAAATTGGGATGAAAAAATAGGGACCAAAAAATAGATGGACAGTGCATGTTTTGTTCTCCGTATACAAGTACCCCCTCAACGGTAAGAAAGGGAGAGTTGGGGAAACCACTGGGAGAGACATTCAACTGCATTGCCTACGAAGTCTGAAACGTTATGGCTTTATGCTCATTCAGAATAGAATTTGTGTAAAATTACCATAGAGTTGTATTCCATTACTAGAGCGCTAACTCTTCATTCTTGCGCGCGGAGAAGCTTTGAAGCCGCTCTGGGCGCAGACATTTTGAATTCATGTGCGTGTTTGTAGAACACAATCAAAATAGATGGATTGAATTCTGAAGTGAAGTGTACTCTATTAAAATGCAACGCGCAAGTAAAACACACGCAAACAACTGAAGCACGTCATGACGGTTCAAAAAAGTCACCGCGAAAAGCATCTGCAGCGGATATGTGCACATGTTGTGCTGTTTGCGTAGAGCAAAATGACACGCTCATTTGCTGATCGTGCATTTTGGTTTTGGGCGCATCGGCTGAAATTGCTTCTAGAGGTTTCAAAAATGTAGCATTAATGAATTTTTTGTCTTTTCCACTCATAGGATATTGTATGCTGCAAACATCTGTTCACTAAGTCTGCCGTGCGGCGGATCGTAACGTTCCTGTTGGGCCCACACACTACACAGAACGAGGAGGTATGTAAAACAGTTTCACAAGTAAAAAAAACCAGTGCATGAAAGGTACAGTTCATCATTTGTAATTTGTGCATTTTGTTCGTTTGAAGCAACAAAAGTGCTTAAAATCTAAACAAGGGTGCTGATCACAACTAACCTGATGAATGTTTCGAGAAAAACAGCATTCTAGCATCTCAATTTCAAATCAAAGGTTGCTGAATCGTGTTTTGAATTGGGCCTGAATTCAGCGTCCGATACACGTTCTCACTGTGCTGATTGCAGCTACGCGATGTCGCGCACTGACTTGACGAAATTATAGCAAGCGCATGTGCATCGCAAAAAAATGAAGTACTACCAGAAATTTCCAAGGATGCGTCTTTAGACGCATAGTTGGAAAGGCCTACTTTCGTTGATTTCTTCAAAATGACAGCTTGCCAGAAAGAATACTTTCACAGGGAGTTTAGTCCCTTTACTATCTTTCAACTTATGTATGTTTTTCAACAATAATTATGTCAGTTACATTTTGGATTGCTGCAAATGATGGACTGAAGCTTTAATTGAAATCGGGTGACGGTTACCCAATGGCTGGTTCTTCATGTACTCACTTCGAGGACATATTGATCTAGTTGTGATATCAAACGTTAATCATGCTTCAAATATAGTCTCACAAAATGATCACCTAATTGAGCCATAATTCTCAGGACTTTAAACCTGTGTCAAATACAGGGTGAGTAAAAGAAAAGCGAAACCCAAATGTCGGAACCATTGTTTTAGTGAAGTTCTGCATGTAGCACTTTCAAAATCTAGAAAATGAAAGTCCAATTCATAAGCTTTCTTTTAGTACAAGAACCATTCAAATCACTCATGTAATTTTCAAGTTACGGAGATTTAAACACAACCACCGTTTTAAAATTCTGTCCAAGGATCACAAAAAGGTAAGTGTTCTTTCAGCAAAACGAAAACAAATCACATAGGGATGTGTGTGAATTGTTTTCATTTGCTGAAAGAACGTACACCTTTTTTTGTGATCCGTGGACAGAACGTTAAAACTGTGGTCCTGTTTAAAATTCCGTAACTTAAAAAGTACATGAGTGATTTGAATGATTCTTGTACTAAAAGAAAGCTGGGCTTTCACATTTTAGAGTTTGAAAGTGCTACATGCAGAACTTGACTTGAACAACAGTCCCGACATTTGGGTTTCATTTTGTTTCACCCTGTATTAGGCATTTCTTTTCTAAAGACTACTTGTTGATTTTTTTGGCCTGCGTAGGATGTTCAGACGAGGCGATGGACGTCCCTGCAAACCAAAGAGTTCACTTATCTCCACACGATGCTGGCTGTCATGATCCTGTACTGTGACGTCTCCAAGTTCAGAACAATTGGTAAGTGTGGCTGTCTGTTGTATGGACTTTGTGCATAAGTACTGTACTACTCTACTGCCAAGAGCATGGTGTTTGTGCCCTTGGGCAAGAAAGTTTATTACAAATGCCTCTATCCACCCAGGAGTATAAATGGGTACTTGTGAGGGTAGAGGACCGAATGTACGCTGATAGCGGCTGCTATGTGGTCTCGTGGCCCTGATGAACGGAGAATAATTGTAAAGCATTTTGAGATCGTTGTGGAAAGCGCTATATAAGCATTACAATTTTGGCTAGGAGCCATCCTCAATCCTCCAAAATCAATGGAGGAGTGACCATTGACTAAATCCTTTAAAATTCACTGTTAATGGGTTGAGGCAGTGCTGATGACATTCAGAAGCAGCGCGGATGATATCGAGCATAATGCAGGGCTCAGTAATGCATGGCTGCAACATCAACAATGCAGGGTCCAAAATGAACGGACACTTTTTGCCATTCAGCCTCAATCTTCCAAAATCCTCCTAAACTGACATGAGGATTTTTGGAGGATTGAGGCGAGTTAGAGTTAATTTTCATTATTAGAAAAGCAATGATTGAATTGGACTTATTGTGGATTACTGTTTATCCCCAGATCAAGGGGATTATCCACCGAGGCAGCGGACATTGATCATCCCCACCAGTAAGCCGCTAGCCATGCCCAGCGACATGCAACAGATCCTCTTTGCCACGGAAGGCATCAAGTACATCCGGGAGGTGAGTTTATAGGTCGCCGAGGTGACCATTCATCTTACAAAAACCCTTCAAGGGTGCGTTTGAGCGTGTTACTCTTGCTACTCCTGAGTGCAGGAAAATGCTGCATGCGTATCACTCTCGGTGCAGGAGTATACTCCCGGCATGACGGAGAGCATACTCTTGCTAACCCGCGGGTCATACTCCTGATGGAGAGCATACTCTTGCTAACCCGCGGGTCATACTCCTGATGGAGAGCATACTCTTGCTAACCCGCGGGTCGTACTCCTGATGGAGAGCATACTCTTGCTAACCCGCGGGTCGTACTCCTGATGGAGAGCATACTCTTGCTAACCCGCAGGTCGTACTCCTGATGGAGAGCATACTCTTGCTAACCCGCGGGTCGTACTCCTGATGGAGAGCATACTCTTGCTGACCCGCGGGTCGTACTCCTGATGGAGAGCATACTCTTGCTGAACTGCGGGTCGTACTCCTGCCGTTTGTGCGCTCAGGAGTATACCCGTGTTAACACGAGTAAGATGCTCAAACACAAACCCCAAAAGTGTTATCAAGAACCGCTGGTATACTGTTGGATGATTTCCAAAGTATGTCACGTTATCAAGAACAAATGTATGATCATACACTTCATACACGTGAGGACTGACAGACAAAGGGAGGACAACAGATTCTTTGTTGACCTCGATCGTTCATCTGTTGTTGAAAATGGTCCCCGATCGTGCATTTATGTGCTTAGTCTATGGGAGGGTGTTACATGCAGGGACAAAGGAAAAGACAATAGCTTGTCCTCAGGAGTTATGTAAAACATGACTGTGGGGTTGTGTGTGTGCGTGCGTTTGTATACCCAATCAAATCGTGGACGTTGAACAATAGAGAACAATAGGATCTACGATTCCCAAAGGTCCACGATTGAGAGTAGTGTACAAAACCAATTAGAGCTGTTGCTAAAAAGTACAAACAAAAGAAGAACAATTGGGGGTCCACGATTGCAGGTGTATACACACCTGTGTGCACGGGTGGGCCATCACTGTATTATGGGGAAGTTTGTTATTGTTACGGAAATTAGGATCAAGTTATGGGGACTTTCTGCTGTCCCCATAGCGTCTTCGGACCCCATAACATTGTGGCAGGATCGATCTTCCCGGGCCAAACCTAAGTTCATTGGGACCAAGTCTGACACTTATTAGAGTGTAGCTGATCTTCCCGAACCCAAGACAAGAGACCACTCAGAGCGACCTCAAGGCTTAGGGAGCAGGTCTGTTTTGGAGGAAATTTACAGCCGATTATGATGATTGTGATTACTCTCTGTTTATAATTGCACAAGAAATACACCTTGACAACAGGATTGTCGGCACAACAAATATGATTGTAATTTATTATCCATAATCAAGAAATAAACAGTAATAATTGGGTTCTAATTGGGCTGATCTATTACCAGGGTCACTTAATTATAGTTGGGAGACAACCCGACCACTACTCATATAAGCAGCCAACGCGCACAGCATCAACAATGTACAATAATGTAAATATTAATACACACCAATGTAAGTAATACACACCAATGTAAATAATGCGCGCCAATGTAAACAACACGCGCCAATGTAAGTAATGTACAGCAATGTAAGCAATACATCTACGCCAATGTAGACAATGCGCGCCAATGTAAGTAATGTACAGCAATGTAAACAATACATCTACCCCAATGTAGACAACGCGCGCCAATGTAAGAAATGTACAGCAATGTAAACAATGCATCTACGCCAATGTAAACAACACGCGCCAATGTAAGTAATGTACAGCAATGTAAACAATACATCTACCCCAATGTAGACAACGCGCGCCAATGTAAGAAATGTACAGCAATGTAAACAATACATCTACGCCAATGTAAACAACGCGCGCCAATGTAAGTAATGTACAGCAATGTAAACAATACATCTACCCCAATGTAGACAATGCGCGCCAATGTAAGTAATGTACAGCAATGTAAACAATACATCTACGCCAATGTAGATATAAATGTGCGCCAATGTAAGTAATGTACAGCAATGTAAACAATACATCTACGCCAATGTAGACAACGCGCGCCAATGTGCGCGTACAGCAATGTAAACAATACATCTACGCCAATGTAGACAATGCGCGCCAATGTAAGTAATGTACAGCAATGTAAACAATGCATCTACGCCAATGTAAACAACGCGCGCCAATGTAAGTAATGTACAGCAATGTAAACAATACATCTACCCCAATGTAGATAATGCGCGCCAATGTTAGTAATATACAGCAATGTAAACAATACATGTACGCCAAAATAAACAATACATGCCAATGTAAATAATACACGTCAATGTAAGTAATGTTTGTAAATGTAAACATAATACACTCCAATGTAAGAATGCACGCCACGCCAGCATATAACCTGTTCAGCCTTGTACCTGATTACGCTTTTCCCATGCAAGCTGGAGTCAGCATTGCACAGTACATTCACTTGTATGGCTGCGCGCATCAGCATTACACAGGGTAACTTAAGCAAAGTCATGGCCTGAACATAGCTTAATGAAGCTTTAAGAGTTTAGACCCCAAAGGCAAAGGTCAATGGTTAAAACAATAGCAACATTTTTCCCACCATTATTTAAGCTGGCGATCTTCTCAGAAACCTGTCACTTTTTTAGACCCCTTAGGCCAAAGATTAGGATTGTTATGATTATTAAAGACAGGAATATTTTTTTTTCAACATACACATGTAACTCAGTCTCAACTTGATATGCCAAGTTTTTCCTAAGTGCATTTGTGCTCGCAGCTACGTGGGTAGTTCTTAGGATAACCAGTCACTTTCGGACCCCATAAGCCAAATGTCAAAGTTCTAATTATTAACAAGAAATGCATTCCGGATGTGCCAACAGCCAGCGACATGGATTCAAGTTTAATGGTGTGGGGACTGTGGGCTTAGCAGCCTGGTATAAAATATGTTGCTGTTCCATAAATTACGTTGCTCGTTTTCATGGAGCTTCATGATCATTTAATAAGGACTCTTTTATTGGGAAACATGTAACTGGTTGTTTTGTTTTGGAAGGGGTGGTGTGGACAAAGTAATAACAAGCCACTGAACGGTGGCTCTTCTCTTAATTGTGCTATTATTTAACCCTAACATCTTAAGGGCACTTTGAGGGTCAAGGACCAAATACTAGTTACATGTATGGTGTCTTGTATGGAAAGAAATGCATACTACAGGTTACTACTCAGTAGTATTTTGTAGCTTTAGGTGAGGTTAGGGTTTACATAGAATGTGTGGGGATGACTCATTTCAAAGCTTGATCATTTTATGGATTTCAAAAATTTAGAACTCAACTCAGGTATGTGAAAGCACACATGTTAATCACAGAACTGTGTTCGTACATGAAATGAAACATTATGGAACATGTTTGCACACGTACAAACAGAGCATAAAGTTTTTAAAACGTGAAATGCGGGAAGCCCTATATTCTGTATAGACCTCTATTTTTGGTTCATTCCCGGCCTTTTAGTTTGATCGCTTCAATGTTCAATTTAATATAGGTTGATGTCTTTAAACTAAGTTGTACATGTACATCCACAACCCTTTTGTAACTAATTTAAATACAGGTGTGTATATGATATCGATCAACTGACTCTCCTGTATTATTGTTTCAATGTAATTGTCACCTGTAGTGCAAAGGAAAATTTTAGATGGGGAAATAATATAAATGTCACCTGCATCATCACAACACAGTCCACGAGCAGAACTGCATTTTCGTTGAAACAGTTTGTTGCCATGTAGTCTTGATTTTTTTTTATTCCTTGTTTATTTTGATCGTTTGAATTTGCAATTCCTGTTGGTTGATGTCTCTAAACCAAGTGATACATGTGCATGGGCCACCCTGTACATGCTAATTTATGTGCAGGTGTGTATGTGATATCACGACAAATCTGACATTGCCATGAGCCAATGCACTCGCCATCTGCACTGAAATGGAGAATTTTCTTGTTATAAGCATTTCCTTGTTTCTGTGTGGTAAGACAGTAAATATCACCTGCATCATCACAACACAGCCCACAAGGATAACTACAACTGTGAGTAAACAGTTTGTTGCCATGTAAGTCAACAGCCATCAACAAACCCTCCTTTCTGTAGGTGTAAATGAGTCGCTTGTTGCTGAAGATCAAATGCGTATCAATCTTTGGAGCAGGCAGTGTTCTGACGAGGGAACCATCTGGGTTGTGTAGAGATATCTGTTCCTTGTCCTTGTAACCCACTGCTATCAGATTGCTGCTGTCCACTGCCAGGCACGTCAGTGTGCCGTCCACGCCGGCCTTTTTACCCGGTAGGAACTGATGAAGGAGCTGGTATTCCTTGTTGAAGATCTTGACTGCAGGATTGTCTAGGATCAGAAGTTGATCACCCTTGTTGATGGCTAGAGCTGTTGCTTTCTGTATGTCATTAGGGTCATTGGGTTCATTTGGTTTATCAGGGTCAGGTTTGTAGGTCTTTGTAGAAATCACCTTCCCCTCTGGATCAAGTGTTAGCAGTTTATCACTGCATGTCACAACCATTTCACTTGTGGAGTATGCTGCTATATGTCCTGAGCAACATTCATCAAGTTCAACTTCTGGAATGGTCTTATCCCTCTCCCATTTCTCCTCCAAGAGCAGAGACCCAAGCTGACCAACCTCTTCACTCTCCTTAAAGCCAAGGAATGACTTCCCATGCTTGATATCCAAACTCTTATGCACCTCCACCTGCTCATTCAAATCCCGCAGCATTTTCTTCTTGGACTCCAGGATCTCATAGCACGTCGCTGTAGTCATCACTTCATTCACTTTACCCAGAATCTGCTGAGACGTTTCTGCATAGGCAAATTCTGTATCTCGTTTAATGGCAATGTCCCTGGCCTCCACTTTGAGTTGTTTTTCTTTCTCTCTGATTTTGGCAATTTCCTTTTCTGCTTTCTGTGAAATTTGAGAGTACATTTTTACCAGCATCTTGT